TTGTTGTTGTTGTTGTTGTGGTTGTTGTTGGTGTGGTGGCTGTTGTTGTTGATGACATTACTACTCATGAATTACTATTCATATGAATGGGGAAATGGATATTTGGATGTTCAGTATTCATTTACTCAATATTACAATCAAACATTATTGTTTATATCTATATGTATAATGACATAAAATCAATCAAACATATATGTGTGGTCAGAGTTGTTGATTATATGATCAATCGGACCGATCTATGGTAGTGTCATTGTCGTCAGTCAGTCAGTAAGTCAGACATACTGTCTATGAATGAATGACATTGAGAAACAACACAATACACACTCCCTCATACATATACATACACAAACAAATACACATACACAATACACAAATACATACATGGACATAGAGACAGAGAAAGGGAGAGTGAATGAAGTAGTACCGGAAAGACACCACACCACAAACACAACACAAACACAACCAACAACAACAACAACATTGACACACCTTGCAACATTGACACACATTGACAACAGTGCTGTCAACAACAACAACAACAACAACAACAACAAACAATAACAATAACTCCAAGACCTCAATTACAGGTTGACTTTCAACCTACAAATCTGCCACCGCTTATTCTAAGCGAGCAGTAAATAGGGAAGAAAGGAAAGAGGGAAGGAAAGATAGAAAGAAACAAAGATAGAAACAGAGGATAAAGAGTGAAAGAGATAGATTACACATATATACATACATACTAAATGAATAATACAACAATCACTGAACAATTTGTACATAGACATAGGCAAGGAGGACAGCGGCAACAACAGCATCAACAACAACAACAACAACAACATATAGTAGGAGAAGTTGGCGAAAATGTAACAGGTGAAGTACCTGTCACTAATAATAATAATAATAATAATACAAATGGAACTAATCTAAATGAAGTTGCGAATGCACTTAGAAGAGTGACAATTGAAAGAAATGTCAATGTGTTCCTGGTGTCATCCTTTTGCTTGTTGTTGACAACATTCATATTGGCCAACCTATCATCTACCGATGCATCATCATTTCTCTATTGGCTATTGGTACTGGCGGCAACATTCATTGCCTTCTTCCAAGTCTGGTGTATACTGAATCAAAATAGATGGATTGGCGTCGATCAATACCCTGGCAACATGGTGGCGTGGACTCTAAACACAACACCAAACATCATTCAATATGATCATCAAGGCAATGTCATCCGACCGACCTCACGACTGCCATCACTTATAAATGCTCCTCTCAACCTCCAGCTGACAATGATCGACAGAGACTTTAACGAGAACGGTATGATATCAAATATATATTGGATGGCAATCGCAGGATTACTAACAAAGTGCACATAACCCTAGACTATGAGATGTTGTTAGCATTGGATGCAGACAATCAGAATTATAGTGGAGCAAAGAAAGAACAGATTGATCTTCTACCACTTCATCGTTTGGCTACAAACAAGGATTTGAGATCATTATGTACATCACTGGATTCATTACCAATCATATCACCGACTTCATCACCATCTTCTTCAACATCATCTACATCTTCTTCAACATCTTGTGTCGAAAAGAAAGTATGTTCAATATGTTTAGAGGTATACAAGGTTGGAAACAACATACGAACGCTACCTTGCGCGCACTTCTTTCATTCTGGATGCATTGATGAATGGCTCAAGATCAAATCATTATGTCCAGTCTGCAAGTCCGAAGTGTTTGAACATCATAATGATGATATACCATCAACCAATGAATCAGTCAACACTTAGAATATAGATATAGATAATATAGTAGTCAAGTGATGGATAGTGATAGAGAGATGATCTTTATCACACAGACAATATTGGTCTGAGTATGTGAACATAAACATAAACATGAACATGAGCAATGACACTTGATGAACATTGCTGCTGCGATCTATTGGACCATAGTGAATCCATCGAAATCTTCTTCTTCCTCGCCAGCCAGATGTTGGTGATGATGGTGTGGTTGCTGTGATGGATCTCTGGCTGATGTATCGTCTTCGGCATCACTGTCTCCTCTTGCACCGCCACTGGTGAGGAGCAACTCTGCAAAGCTTCGTCCAATGTCCGATTCGTAAAATGACAGGTCAATATCGTCGGTCTCTGCCTGGTAGTCTGGACTGATCTCACCAATGCTTATCATTGGAGATCCATGCGACTCGACTGCACTAATCCTTGAGCACAAGTCTTCGAAATCGCTTTGAGTCCTACAATAGAATCCAATCGCCATCGATGGATCGAGTTGTGACAGAGACATCTTCTGAGGAATACAATTGTGATAAGACTAATTGGTGTTTGATTGAATGAGTTAGTATGGCTGTGGACATGAATGAATGATGATTGTAACACATACATCAATGAAGTTCTGTTGGTCTGGTGTCGAGTGCTCGTGGACAAAGTGAGGATCAAGGTAGATGAGATTGTCATCTTGATGGCCAACAAAGTAGAATGATTGTTTGGGCTTGCCACCAATGATACCAAGACTCTGGGGCATCTGTAGCATCGCCTTGATCTGTCCAAAGTAGATATCGTTGAGACGATCAACCCCAAGCTTGATTGGCACCATGATGATGATCGACTTCCACTGCTCAGTGATGATGCTGCCAAAGTCTGAGCACGTCAGAGGGTCCTTGATTGGGGAGTCCACACTCGAGTCTCCATGACTACCATCCGACACCATAAAGTATGAGTCATCCATCGATGAGCTCTGCGACTTTGAAGGCACAAACGATGTGAATATCGTGCAACTCTGGCTTGGTGATTTGAGTGATGGGACCAACGAACTATTGTCCGACAATGTACTTGATATATCCAGTGATGTTTGATAACAGCATAACTTCTGAACATGATCCTTTGTAGATAACACCATCTGATGGGACATACATCGTAATGTCAGGTTGTTGTTGTGACTTTAGCAAGTGTCTATATCGATGGTGGATGAGGAGATGTTAGTGCATGGCCATCTATCAATTCAATTCAATCAATTAATCAATCACATACCTAAGGACAACTGATATCCTTGTTGGAGCGAACCATTCCTCGACGTTGTTCCAGTTCTGATCGTCCTCGTGCTCAATGCCAAAGTCGCGAAGGATTGAGTTGTTGTGATACTTGGTGAGCATCTTGTTCTTATGTACAATTCGATGGATGGAGTAGTGATGCTCCTTGCCAGGCTGGTCGCAGAACCATGTCATCATGCGCCGATACTTGGAGTTGGGACGATGTTTGTCTGCTTCGGGTATGGCCTCGTTGAAGTAGAGATGTCTAAGAAGACCACGTGCCAACAACATCTGTCCTGTCCTCACCATGCATCCCCAGCCAATGTCCGTCGTAATGTTTGTGTTCTCAAATGCTGGAAAGTCCTTGCGATAACTCAACCAAAGTATAGATTTGAAGTCTGCAATGAAGCGATCAATCTCTTGAGACGCTTCATCCTTTGTTGTTCCATTGTTGTGGTTGTTGTTGTTGTTGGAAGTTGTAGATGTAACTTGTTGTTGTTGTTGTTGTTGTTGTTGTTGGTCAGGTGATTGTTGTTGTTGTTGATGTTGTTGTGATGATTGAAACAGTGAGCCAAACAAGCGATTTCCATTGCTATTGGTATTGTTCGATATTGTTTGTAATGGTACAGGCATTGGCACTGGCACTTGCTCACGATCACCAGACACTACTTGTTGTTCTGGTGATGATGGCCTTGCCGATGGATGATAACACTTGCCCATCAACCATAATGGCGATTTGGAGAAGGCAGGTGGATTGGAAGGATCTGTAATAAATGGTATTGTTAGTATTATACCAATTATCTTTGCGGTCCTGTTCTTGTCCTGTCAATCTTACAGTTCCTATAAATATTATATAACGATATCATTATCTTCTGCTTTCCACTCTTGTATATATCTGAGAACTTCTTCTTCTTCTGTTGTTGTTGTTGTTGTGGCTGTTGTAGTTGTTGTTGTTGTTGTAGTTGTAATTGTTGTTGTTGACGCTGAAGATATAGTTGTTGGTGTAGTTGTTGTAACTTTGTGTGTGAGGGAGCCTGTTGTTGAAGTTGCTGTTGTTGTATTTGATGTTGATGATGTTGATGTTGATGTCTATTGTGATTGTGATGATGTTGGTGTTGATGATTATAAGGTTGTTGATGCTGATAATGATAATATCTCAATTGAAGCTGCTGCTGATGATGATGCTGCTGATGCTGCCTCTGCAGTGGCTGTTGCTGCTGATCATTGTAAATCAGACGATGCTGGACAGGTTCTATAAATACATATTAATGTTAGTTCAAGTATTACTTAATATTTAAAGAATAATACAAACCTATATTATGTCTATGTCTGATGATGTTATTGTTATTGTTATGAATGTTGTGGGTTGTTGAAGAATGATGTTGTTGTTGTTGCTGTGATTGAGGTTGTACTTGTACCTGTACTTGTACTTGTGATTGTGGTGTGTGATTGGGGTAGCCACTTTCCAACATGATGTGGTTGGTGGTGGTTGGCTGGTCAGTGCACTGAATGAATGAATGAACGGGTGTGGTTTGCCAATGATTGATTGATGGAGGCTATAATGTATAATGTATAATTATAATTATATATTTGTATTTATGTATGACAGATTGGTCCAACAAGATGTCGTAATAATAGTTGTAGTAGTAACCTAGTGTAATTAATCTAGTGACTCATAAAAAGAGTATGTATATTAAATATTTGCTAGATGACTGTAGGTTGCCTGTAGCTCTCAGGAACTTGAGAAATAGGTTGATGCCCTTTGTATCTGAAGGGTGTTGTTTGGCAAATTCGGAATTACGTTGCGATCGACAAACGCAATTGAATTGATCGATTTCCCCAGGATTAGGATATCGATGCCTGGTTTTCAAAAACAAAGTTGATTGATTGGCAATGTTGTAATTGTTTGTTGTTGTTGTAAATTTAGTTGTTGTTGAAATAAACAAAGTAGATGTCCGTCCGATAACAAAGTAGGGGAAGATAGAGAAACTCTTTGTGAAATGAGGATTGAAGAAGAGACAGCCGCCTGTCCCAACTTTGTTCGACATTTATTGTGACCTCCAAGACCAGGCGACCATACACGAATTTGATTGTTTTGATCATTCTTCAAACCTCAAGAACACTTTAATTAATGTGGACGTGTGTGTGCAAAGAACCCACGCATGCATCAATCTTGTTCTTTCCAATATCGACTATCTTTGTCGTTGAGGATGGCGAACATCATTCACCATCATAGTTCTTTGTATGTTTGTTGTTATTGCTGTCTGTCTGTCTGTCTGTATGTCAAATGAACTACATGTGACCTTATTCCCAACCAACCTTATGAACCGTGTCTCCTTCTAATTGAATTCGTTCAGTTCATTCTGTCACTTCCCTCATTCATCTGATTGGATTGATTGACCAAGGCTATTACCAAAGTTAGAGTGTATAATTGGTCAGTGGCCATTGGACCTCCTAAGTTCCTAACCAATGTTAGTCCTTATACCCTCGACCCTTGCTCTATCTTGCCTCGATGAACAGATACTAATGACATTAGACACATGAACATTGTTAGGACTCTGTAGACTTGTGAATTTGATTCATTGAAGTTGTCAAAGTACTTCGCGATCACACCACCCTTTAAAAAGGTGACTTTATGTCAAGTCAGTTCACAATTATCTTCATTTATACAGATAGAGAGATAAATATAGAAAGATAGATAGAGAATGTCAACAGGAACAAGACAGAATCATGTGGATTATAGTTGGAGTGAAAAAGGTCCAGCTCGTACAGTCTCAACTGCCTTTATACTTGGTGGCCTATTAGGACTTGGTCTAGGTTTGATCCTACTCTCCGACACACTTGTAGGTTATGGATTCTACCTTGTCGGTCTTGCCCTATTCCATCTCTGGGAGTACTTATGGGTATCAATGTATGATCATACTCTACTCTCAAGCAAGTGTAAGTTGTATTCATTCATTCATTCAATCAATCAAACATACATACTTACTTGATTACATGTAGCATTCCTTATCAATCATAGTTCAGCATTCAACTTTGCATTGTTGTTGGGCTTTGTAGAGTTCTGGATTGAATGGTACTTGTTCCCATCGATGAAGTCGTTTGGATACTTGAACATGTTGGGCGCATTGACAATGTTTGTCGGACAAGCATTTAGAACAAAGGCTATGATCAAGGCCGGCACCAACTTCTCACACATCGTGCAGGACACCAAGAGAAGCGATCACAAACTGGTCACCGATGGCATCTACCAATACATGCGTCATCCATCGTACTTTGGCTGGTTCGTCTGGAGTGTCTCGACGCAACTCGTTCAATTCAACCCGATCTGCATCGTCGGCTATGCCTGGGCTTCATGGCGCTTCTTCTCTGAGCGCATTGAGGATGAGGAGGACTTCCTAGTTGGGTTCTTTGGAAACGATTACAAAGAGTACCGCAAGAGAGTATGGTCTGGTATCCCACTCATCAAATAAACATCCCCAAGGATACTGTTGCGCAGGGGCCATCTTCATCATCATATGATGGTTGGCCTTGTATTATAACCATACCCCTTTGCCCTCGCCCTCGCCCTCACCCTCACCCTTGCACTTGTCATTCCTCGGCCATAGTCTTGTACAATTACAAAGGGGTGATGTTTATTGATTGCGCCATTAGTCTGGATGTGCTGACTCTTGGCTAGCTTAAGCAGACCTGTAGGTTGTGGTCGGGTGTACCAGATGATGAATGATTCACCTGACACACAAGGGACTGATGGCATTCGGAGGTTGCCGACACCTGTCGATGCTGCTGTTGTTGGTTGGATGTTGTATGGTATGTATGTAATGATGTGTGAGATGAAGAAGAAAGTACTATGATGTCCTATTTGGTCACTTTGGTAGGCCTCCAGACATCCTCCTCCTTCTTCTTCTCTTTCTTCTTCTCCTTCTCCTCTCGCTCTCGCTCCTTGGACTCTAGCTTCTCCTGTTTCTTTGCCTCCTTCATCGACTTGCGCTTGTCCTTCTCCGAGAGCAGCACCACCGTGGTGGACTGCATGAATGAGCCTCCCGCCTGCACAGGAGGCGGTGGCAGGTTATAGGTGACGGACGGTGGCGTGGGCAGCTGTATGGTGGAGCTTGGGGGTGGTGGCAGAGGCAGCTGGCTGAGGTTCTCGTTGAGAAGCAACAGCTCCATCTCGCTCGCCAGCAGTGCCAGGTCCATCTGGACCGACTTCTTCAGATTGTCGCACACGTCCAGGTTGGTGAGGTTGACGGTGAGCTTCTTCTCTAGCTCCTCCAGCTTGATGTCGTACTGTTTCTTGGGTTGATCGAGCGTGGCCGACTTGAGCGTGGCCAGGAACTGGCGAATCGTGCGCAGGTCCATTGTGATGGCCAGACCGGTCTGGCGCGCCTGCTGCGACACTTCCGAGTCGAGCTCAATGTCAATGTCTGTCTTGGTGATCTCGAGGTCCAGATATTTGAGCAGGCGCATTCCGCGCACCTGTGCCTCGATGGCCTCCTTCTCCTTCTCGAGTGCGTCGATCTCGGAGCCCAGTCCATCCTTTGTGACTTGTTGCTGCTTGAGCTTGTCCTGCAACTCCTTCATCTCCTTCTTGTACATCTCGCGCTTCTGTCGCAGCATCTCTTTGCGCTCGCCCTGGTCGGTCTCGTCGTCCTCGTCGTCGCCATCTCCTTGCGCCTGCTGATTGTCCAACGAGCCGCCAGTGTCTGTTGTCTGGTGGCTGTCGTAGTGGGCGTTCTCGTCGCCGTAGGCCTGCGTGTCCTGTGTGTCCTGCTCCAGGTACTCAAAGTAGTTGGCGGGCACACGGCCGATGTTGCCATTGAGGTCGCCGCACCACCAGCCGTCATTATAGTCCTGTGTGATGCAGACTATATCATCGGCGTTGAAGCTCATCTCTGTGTCGTTGGTGGCTTCAAAGTCATATACAGCGCGCACCCATATTGGTTCGAATGCATTCGGGTCATATTCCTGATCATGATAGCCTCCATCATCATATGTCACATTATGTTCACCAGTGCTATTATCATACTGTTGTTGATTGTCATCATAATGTTGATCATCATGTTGTAATGTTGATGTATCGTCCATTCTATGTATGTATGTCTGTCTATCTGTCTATCACTCACTCACTCAATTGCTCACTACACTCTGATTGAATGATGTATGTAGCTATAATGAATGAGTGCAACTTATGTTAAATATATATAATATTATATAATGACAGAGATGACTGTCTTATATATATGTTGTTGTAAGTAATGTTATGTGTAATATAATAATAATAAAAGGACAAAGAGAGTAGACAGATGATGATGAGATTGATTGATGGTGGAAGGTCATCAAAAAATAAATGTTGGTTCAACCAACATCACCTTCACATAAACTGAATGAACTTGTTTGATTGTTTGTTTGCCCCACATGCAGACAAGTTATCTTGTTAAGTTGACGTCAACAACATAACATTGACATAATAATAATAATAATAATAATAATAGTATTACATTGCATTCATGACAAGAACCAAATACAGTGTACACCAACTAAAAATACGTAGACTTGTTTTATCTCTCTACACTTTGCATATGTCTGTCAGCAATGAACGTTAGGTAGTACCGCCACCTATGACAGTCCAAGTCCAAGAGGTACACAAGCACTACGCCAGCTGGCCTTGAACACAAATCCAGACCACAGATCCATCCTCGGCTCACTCATGCCAGCTCAGACTCAGGCACTTCAATATTCACAAAACAAGAGCGATCAGGAGTGGAACGCAGGTGCAGTGAAGTGAAGTGAAGTGCAGTGCAGTGCAGTGCAGTGCAGTGCAGTGCAGTGAGGTGAGGTGAAGTGAGGTCCAGTGAAGTGCAATACACGACCATTGATGGTTAACAATGGTTGGATCATGAGAGACGAGACCAACGAAGATCTATGTATTGGTAAAGTCACACCTGAACTTTTGAAAATGGCGTGTTGCGCAACACTCCTGAACGACAACTCAAACAACACTTAACATCAATCAACCAACCTGGAAAGCAATACTATGTGTAGTATTTAAGGTAATATTACCAATTCGGATCAATAAGTTCTGGAACAATCATACTCATACAACAACCAACACCAAACTCTTTCAACAATATGTCACCATCAAACAAACAAATCAAAGTTGACAAAAGACTGCCTGTGACGGTACTCTCTGGATTCCTTGGCGCTGGAAAGACAACCTTACTCAATCATATCCTCAACAACCAAGAGGGCATGAAAGTGGCCATCATTGTAAATGATATGAGTGATGGTATGTACGATTGATTGATTGAATGATTGATTCCAGGATTATCATAACTCACTCAATCAATCAATCAATGATTCATTAGTGAATGTTGATGCAAGGTTGGTAAAGTCAGACTTTGCTGTGAGCCGCACCCAGCCAAAGGAGAAGACGGTCGAGAAGATGGTGGAGATGCAGAATGGTTGTATATGTTGTACGTTGCGTGAGGACCTCTTGATTGAGGTGTCCAAGTTGGCCAAGATGAAGAAGTTTGATTACCTGTTGATTGAGTCATCGGGAATATCAGAACCATTGCCAATCGCCGAGACATTCACATTTGAGGATAGTGATGGTACTGAAGAGTCTGGACAACCACAAGTGTCATCAATCAGTGAGTGGACCAGATTGGATACCATGGTGACCGTTGTCGACACCTCAACATGGATGGATGAGTACCATGCCGGTGAGACACTCAAAGACAAGGAGATGGGCGCGACCGAAGACGATGAGCGGTCCATCGTTGACCTACTGATTGATCAGGTATGTTATGTTCTGGAACTATTCCACTCTATCAATCAATCAAACAACTAACTCATTCAAACCCAACATATTAGGTCGAGTTTGCCAATGTTGTAATCTTGAACAAGGTTGACCTGGTCGCTCCAAAGGACTTGGACTTAATTGAGGGCCTCATTAGACATATCAATCCCGATGCCAAGATACTCCGCTCAACTCGCTCCATCGTCCCATTGAAGGAGATATTGAACACTGGTATGTTCGACTTTAAGAAGGCATCGGAGCATCCAGGTTGGCTTCAAGAAATGCGCGGCACACATGTTCCAGAGACGCTCGAGTATGGTATCAGCAACTTTACCTATCGTGCCAGACGGCCCTTCCATCCATTGCGTCTCAACGACGTGATCACACGTGGTGTCAAGGTTTTCCATGGTGTTCTTCGTAGCAAGGGCTTCATGTGGATCGCTACCACACCCGACCTCATTGGCATGTGGTGTCTGGCGGGCATGGGCCTCACCCTGTCCAAGGCTGGATATTGGCTGGCCGACCTCGAGAAGAATGAATACCCTGAGCCAGACCTTGTCGAGTCTATCCTTAAGGCTTGGGAGGAGCCTTGGGGAGACCGTAGGCAGGAGGTCGTCTTCATTGGTGGCGTGAACATGGATCGCTCGATGATCGAAAAGGAGTTGGACGACTGTCTACTGACTGAGGAAGAGATGCAAGCGGGCAAGGAAGCATGGCAAAAGTGGGAGGATCCAATCAAGATTGATGAGGAGGAGGAAGTTGAGATGGATGAAGAAGAGGATGAAGATGATGAAGAGGACGAGATACACAATGGACATGTTCACTCCAAGAGTTCAAGTCGATTGAAGAATATACAGATGAGACTCAAGGCCGCAGCTACCTCATCCAACAAAAGATCAACAACAAAGAAAACAAAGAAACCAGTCTCTGTGATCAAAAGAGTCAAGGGCAACGAGGCTGGCTCAGTCTCAACATCTGGTGCACTATCCAAAAACTCATTGATTGAGCGAATAAGATCAAAGGCCAGATCAAAGAAGAATAAATCATCTCAAAGGAAGTGAGTATTGCATTTAGGATATGGGTTGGACCAAGGTAAATAGGTAATATCCTTGTTGATCACCAAACTAAACTATGGGGAGTTCCAAAGTCATTGACACCAACTCCAAATCTAGATTAACTTCACCCCTGGAACTATTCCATTCATCACAAAATTCGTGACATCTCTTTCGCGTGTTCTAACTACTTTATTATATGATGTTTGTTTCACAAAGATACATTGAGTAATCGATAACTATACTTAATAATGAACTACAATACTCAAGTATGATCGATTGATTGATTGCTGATTGATTGTGATGATGAACATATCCCTGACATTGTACTCACTCATTCAATGTAGCGAAGCTTCAAGATGTTCATGGTGTTCCCGGCTATAGCCGCGGGATTGGGAACATGGCAGGTGTACAGATATCAGTGGAAGAAGGATCTGATACAGACTGCAAAGGATAACGTTGAGAAGCCACCTGTGACAATGAACACAAACATTGTCAATGGTATACTCAACCCACCCGCTGCAACTTCAGATGCAGGTCACAGTGGCAGCAGCAGCGGCAGCAGTAGTGGTAGTAAGGTTGGTGCCAATCAACTAGAGTTCAGAAGGGTCGAGTTGACAGGTACATACACAAGTGGCAATAGCATTCATCTTGGTCCAAGAACGAACGACAACAATGTAGGCTACTACATCATCACGCCACTCAAGTTAGACGACAGCGATACAAAGATACTTGTCAACAGAGGTTGGCTACCAACATACAAGCTCAAGACAATGGTATGTTTGTTAGACATTAGCATAATGAGCTAGTCTTGCGCGACACTCACTCAATCATTCAATCATTCAATCAAACATGAAGGATATGAGCGAAGTTGTTGGACAACATGTCAAGATACAGGGATTGATTGGAAAGGCGAAGGAGGCAGGAAGTATGTTCACACCGGACAATGTACCTGCAAAGAATCAGTGGTACTTTATCGATGCAAAGGATATGGCTGCAACAGTGGATGCATCACCTGTCATTGTCAACATGTTGGAGGAGACGTTTGTAGAGTCCGCACCAAAGGCTGGACGTCCTGTTCCCTCCTCAGCACTGTCACTCAAACGCTTCGACACCAACATCGAGAACAACTTCTACAACAAGCACATGACCTACATCTTCACGTGGTACGGACTGTCTGGCTGTCTAACCTTCATCTACTACAAGTACATGCGAGGCAATATACCCTTGGGTCGAAAGTAATAACAACAATATATATATTAGATGCATTCAATCAATCACTTGTGCTCTGTTGGCAAAGACATCCGATATGAAGCCATGGATGTTCTTGGAATGGATCAACAAGAGGTATCGATCCTTGAGACCATGGTCTTGGCAATATTTGGCGAATGTGGCGAGGCATCCTTGTGGATCGCCAATGTCATTGTTGGTAAAGTGCACAAGTATCATTGACTCCCCATCGGGTATCTTGACCATACTATCAGGTTGAAGGATTGATTCGTACCAGGCCGTCAGACTACTTCCAGGCGTCTCCATATCATTGTGATTGACTCGGAAGTATACATTATACTTGTGATCATGTCTGTCAACAAAACAAGTTCGATGATCGATTAGATATGTATTCTTCTTGCAGATGAATATGGCGGGAGTCCTGCTTATGTCGAGATGATCATGGTGGTCCTTGTCAGGTAAGTTAGCCACTGTTGTCAAGGTGGTGCTCAGGTCTGTTGTCATCTCCTGCAAGACCATCTTTGGAACGAGGTCGATTGGGGATGATGGTAGTTTGGCGACACCGCTTGCATCTCTAAAGATGTGTTTAAATGTTATGATATGATCTGTCAATGATTGGAGGGTGAATGATTGATGAACGATGTCCACTGATCTGCAAAGACATGATATATAGTAGGGGAATAGAAGTTCCATGCTCCTCCACGTCCAGGGTTTGGCCTCACTTGGAAAGAACATGAGCGTTTCATCAATGAACTTGTTGTTGACGCGCTCATTCAACCATTTTAGCATCATAAATGGTAAGAAGATAAAGTAGTGTTCTCTAGACGATTCCTCCTTCCTCAAGTAGATCAATCCTGTTCGCCTTGCATCATCAACAGTGAACCCATCGACAACAACTTTGTTGTTTGTGGCCTTTCGGTAGGACTCCACCAGTGATGAAAGGACATGACCCAAGCCGAGTCCTTGGTATCCACCAAACTTGGTACATTGTTGAGAGAGTGAGTGGATGGTTGGATCTTGGGATAGAGCAACACGTGCACCAATGCGAATGGATAGGTCTTGATTGTCCATCCTTGAGGTTGATGTAGCAATAGATGGGATTGCGCATTGCTTCAATGAAGTCTGTGTCATTCATCGAAGCCTTGGCGAGGACATCCTCAGGAAGATCAGCCACCTCTGCACCTGCCCTTGTTTTACCAATACCATTGCCTCCCGGGATAAAGATGAATGTATCATACTGAGATCTCTTGAATTGCTTGCTCTGTCTCTTGATGTAGTTGTGGTAACAGACTTGAGCTACCTTGTTCCTGAACGTATCTCTGTCGACAAATGGCCCTCCACCCTTGTCACTTGCGGCACCTCCTGTTAAGCTGTATGGATGGTTCACTAGCTTCTTCGTTGACATAGTCAACAATGCTGCAGCATCACCATCAACATTATGCTCCTTTAGCTTCGTAATGCTCTCAGTCACTGATGGGATGTCCAATGATAGAGCCCACTTATAGACATCATCCACACTCGACTTTAATATATTTGATCGATTGATGTTGCAGAATGATCGCGTTGGAATATACTTGTGGAATGGTACTGCTCGAAGCGGATGTCTAAGCACCGCTCTGGAGAACATGGCATACATGTTTATGATGTTGATGAAAACATTCTTAAAGTGAATGAAGTGAAGGATGTGTCATAATTATTACTTATTGAGATCTAATAAAATAGTCAACAACTGAAGAGAGATGAGATCAAAGAGCAACTACCAACTTCCATTAGCAAAACTAAAGAAATTAATGCAGCCACAGATTGGAGAATGAACTTCCACATGATGGAAGTGGGGGATTGGGGGTTGGGGAATGGAAGATGAACTCACACAAGGTTAGATCATCAACTTAATTTAACTTGTTCAACTCATTCATAATCTAATCATACCCAACATAACACAATACATCAAAGAGATAGAGTTAAAGAGATTTTGAGATAAGATGTCAAACGTTGAAGCATTGAATCAGAAATGGAACAAGAAAGGAGTGTCAGTGAAGTCGGACGCACAGCATAATGGAATGCCATTTGTTCAGTTGGAGACAGTGTCATCATCGTGTTTGGTATACTTGCATGGTGCACATGTAACTTCATTCAAGACCAATGGTAACGAACACTTCTTCATGAGTGAGAAGTCCGTCTACGAACCATTCAAAGCACTACGTGGTGGTATCCCCTTGATCTTCCCTCAGTTTGGTGCCGGCAAGATACAGACACATGGATTCGCCAGGTATGTTTGTCAATGAATATGCCCTTCACTCTCACTCGCTCACTCGATCGATCAATCAATCAATCAATCAATCAAACCCAAGAAACATGCAATGGAGTATAAAGACAACGTTCGTGGACGAGATGAGGGGATCGGTTGGAGTGGAGTTTGAGTTGGTGGACGATGACTACTCGCGCAAGATATGGCCATGCTCATTCCATGCCGTGTACTGCATCACATTGCACAAGGATCGCTTGGAGCTCAGCTTTGCAACAAAGAACACTGATCACAAAGCCTTTGACTTCCAGCTGGCCCTTCACACATACTTTGCCATCTCCAACATCCAGAACGTGCGTGTCGATGGCCTGCACGGCTACAGCTACATTGACAAGATGAAGAATGCAGAGATCGACGTGGAGAAACGCCAGAGCGTAACGATCCAGGAGGAGACGGATCGCGTCTACCTCAACACCAACACCAGCCAGCCTCTGCTCCTGATCGATGATCACAACAAGAGTCGCATCACTCTTCAGTCACAGGCCAACTTGAACGACGCCGTCGTCTGGAACCCCTGGATCGAGAAAGCCAAGCGCATGGAAGACTTTGGCGATCTCGAGTACCCCAAGATGATCTGCATTGAGGCGGGCGTCATTGACAAGCCTGCCATCCTCGAGCCTGGCCAATCCTTCCAGACCACTCACGTCATCATCCCCTCCAACAATCATTCGCCATCACTCTAGATTATGTATTTGTAATGAACAGTTGATCCCATTTGATTGATTGATTGAATGAATGTGTATTACAAGAGTACAAAGTTGTTGTTGGAATATGATGTGGCCAGCTCGCGCGCGCCTTCATCATGATGATCATATGCAGCTGCACTAGGACGAGAAGATCTCGTGATTGATTCGCGTGTAGTTTGGCTCCTCATTCTCATTGGACGAGATCTGGTGATAGGCGTACTCGCCATGCTCCACCAGGTCCAGGCCATACTCCTCCTCTGTCGAGTCGATACGCAGTCCAATCAGCTTGTCAATGACCACGATGATTGTATAGGTGGCGATGATGGACCACGCGGCTACAACGACCACGCCCATCACCTGAAGTCCCAACAGCCTGGCGTTGCCGTAGAAGACACCATTCTCGCCAGCGGGATTGATCGACTTTTGAGCGCAGAAGCCAATGGCGATTGCGCCAATCATGCCTGTGAGGCCGTGGATAGAGCCGACGTCGAGCGCGTCGTCCACTTGTAGACGATGCTTCATGATGTACACTGAGATGTAGGACGCCAGGCCAAGTGTGATGCCAAGGCCAATGGAGTACTGTGAGTTGATGTAGCCAGAGGCTGGTGTGATTCCCGCCAGTCCTGCTACGACACCATTGATGACGGCCACAGTCGATGGCTTACCCTTGAGCCACGACAGTATGATCCAGACAATTCCAGAGAAACTGCCACCAATCTGAGTAGAGGCCACTGCTGAAGTGGCGATGGATCCAGCAGCCAATGCCGATCCAGCATTGAATCCAAACCAGCCCATCCACAACAATGCTGCTCCCAGCGCAGCCAATGGAATGTTTGAAGGAGGGAACTCACCTCCATACTTTACAAAGTCCTTTCGCTTGCCAACATCTGATTGATTGGTTTGATGTATGAGTATGAGTGGACGACTACGTTCGGTCAGCATTGACAACTTACATAGGGCAATGACAGTGCCACTGACTCCAGCTGTGGTGTGGATGACAATACCGCCAGCAAAGTCCAGAACACCCATGCGCTTCATCCAGCCATCACCCCAGATCCAATGCGCGACAGGGTAGAAGACAATGATCTCCCAGAGGATAGTGAGCACGATGAACGAGCGGAACTTGACACGCTCGGCATACGCGCCAGTCATCAACAGTGGGGTGATGTTGGCAAACATCATCATGAACATGGCGTACGCGGCCGATGGGATGTGTGGCGCGTTGGGGTTGCAGTCGGTGTAGCTGACGCCAATGAGGAAGGCGTTGTCCAGGTTGCCAATGATGCCCGCCTGGTCGGGTCCAAACGTGAGCGAGTATCCGAATGCCTGCCACATCACGGTCAGCACTACAATGCCTGAAATGATCTGTGTGATGATTGACAGCGTGTTCTTTGATCTGAGCAGGCCGGCTTCGAAGAAGGCCAGCGCGGGCATCATGCCCAGCACCAATATCGTTGACAACAGTACCCAAGTAGTATCGCCTGTGTCTGGGGGTATTTGTAGATAGCACTGTGAGTATTCGCCAGATGAATTACTACTACTACTACTAACACTACCAGCACCACCACCACCAATACTACTACTATCTGTTGACATTGTATATGTATGTTTAAATATATGTGTACAAAGGTAACATTGAATGATTGTTTGATTGTTTGATTCAATTGTATGATGGTGTGGACCAGTTCTGGAACAAGGACCCTTCCCAAGCGTCATGCAAGATTGACCATGACCAAACTTAATGATCAAGTCTTGAGTCGCACCAACAACATCAATCACTCACTAACTCCAACATTAACTAACAATCAACTATTCTTTAGACCTTTAGGAGTCGGGTCAGCATACACCAATGAATCAATCACCCCCAAACTAACCCCCACAGTCAGTGAACCATCACCTCAATCACAAGTGGCCCCAATAATCGGGTCCAACTGGGTCTCTTTTCATGATCAAAAAAACAGCTCATCAATTTTGCACCAGTATGAGCCAAAAACACACGTTCTCCAAGGTCCTGTTTAGACCTAAAAAAAGTCAATCAGCCAGCCCATCATCCATCTAACATTGATAGCATACAGTAATCAATTACTTTATTATTATTATTATTATCTGTTTAAAGATATATATATATAACATATACTGCGTCTCTGTGATTTATTTTACCTTGGCGTGTAGTAGTTGACAAGTCAACCTATTAACACGCGCAATAAGAAGACAAAACGAAGGACTTTACTCTCCCCTCAATCGACTGCTATATACATCAGCGGCACCAGCCACCGAATACTCATTTAATCCCATAAACATCATCATAATTTGTTGCTAACTACAACAGCAGCAACAACAATACATGTTAAGACAACAACTTCAAAGTCATGCCGCAGCCTCTGCCAATGCCAACGCTAACAACGCCAACGCCAACCCCACCAACACCAACAATGTCAACGCTCCGGCTTTGACACAGACCACAGGCACGGACTTGCAGACATCGACGACGACGTCGATGACAAGTGGTGGCGACACCACATCCACCTCCGACATGATCGGAAATTTCACCAACAGTCAGCCATCACCGATTGTTAAGCGATCCACACCATTGGCCGCACGCAAGGTTAATCCGCCAACACAATTTGTCTTTGCCATTGATGACAAGAAGGCAAAGAAGACTGTGGGCAAACCTGCGATAAACAATGTTTGGGCGCAAACTCACGATGGATCGCTCGGCAGATTGGACCAGCACACGCTCATTCCGGGCCAGCCACTGCCCGCATCGCCACCACTCGCGCACATCCTGTCCTCTACGGATGAGTCCGAGTATGAGCAGGCGGCATCAGACGACGAGGACGATGGAATATCGACCAGTGGAGACGAGACCGATGCAGCCACCAGAGAGGACTACATCCAGCTCAGCTCGTCGATCAAGAGCGTCAAGACATTGGACCTCTCGACGACAATCAATCTCGCCAGCTTCAGTATCGATCACCTCGTGGGCGAGGGCGGCTTTGGCAAGGTGCACCTTGTGACCAGGAAGGACACGGGCAAGATCTACGCCCTCAAGTCCATCAAGAAGAACCACATCATCAAGTATCGCAGCGTCACCAACACCATTGCTGAGAAGGACATATTGAAGCGTGTCAGACATCCATTCATCATCCGTCTCCACTATGCCTTCCAAGATGCAAAGAAGTTATACTTGGTCATGGACTTTGTCAATGGGTAGGTAGATGATGGAGTGAAAGAGTCTACCTTGCAGCCACAACACATTACTGACATCACTCACGCGACTCTAGAGGACACCTTTTCTTCCACATTAACAATGAGTCAATGTTCTCTGAGGCCCAGATGCGCTTCTATGCTGCAGAGTTGATCCTCGCTCTTGAGCATCTTCACAGTCTTAACATGTAAGTGATATAATGGAATGAATACATCCTCCTCGTGCACATGTGCAGGCAATTAACCTTTGAATCCATTCACTGGACGTATTATAGTATCCACAGGGATTTGAAGCCTGAGAACATCTTGTTGGACTCGCAAGGACATATCATCTTGACGGATTTTGGATTGGCCAAGGAGGAGGTGCAGAGTGAGAACTCTGTCGGATCCTTCTGCGGAACAATCGATTATATGGCGCCAGAGATGATCCAGCGAAAGGAGTACGGCAAGTCGGTGGACTGGTGGTCACTCGGCATCCTAATGTACTTTATGCTGGTTGGTAAGGTACCATTCACCTCGGTCAACGAGGCCAAGCAGCAAGAGCGCATCATCAACGACAAGGTCAAGTTCCCGACGTTCATCTCGGCGCCGGCGCGCTCGCTCATCACGGCACTGTTGCACAAGGACCCCACCAAGCGACTGGGTTGCGATGGCCACGGCGTGCAGAAGATCAAGCAGCACGCATTCTTCAAGGGCTTGCAGTGGCGCAAGTTGGAGGCGCGTGAGGAGGTGCCACCATTCGTGCCAAAGACCTCCAGTCCATCGGATCTTAGCAACTTTGATATTGATCTATTGAAACCTAGTATTAATGGCATTGGAGTTGTTAATAATGTTGATGCATCCAATACTACTACAACTACAACAACTACTACAACTACTACAACTTCAACTAATGGCAACAACAATGGAGACAATGGCAACGATATCAACCTTGGTTCAAGCTCCTCTGCACTCACTGGCACATCACCGGCATTGAGCGTATCACAACAGGCGTACTTCCAAGGATTCAGCTATTTTGGCAGTCCTCAATACCTACCTCATAAGTGACTGGCCATGCGTGGTAATGGTAGTGGTCACTTACTACTATTGCCAGATTGGTGTATCATTATCCTTTTCCATTGTTCTACCACTACTACCACTACCATCGTCGTGTTGACATTTACCAAGGATAGTCAATGTATCCATATATGGTCAACATATACATATATGTATCAATACATTATTCGTTCATTCATTCATTCATTACTTGCCTCACCTTCATCGTTGTACATTGTCTAGCTTCATTTGTTGATTGAAAGTACATATATTAACTCTTTCAATCAAACATGGTAAGTACTAACTATCTATATTATTCTAATATTGTTATGTGTACATATACCTTAAGTATGAACAAAAGGTAGATAATAAACATATTAATAAGAGTTATGAGATACAGATAGAGTTGGTAATAAGTATCCAATCTAAAGTGAAGTCAAGATTGCTAGAACCAGGACTGCCACTTCAAGATCGTCCAGTACTTGAATCAATTCTACTTGAAGTTAATAAGATACTACATATAATGTATCGACATATAGACCAACTACAACAACTTGAACAACTTTAGTATTAGTTCGTATCTATCGGGACTCGGATATGGATATGGTCCGCATATCGAAGGAACGACTCGCTTGACTGCCAGAGAAGTGGTCCTGGAAGTTTCAAACACATCAATTTTTATGTTTTTTCGATGTGTGGACTGCTGATGTGGTCCATGTTGCCAGGTCAATCTCTAGCAGAGTGGAACAAAGTTTTGACAGAGAAACTAAGTTAGATATTTACAAATTCTCTCTGTGTATGTAGGAGGTTGTTCATTCATTCATTCACTCTTTCATTCATTCATTCATTCATTATTTGTATTAGTAGTTTTATATATATATATATTATACATTTATATTCTATCTATCTTTATTCAAACATATTAATATATTAATATTAAAGACAAGAAAGAATGAATACAGTTCTCAATAATATTAGTCATAGTCGATACTTCAATGACACATCGACCAATGTCAAGTTGGAGGAGATCAAGAAGCAGCTTGATGGACCATCTGACAAAGAGAAGTTGGAATGCATGAAGAAGTTGATTGCTGTATGTGTTGTAGATCAATCAATCTAAGAATCACTCTCGATGCTAACGATCAATCAATCAATGTATGAATATAACAGATGTTATCAAAGGGTAGAGATGTATCAGAGGTATTCCCACAGGTTGTAAAGAATGTTATTGCGAACAACTTGGAGTTGAAGAAGTTGGTATATATGTACTTGGTACATTATGCAGAGTCTGAGCATGATAGTGCATTGCTGGCGATCAACACATTCCAAAAGTCACTGAGCGATAAGAGTCAGGTGATTCGTGCCTCGGCACTGAGAGTCATGTCGTCGATCCGTGTGGTCGACATCATTCAGGTGATCGTGTTGGCCATCGAGAAGTGCGTAAAGGACAGCTCGCCCTACGTGCGCAAGGCCGCCGCCTTTGCCATTGCCAAGGTGCACAAGCTCGACTCGGACAAGCAGGAGGAGCTGGCCAATCTCATCGAGACACTGCTCAACGACAACAGCACAATGGTGCTGGGTGCAGCCATGATGGCCTTCTCCGAGGTGTGTCCCGATCGTCACGATCTCTTGCATCAGCACTACCGCAAGATATGCCAGTTGCTCGCCGACTTTGATGAGTGGTCGCAGGTGGTCACCATCAACGTACTCACCAAGTACGCCAGGACTCAGTTCAGATGTCCAGACGCATCAATCGTATGTATCATATCCCAGGATGTGCGCGACAATACATCGTCTAACAACACAAACAAACCAAACATAGAATGATAAGAACGTAAAGCAGTTCAAGAAGAAGACTTCGTTCTACTCTGATGATGAGGATGATGAGAACGCTGTTGACGTGCCAAAGAAGGTGGTCGACGCCTATGACACAGAGGAGATTGATTTGGATCACCGATTGTTGCTCAAGTCTTGCTTGCCTCTACTACAGAGTCGTAGCAATGCAGTTGTAATGGCAGTGTCATCACTCTATTTCTACATTGCACCAGTGATCGAAGCACAAAAGGTTGGCAAGTCTTTGGTGCGTCTCCTGCGCTCATCCCCCGAGGTCCAATACATCGTCCTCTCCAACATCTCAACAATGGTCACAATGAGACCCGTATGTACATCTCTCCTCCCTTTAGCCATTCATTCAATCACTAACGCACAACACAGAACATGTTCGAGCCATACCTCTCAGAGTTCTTCATCAACTCCTCGGACCCAGAGTACAGCATCAAGTTGAAGCTTGAGATCCTCACTCGTTTGGCCACTGGCGAGAACATCAGCAAGATACTTAAGGAGTTCAAGGAGTACGTTAAGAACGAGGACAAGAAGTTCGCCGCTGAGACCATCAGAGCCATCGGCCGCTGTGCCGCCACAATCCCCGACGTGACCGAGTCGTGCACATACGGCCTCATGTCACTGCTGTCCAACACATCGACCGTTGTCGTCGCTGAGAGTGTCATCGTGCTGAAGCGCCTGCTTCAGTTGAACGCTGACAATGCCGACTCGTCAATCAAGCACGAGAAAATCATCCTGCATCTGGCCAAGTTGCTCGAGACGCTCCAGGTGCCAAGTGCACGTGCAGCCATCGTCTGGGTCATTGGAGAGTACAGCCACAAGGTGCCACTGGTCGCACCAGACGTGCTGAGGAAGCTGGCCAAGTCGTTCGCCGACGAGGACGAGAGTGTCAAGCTGCAGATCCTGAACCTTGGTGCTAAGTTGCACTTCCACAACGCCGAGCAGACCAACCTGCTCTTCCAATACATCATCAACCAGGCCAAATACGACATGAACTACGACATTAGAGACTGCGCAAGAATGATGCGTCTGCTTCTGATCAACTCGGAGAAGACGCCCAACATCACCCAGCACGCCAAGAACATCTTCATCAACACGAAGCCAATGCCAACCGAGGTCAGTGTGTCGGAGGACCGCCAGCGTTTCATCCTGGGCTCCTTGTCGCACATTGTCAACCACACCGCACAAGGCTACCAGGCACTGCCCGACTTCCCCGAGGAGGTGCCTGACCCCTCAGTCAGACAGCCCAAGCAATGGATACCAGAGGTCAAGAAGAATGTGTTTGGCTTGGCCGATGAGAAGCCATTCTACAGCGATGAGGAGGAGAGTGACGAGGACGACGAGGACGACGACGATGAAGAGTACAGCGGTGGTTCCGAAGAGGAGCTAGACGACGAGGATGAGATGGAGAAGTTCTTTGGATCAGACTCTGATTCCCCTGCACAACCGTAAGCATCTCCTCTCAATGATGGAAGTAAGCACGCACGCTAACAATCAATCAATCAATGTGTAGCAAACAAAATGGACACTCGAAGAAGTCCAAGAAGTCAAAGAAGGCAAAGAAGCCAGAGCAGGAGGAAGACGAGTTTGATGAGGATGAGATGGACGAGCTGTTTGGTGTGGCTGAGGAGATGGAGAAGTTAGATATATCTTCGACAGCAACCCCTGTTAAGAAGGTACTGCTCAAGCCAGCAGTGAGTCAGGGTCTCAGCATTGATTACTACTTCCTGAGACAGGCCCCAGAAGACGTACAGGTTGAGGATGGCTACAACTGCATCCAATTGCATCTCAAGAACACATCGACCGAGTCCTTTGACGACATCAAGATTGGCAAGAAGACCTTGATCGATGGCGCCAACCTCATCGACTTTGACACTATTGAGTCGCTGGCACCCAATGACACACTTGAGCGCAACCTAATTGTATCATTTAACTCCACCTCACAAGCCTGTAAATTTGAGATTAGGTATGTATCCATCAATCCATCCTCCTCAGTCCACAGACTAATCAAACCAACAACCACTCGCTCACTCAATTACAGCACATCCCGCGGTGTATTCCCTGTTGTGCTGACACCTATCATTGGTGAGATGGTCAAGCCTACCGAAAAGGATATCGAGCTGTGGAAGACTGAGTTCGAGGCACTGGAGGCAAAGAGCATCAGTGAACAGATTGAGTTGGGCGCCAACACTGCCCAGCAAGGCGTCGTACAGGCACTCGTGGAGAACATCAATCTGCACGCCAACTCTGCCAACACTGGCCGCACCAAGCTCCAGTTTGTTGCCACCACTCTGCTAAAGTCCACTGAGCTGTACGTCCTGGTGGACCTCGTGGACGCTACATCTGCACTCTGCACCATTCGTAGCAATGATACACTCACTGCCACTCTCATACTCAAGAAGATCACCGATGTGCTACAACGTTGAAGAAACAGTCTGTCGACAACAAACACAACATAACATCAACAACAAGTTTATATATACACATACATATACACATATCTGATCAACTCACTAACTCCACACTGATTGATCGATCAATCAAACAATGTGCAGCTTTGTTGCCAGCAGCAACGCAACAGCAGCCAGTAACATCCATCCAATCCATCTATCTCACTCATCAAATAAATCTGACATTAATACAAGGCAACTCTCTATCTTTGCGAACTACTGACTTCATTCATTCATTTGATTCAAACAAAGTCAGTCATTGTGGCTCTCTGTTCAGGAAGCAACTATCGATGATATCTTATTCTTCTTGTTCTTATTCTACACACCCTGAATTCAGACTTTGACCGGATTACCCAGGTCCCATCCCTTCCCATCACCTCGCTCAGTGTCACTTGAGTGAACATGCACATGTTGTAATTAATGATAAACCACACACATTTCATTTCAGATTGGATTCCAATCAACTTGGCTTATGCCAACACACAGGTGGATCTCGAGCTCTTCACACACACTCACATTCAGGAACCTTCGACACACCCACTATTCTCTGTTCCGGAACATGTGAGACAATACTATCTGTGTGGGTGTATGTATTGTTGTTGGATCTTGTTTGTAGCTTTGTCGGCGATGAAACATTATAAATTGGATAAATCCAGGTGTGTTGTTGAATCAACATCAACTTCAACTTCACTTGTGAACATCATCATTAAACATATCAATCAATTAATCAATATAATTAATATATATACCTACATATAAATAAATAAAATGACAGCCAACACTAGAGATAACCTTAATGCCATCCTAAAGGGAATCCAAGAGGGAAAGATCTTGGAGGTATTTGACAAGTACTATCACAAGGATTGTGTGATGTATGAGAAGGGTGACTCCACCAACCGTGTTGGAAAGGAAGCCAACAGAAAGGCCGAGCAAGCATTTGTTGACAATGCCAAGTTCCATGAGGCAAAGGGTATGTAATACTAATATTTAAATCTTTATCACTATGAATATAACTAACATTACCAATTATAATAGTGAACAAGATCCTTGTTGATGGAAACAACTCTGCCTATGAGATGTACATGGACTTCACCTATGGTGGTCACAATGTTAAGAAGACCCAATGGGCCATCCAACAATGGCAGGATGGTCAGGTCATCAAGGAGGAGTTCTGGTAATACCTTGGTACCAAGGTAGTCACTTGATGATGTCCAATTGACAATCAATCAAATCAATCAATTACAACTTGTCTATAATTTATAACTTTATAAATCATATATATTTATATTTGTATCTATCTATTCTCAATTTATATCAATATGATGTTGATTGTTGTTGTCTCAAAGCCTGACTGAGTGGAAGTGTGTTGCTGACTTCACGATAGATATCATTGCGATAGAGTACAATTGATGCCTTTTGAGAAATCAATGAATCCATGTCTGATTGTGACATCCAGAATGTGAGACTGTTGTCTAGGTCACTCCATTCAATCACCGTGATGAATTGTATGATGTTGGCAGTATTGACGGTATCCAACACGGCCTTCCTGAACACAACCTTGTCCACCATATTAGCCGGGCCAAATTGCATTGTAGGTAAACGATATTGCTTTGGACAGTTGGCCAGATATATCAATGCCGAGTATACTGGACGTTGTTGGACGGCAAATGGTATGCCCATCATGTTGTCCGTCATACCGAATGAGCTGATCTTCCATTGATGGATGTCTGATGGGTTGGGCAGGGGCGTGGTGATGCGAGCGTTGAGTGATTGACTGAGCCAGAGTGAGGCAATGGTCCTGAGCTCCACTTGGAAGGCCATCGTGTTGATTGTCTTGGGCGTGGGGGACTGCGCCGCTCCAACTGGTATCATTCGTTTGTCTGAGAGTGCAGCGGCAGACTTGACACTGCCAGACAACAGTTGATCAATGAATGATGTGAGCCAGTGAAGTGGGTATCCAATGTCGCGGAGACGATCGAGAATGCGGAAGAAGATCGACATGTTGTTGGGACAGTTGAACGTGACCACGTCGGCTGGGTTGATCTTGGCGGGCAGCATGATGTTGATGAACACACGGACGAGCCACAACCAGATCTCATCACGCTTGGCCAGTGACTCGAGGGGCAGCTTCTTTGGACCGGCATGAGTCCAAGTGTTTACCTGCCACAGATAGTCTTCGATACAGCGCATGCCAAAGTACTTGTGAGCTTGGGTGATCGATGGGATGAGTGTATGTGAGTGGACTGCCTCCTCGTAATCCTTGAATAGGCCAGTGTTGAGGATAACGTTGAACTTGATGAATGCGTGTGGCTTGAGCTTGAGACTGTTGATCGTGTCGACAAACACAATTAGTTGGCCAGTGTAGTCGGGCACATTTGTCAAGAATATGCGATCAAACTGGTTTGGAAGGTTCTTGGCCATGCGACTCTTGTCCTCATCAATGCGTATTCTCTCTAATGTCTTGTTCATATCACCAACATCAAACTCCACCGTGATATACTTTCGATCAGCGAGTTGACGCAATCCCCTTGCAGCCTGGAACACTACATTGATGAAGTAATCAAAGTGTTCTGTATGGCTCATCTCTGGTTCGCCGAGCCACTGGATTGATTGGTCCATCATCAGAATTAGTTAGTGATTGAGTGTGATCGAGGGTGATTGGAATAGTTCCATACCTTCATATGTACAAAGTGTGTAAGACTATTGACAGGGTCAAAGTTGAGTCCAGTGAGATGTTTGAAGTCAATGTCCAGGAATGTGATGTTGGGCTCCCAGTTGTCATCGAATAGACTTTTCTTCAATGATTTATCCAAGCTTTCTGGATCCTTGATATTGAATGCTTGGTACGCCTCGCCCGCCTTCCTATCAAACTCTGACAAACCATCACAGAGCATCAGTGGCTTTGGCATTGGAATCAACTTGTAGATTCTCGACCACATACTCGGTTTGGCCTCACTTGGCAACGTCATGCGGGTCATGCCTTCAAAGTCATCCTCGAGTATCTTGGCCAAATCGTCCTTCATGGCTTCGAAGGCTTCAGGGGTGAGGTCTGGCATCATCTGTTTGACATAGTCATAGTCCTTGATCTGCTCGATCATCGCTTGGCGTTCCTTCGCACGCTCGCTCATCGCTGCCTGATATGTCGACGACGAACCCATCGTGATCTCATCTGTGGTCTCCTTCTTGGGGACGAGGATGGCTTCAGCGCGCATCCTCTTTGCCGTGAATCCATGTTCACTTCGCCAGTAGTTGAGTGATCGGCGTATCATTTTCCATGACTGCTTGTCAACGACCATGTGATTGGGCAACTGAACATGTGTGAGTTGGAGCAGTTCGTCGATGACCTGAATGAGTCGTTGATAGGTCACACCTGGCATGGCCACACTAAAGTACATAAAGTAGATCAATGATGCGTCCAATGCTGCCTGCTTGTCTGTGTAGATGGCGTTGATCGAGTTGAATGCGCCAAGTGAGTGGAGCAGATGTGTGAGCACAACGTTGCGCGCCAATGATGTTGCCTTGATGTCATTGAGAGTGATGTGCACCTTTGTGTTGTCGGGCATCGTCGACACTTGGCGATTGAGGTCGGCATAGGTGATGAGGGCATGACGACCATCATTGCAGCCACCAAAGAAGATCGACAACTCTGGGTGCTCGGCCAACTGGATAGTTTGTCTCTGGTGATAGCGAGTCAAGTCACCATCTTTCTCCGACAGCACATCCGTCTCGTCCACGGGCTCAAACTGGCATCCCAGGGCACTGATGGGCTGATCATGTCCCATCACAAAGTACTCGCCAGTAGAGCAACGCACGGGTAGGTTACGTGGCAGGTTGTTAACGCGTGTCAGTGGCGCATCGGCAGGCAATCGTTTGTTCTCGTGCTCGATGGATGTGATGATCTTGTCCATCTCTGGACTGCTTCCTTTGAGATCGGCTGAATGATCATTGAGTAGAGTGATCAAGTTGTCACGATCATTGATTGTGAACAGTGCCTTGGCGATACGAGCCAAGTTCTTCTTGTCCAATTGTTTGGGATCTTGTCCACCTTGTTCAACGATCATCGCTCTGACTTTATTTGATGCTTCAATCGAGTCGGAATATAATCCCAACTCAAAGTAACATGCTGATTGATTCGATATTATTGTAAAGTCATTTGGAGCGCACTCTAATGCCCTAGCATACACCTTCAAGGCTTCATCGAACTCTCCTTTTGCGAACAACTGATTGCCCTTGAGCCTCAGTGTTTCAGGGCATTCTACTTCTTGTTGTTGTTGTTGTGACATGTATATGTATGTATATATTGTGTTGCGATATGTATTTTATGATTGAGTGATGATCAAACATTATTCAACTATCGTTCGTTTAATATGTGGTAAAACTCAATTATATTTCTTAAAAGCCTTATTTGGAAATATAACCTTTTTCGGAAGTCAGATGATGAAGATCAAAAACAACAATAACTCTTACAGCCCTTCATTCAATCAATATCTTTATTATAACTATTCATACATATATATATTCAACCATACTTAATAATAATGTCAGATCAACAAACAAAGACTGAGGAGTTGAGACTCAAGGGCAATCAGTTGTTTGCAAAGGGAGAGTTCAGCGAGGCTTTGAAGGTCTATGCTGAGGCATTAGAGTGTGATCCCACTGACTTTACAATCATATCGAATCAATCAGCATGTTACTTTGAGTTGGGATCATACTCAAATGCGATTGAAGCATCAAATAGAGTGAGAGTAATGATCGCTGCACAAGGTGGACAAGATCCCAAACAATTGGACAAGAAGAACTTGATGCGTATCGTCAAGGCACTGTTCACAATCAATGATCGTGACAACTTGATCACTCTACTCAATGATCATTCAGCCGATCTCAAAGGAAGCAGTCCAGAGATGGACAAGATCTACACATCCATCGAACAAGAGAACAAACGATTGGCTGCCGACGCGACTACACCACCAATACGCGTGAACGACCTACCACGCTTCCTTCCACTTCGTTGCTACAGAGGCGAGTACTTTGTTATGGGACATGACCAGCCAATCAGTGCACTGGGGTACAAGATTGAACCCATCAAGAAGGACCAGTATTCGCCCAAGGATGGCGAACTGACCAGATTCGAACAGGCTCATACTATCTCGCTGGCCGAGCATCCACAGCTATCATTCTTCTTTGGTGGCTGCAATGATGGTCGTCACGCCATCATCACCTACGCTGACCTCAATCGACAAGTGTCGACGATGCCTGCCAACACCAAGATGCACTTCACGCTCAATGACATCAAGGCATCGTCTCTGGCTCGTAACCTTATCTTTACGCACTTGCTCTACTCACTTGGCGCCAACGACTCCATCGACGCCATTTACAAGGACAAGCAGGTCGCCCTCGAAGCATCACTGCTTTACTTTATGTACTTCAGTGTGGCCATTCCACGCGCTATCTATCAACGACTCATTCAAATTATCGACCATCTCCTCAGCTTCACGTCACACGATCAGTTACCAGAGCACATCATCGTCGACAAGGCGGCATGGACATTGATACGCACCTCGCTCAACTACTGGCGTGGCAACCTGGGAGTCACAACCAAGACCATGCGTGAGAATACATCGACTGGCGCATCAAAGGAGCTCTTGGACGAGATTACAGCATCGTCCTCAGAATCGTCCAAAAAGGTCCTTGGCGCCAAGGACGCTCAGAAACAAGCATTGTTGGAGCAGATGAAGAACTTTGACTTTATGAAGAGCATGATTCCAAACCTCACGCGCGAGGAGTTCGACGCCAATTTGAGCAAGATGACAGAGATGTTTGAAGAGAACTCTGATTCACTCGTAAAGTCATCATCTCTACCATCTTTTGCGGCTGCGTTGCAATGGAACAGAGTATTCAAGACAATGCCAGTGCCCGAGCCCCTGTTGATGTGTGATGGCACCGAGTTTGAAGGCAAACTCTTTGAATTATTCTGTGAAATCAGCAATAAGACCAAGTCGAGAGATACCTCGCCCCCAAAGGCCATCGTCAGTAGCAAGGAGTTCGATCTCAAATGGGTGCCCAACGTCACCATGCTTGACCCAGACTACCAACACTTCTCCCAACTCACCTTTGACCCAATCGACAGTCTTCCATTCTTTGTCTCAATGAAGGTAATGTAATGTTCAGTCGATCACGCCCTAGGCTCACCAACTAACTCACTCAATCAATCAATCAATCAATCAATCAATCAATCAATCAATCAATCAATCAATCAATCAATCAATCAATCTAGTGGCTTGGCGAACCAGAGATGGAGGAGCCAGTGTTCTTTGATTACTTTATGAATGTTGCTTTCCAGGCTGCCAGGGGACTGCGTCAATGTACCGATCGCAAGTACCTCACGGTGGAGTTTGATGTTGGTGACCTGAACAAATCGTTGGAGAGAATACGCAAGGATGTGGATAAGGGTCGTCAGGCCAAGAACCTTCCTACCAAGTTCGATCGCATCTTCCTGACCAATGTACCCGACTACACTGGTCAGCTCACTGTGCTCGTCGACACGATCAACAGTCTCAAGTTTGAGTCACACTCATTCATCATGTTCAACGTGATCCTCAACACTGGCCTGTTCCATGACTATGAAGAGGCGGTCCATTCGCACACACTCCTGCCATCCATCGCCCACGCTCAGAAGTACCTGGGCGTTCGTTGTCTAGAAGATCAGCTGTGGGGAGACAACACATGGACACATGTTGCCAAGAAGAGTGATGACCTGCCCATGCCACTCGATTCACTGGCCAAGCGTGATGAGATCTGGTTGTGGCTTGTCCGTGTGTTCATCAACATCATGCTGCCCGCCAAGATCAACCCGGCCGATGTTGTCACGTTCAACTGTCCCAACAACATGTCGATCTTCTTCCGCATCCTCGATCGTCTCCGCGACGTTGGATATCCACTTCACTGGCTCACATCATTCATTGATCAACTGTTGTCCGGCAGTGTCAAGTCTGCCGCTGCACTCTCAGACAAACGAGCCATCAAGGTTGGAACGGCAGTGAGCTCCACGCCAAAGACAATCAACACGATGGCATTCCAAGTTGAGCTCAGGACCATTGCCTCACTCTGGGTGGGCCAATCACTCAACGCTCGCATCATCACGCCCTTGCCCAACCCATCGGACATCCATCAATGGATTATAGGATCATTCAAAATGCTCGACAACGTTATGGGCAGACCCATAACCATTCAAGACAGACCACTCTACTCGGCCGTCATTATATGTGGTCTATGTCCAAAGCAATACGTCATGCAACCACTCATGCTGTCGACACGTGGTATTGATGAAGGAATTAGAAAGGTCGTTTTGGACACCATCACCTCTGACAGCATATTACAATTCATCACAATGATTGATTGGAACGATGATGAAGAGTGTCTTTCATTCTGGATGTCACAAACAGACATGGACCGATTGATCCATCAAAAATCAACCATCATGATCTATCGCAATGATGTATATCGCGCTGTAACCAACACACTTTCACTCAATCAAGCAAAGAAAGTAGTTATGTGATCGATTGGAATGATTCCAGAGGGTGTGAAGTTCGTTGTGGGGGTACCCGTCAACTTCAAATAATAAAACAGTCTTGTCCCGGACTCATTCACTCACTCATTCATTCTCACTCTAACACAAAGAGATAATAACAAAGAGATAATAACAAACAAACAATGACGAATAAGAGAAAGGCAAGACCGGTAGCTGCAGCTACTCCAACGACAACAACCACTGCGCCTGCGTCTGCACCTGTTGTGTCAGAATCAGAGGAGCTTAGACTAAAGGGCAATCAATTATATACAAAGGGTCAGATCAAGTTGGCTTTGAAGACGTATGCTGAAGCACTGGCCATTGCTCCCAATGACTTTACAGTCGTTTCGAATCAAGCAGCATGCCACTTTGAGCTCGGTGACTACAACGCAGCCATCGAGACCTCAAACAGGGTGCTCACAATGATTGCTGAGCAAGGCGGCAACGATCCCAGTCAGCTCACCAAGAAGAACATGACCCGTGTCATCAAGGCACTGTTCATACTCAATGATCGCGACAAGTTGGTCCCATTGCTCGCCCAGAGTGAAGACTTTATCAAGGGTACTCCAGAAGTCGATGCTATCTATCGCGCGATGGCCAGTGAAACTGCCGAGCTCGAGAGACTGCAGGCGCAGCAGGACGCCCATCACATGGTCCTGATCCCAGACTTGCCTCGCTTCTTGCCCAAGCGCACACGTATCTTGGAGTACTTTGTTGTGGGCCATGACCATCCTGCCAGCGCACTCGTGGGCACCGAAGTCAAGCTCACCACGAAGGAGCACGTCAGGAAGGACGGCCAGCTCCAGCGCCACTACGACAAGGACACACTCCAGGTGTCCAAGCATCCCCACATGTCCTTCTTCTACGGTGGCTGCAGCGATGCCCGTCACGCCCTGATCACATACGCCGATCTCGGTCGTCAGCTGTCGACAATGCCCGTCAACACCAAGCTACACATGACACTCAACGACATCAACCCATGTCCAATCGCACGTGACATTATCATCACGTACCTTCTCTACTCAATCGGTGGCCATTCAACCATTGACGCAATCTACACAGACAAACAAGCCGCATTGGATGCATCTCTGCTGTACTACGTCTACTTTGGTGTGGCCATGCCCACGGCCACATACACGCGACTCATGCAGTTGATCGACGAGCTGATGGCGTTGGACGCCGACAAGCTTCCCGAATATCTTATCATCGACAGGGAATCATGGGCGCTCGTGCGCAACTCGTTGGATTACTGGCGCAGCGAAAAAAAGATCAAGTCAAAGACGATGATGGAGCATTACAAGTTGAGCTCAGACTATGAGGTGCCCGAGGAGGACTATACCAACCCAGAGATGCTCAAGAACAAGGAGATCGTCGAGGCCGATCGCCAACGCATGCTCGCGCAGATCAACAACTTCGACGCCATGAAGAAGGCGTACCCGGGACTGACACGCGAAGAGTTTGAGAAGCGCAGAAAGGTAATGACCGAAGAGATCATGAGAAAGGCCGACACGGAGCTGATGGGCCAGCTCCGTCTGCCCATTCACCAGGACAACTCATGGCTCATTGTGTTCAAGGCGATACCGGTGCCAAAGCCACTGCTGCTGTGCGAGAACACTGGTGTCGAGAAGGAGATATTCAACCTGTCCGAGAAGATCACCATGAATATCAGGTCGGGCAACTCGGCCAAGGCCGAAGCACACAAGGCAGAGATCAAGAAGTTGTTGGCCAACTGGAAGCCAAACGTCACCTTCTTGGACAAAGAGAGCAAGATCTTTGAGTTCCAGAACATGGAGTTCCAGCCAATCGAGGAGTTGGATAGCTTCCTCTCCATGAAGGTATGCATATAGATGTGTGTGAATGAGTTCGTTAACCATGTTCCATCACTCATGCAATCAATCATAGTGGTTGGGCGAACCAGCAATGGATGACCCGACGTTCTTTGACTACTTTATCAACTTCTTTTATAGGTCTGGCAGAGGCATGCGCCAACTTGTAGACCTCAAGTACCTGGCGATTGAGATGTGCGTTGGAGATATGCACAAGCACCTCGAGAGGATAAGATCACGCCCCAACAACATCATACAAAGCCTACCAAACTCATTCGATCGAATATTCTTGAGCAACGTACCAGACTACATGGGCCATCTGTCCGTCTTTTCAGATGTTGTCAAAAGTCTAAAGTTCGTGCCACATGCCTACATCAAGTTCAACATCTATCTCAACAATGGCATGTTCAGGGATTACGCCGAGGCTGTCACCACTCACACTCTTTTGCACCAACCCATCTCCAACTTGCCGAGGTTCCTGGGCATAGGCTGTCCCGCCAACGCAAACATATGGAACGACACCAATTGGACACAGCGTGCAGCCAGTCTGCCGCTCCAAATTGAGTCACTCGCCACCAAGGATGAGCTGTGGCAGTGGCTGGTGCGCATGCTTATCAATGTCATGCTGCCCGCCAAGATCATCCCCAACCAGCCATGCACCATCAACTACCCCAACAACATGTCGATCTATTTCCGCATTCTCGAGAGACTGCGCGACATTGGATACCCTCTGCACTGGTTGACAACCTTTACCGATCAGTTGTTATCTGGCGAGGTGAACTCGACCGCCACACTCACTCCCAAGCGTGTTGTCCCATCAGACACACCGAGGGGCCCGGCCACGACCATCTACACCAACGCGTTCCGTCTCGAGCTTAGGACGTTGGCCGCGATCTGGATGCGCCAGTCACTGCGCACACGTATCACCGCGCCTCTCCCACAACCATCTGACATCCAAAAGTGGCGCATCAAGTCCTTTATCATGCACGACACAGCATGGGGAGGCAGGGTACTGACCAACCCCAATACACCAGTAATCTCAGCCGCGATCTACTATGATCGTTGCCCCAAGCAGTACCAGATGGTTACAGTGGTGCACATGTCAAATGGCGACGAGATATCCGACAACCTCAGGAGGAACGTGGTGGACAATGTGTCCATCAGCCAGCAGATTCAGTTCATCACAATGATTGAGTGGTGCGATATCACGAGGAGTTTGGTGTTCTGGATGTCTCGCGAGGACATGAAGACGCTGGTGGACAACAATGCCAAGATAGCAGTCTATCGCAATGATGCATACCGTGCCATCACCAATTCGATCGATATCAAGCTTGCAAAGAAGTTCGACATGGAAGAGCATCTGCAAGAATATGCATCAGAGAACAACAATCTTGCAAAGAAGGCTGGTGCTGTCAATCCATTCGAGATGTATCGATCGATGTATCCCGATGTAGAGTTCAACGACGAGGATGATGAGTTTGACTACTTCAACAACGATAGTGATGATTCCGATGAAGATGATGACGATGAGGACGAGGATGAGGACGAGGATGAAGACGAGGAAGAGGATGGGGACGATGACGAGGAAGAGGAGGAGAACCTATACTCAGACTCGGACTAAACTCACATGCTATGTACAAATGGAAGCAATCTATGTTTATTTAGAGTTGATTAATGTATTGAAGGCCTGGCGAGCAACTACCTTGCATTTCTCAAAGTCTTCTTGGTACAATACTGGCGCGCCATTGTGTTCTGGTCGATCACAGTTGAGCTTGAGTTGATCCAGCCAAAGTATGTTGGGTATGGATGGCATGTCACTACCTGATCCAAGTGATAAAAGTAAACTAAGCAGTGATGAGGTCTTTGAGTTGAAAGACAATCCTTTCTTGAACAGGATGGTCATCAAACAATATCTTACTATCTGATGAGAGGTGATCACTATGAATGAGTTTGGTACTTGATCCAGCTCTGCTATAAACTTGGTTACCTCTGACAAGTACACATTGGAAGACTCTTGGCTGTGAATGGCTTTGTACTTGTCATCAATGAGTGATTGATTTGATTGCGCAACTGGAGCTATTGTAGACTGGTTTGGAAGACTGACAATGGTCGACAATGGCAAGTGATGATTGATGGTAGGAAGTTGTGATTGACTCTGACTTTGAATGAAATTTGAATCATCAACGGACAAACAATGCGTCCTCAATCTGGTCAATCCCAACTCAATTGACTTGTCTGGGAGTGACGAAGTTCGAAGCATCCTAATGAACTGTACAACTCTATCAGTTCGATCTTTGTAACTAACATATCTCGAGCTGATCCTGTACAGGTGTATCGATGGAACTACTCTGTTGCCAATGATGTAGAATGTGATCTCGTCAAAGTTGGATAGGGAGTGAACTTGTTTGCCAACAATAACCTTTACAAGACCTGTTCCATCCTGAGAGTAAAGAGCGATCTCACCATCTGAGTATGTGTTGATTGGATCCATCAAATAGTTGGTACCATCCAGGGTGTAGTACACTTCTGTTCCAGAGTTCTTAACTGGATTGGGATTAGAATTGTTGTTGAGGAGATTATCAAAGAGGGATGCCTTGTCCTTGAACGATGCCTTCATCACCTTGATGGTAGTCTGTGTGTCCAGATCAGGATTGAATAATATTGATAAAGGTATTTCATCAACACCTGGGAACTGAGATATGAACGTTGATATCATGTAGTTAATCCAATTGGTCTGGATCGAATCCTTGCTCAATGTTAGAGTGTACGTGCCAGGTGTGTAGATATACATCGTTCCTTCAGACACCTTGGTAATATTGACATAGTTATTGGTGAATGTTGAGTGAAGTATTGCCAGATTGATCTTGAAGCTGTTCATAATTGTTGTGATTGGGTAGTCGTAGTTGTGACTGTTTGTTGAGGCCAGCATGATGGTTTGAGCCAATTGAATGATCGTAGGATGCCTAACACGTTGGTTCAACATGGCAAGATAGGCAGGTGTTTCAAGTATTACAGTCTTGTTAACATCCAAAGTCTCAACGACCGAGGTTCCAATGTCCTTGACCTTGAAACAATCTGCAAGTGATGGATGTATAATGTGCACCTTGTCCAAGTCTAATCGTTTTCCAATGTCCATCGTTGAACAGTACACAATAGACCTATCCACAACAAAACTCTTGTTGGTGAGGAGGTAACGTACTTCTGAATCTTTGCAATGCGAATAGAGATTGAGGAAGCTTTTAACATTGTCATTGGCAATGGTTGAGTTTAAACTACCATTGATCATTGACAATGCCAGTGATGTTGAGATCTTGGCATGTGCACCAAGTTGACTGAGAGCGGTATGGCAGCTAGTGTAGTAATATTGGAAAGCGAAGTAGTAAGGTCTGTATTGATCATGACAATTGAGTATAATTTTGGCTGGAGGTACTGATAGTGCTGATCCAGGTAATGGTATCTTGAAGTTGGAACCACAATATGAGCTGAGGTTATACTCTGTAGAGTTTTTGAAGGCCTTGGTGAGAAGTTTAATGTTTGTATCGCTGTTCACACCATTCTCAGGTTTCCATTTGTCTCTTGCCAGTACCAATACATTGTACAAGTGTGAGGACCTCTCTCGTGCAGTTGGAGTATCTATACTTGAATTCATGTGATACACAGGGAAAGACCTAATGGCTTTGATAGTGAAGTAATAATCCTCACTGATTGCATTGACTGATTGAGACAAAGTGGTGAATGCTCTGGAAACCACTGCACCAGGGATATTTGATTGCCTGCAGGGTACAATATACAGACTTCTCAAAGTTATAACCTCAAGGAGATGACGTTTCTCCAATTGGTGGACCAAGTATGTGGCCTTGGTTGTCAAACTTTGTTCTGCAGGGTGCACCAATGTAGAGTATTGTGATGAGAAGGTCTGGCACTCTCTGATCAAGTCTCCCTCCGACATCTCTGACTTGAGGTGCATGGACGTCCAGAAACTCCTCCAATCCTCACCTTGCATTGATGTTGGTGGGAATGATAAGCTGAACAACTTGAGGTCCTTGTCTGATGGATCATGAAGATGAGAGATGGTTGTCATTGTGTATGATTGAGAAGTTCCCAATGGAATGATTACGAGTGACTTAAGGTCTGTCAGATGTTGGTAACCAAGGAGATGATACACATCACGTAGATGAGTCAATGTCTTCAAGATTGTGTCATAGGGCTTGTATCTAAACAGAGGATCATTGAGCAGGAATCGATATAGAATGGTGGCTTCATTGTACCCACGGTAGTTGTGGAGGATCTGTTGGTGCAGGCCAAGAATGTGCGCTAGCTTGAGAGACAGCTTTGGATGAACATACACTGATGCGTCGCCATGAATGTTGAATGCCAAGTCAGTGTACAGGATGTTGATGAATGTGTCTTTGTGTGCTCGTTCAATCTTCTTCACAATATTATTATGCATGGATAACAATGTGAGACCAACCATTGACTCTGGCTCAACTTGGAAGAGTTTGTCGAGGTAATCAAACAACAATAGTGCATCATCCACAAGTGTGATGGTCACAGTGTATAGATAGTTGCGAACTGATTGGGGGCTGAATAATTGACCATTAATGAGTGGTGTCTTGGCATCCTTGGGCAGGAGCTTGGTTGACACTCTCAAGACCTCTGCTTTGTACTTGCACATTGTGTTGATGATGGGGAGAGTCTTCTCTGTCAACATGTCATTGGAGACATGGAGCGAGTTCTCCGTCGACTTGAACCATGAAGGCACATCATTGACAGATATCCTGATGCACAGTTGTTGATTGATTGCCAACTCATAGAACCTGTCAATGACGCGAGTGAATGGTTTCAGACACTTGTTGACATCCGGGAAGTGATCGTATAAACTCATGAAGTTGTCAATGGTGCCAGTGTATTCAACTTCATCTCGAGCATGAATCATCAACTGGACCATCATCGGTGCAATTATGTCTTCAAACAACACCATGTTCCAAAGCGTTCCCATGTTCACTGGCGTGTGATTGGACACATCCAACTTGACTCCTTTTGGATAGGCATTGGTGTCTTCTATGAGTGTCCTTGAGGAATGCAACTCAAAGTATCCATCAATGTGAGCGTCCAAACCTGTCAAGATTTTGGTGGGTAGTGTAGAGAACACCTGGCCAACAAAAGGTTGATCGTGCTCTCCAATTGGGATGGCCGCACCACCAATCGGCAGTCGCTTTCTTGCATTGACCAACTGACCAATTTGTTTGAGGGACTGTCTGAAGAGTGCCGTGGCCATTGGACCTCCTACACGGCGACCGATCAACCACTTCCTTGTTATCTTGGCTGGCTCAATCAAGAACTCCCTCATAGCAATCCAGTCGGTGGGGTCGTTGGAATCGGTTCCCTCGAGCTTGTCGAGTATCGGCTTGACTAATAGTTGCACACTATTATTATTGTTGTTGTTATTACTATTATTATTATTATTATCATGATTGGTTGATCTATCAGTCCTGCAGATAGAGTGGATCAGTGTGGTGGTGCCATCGACCATACGGTGGAATTTGATCGTCCTGATGTTGGGAAGGAACAGCATGGACTTCTCAACATTGCTGATGAACAGTTGGAACAGCTGTTCGCCATTGTCGTCCATCTCTTGACCGGCAATATTATCATATCTGGTCCAATCTGAGAATGAGAATATTGGATCGACACTCTTGCGCATGGGCAATCTGAACAATGTTTGATTGAATGGTGATGTGAGATCGAGACCAAAGTTCTTGTAGGCCTTGTAAGGCTCGAGAAGGATCGGGTCGATATATGCAGTGTTGATAAAAGAGAACTTCTTGCCCTTCTTGTTGCTGTCAAAGTAGCTGGACTGGTCGAAATGGTTCTGATGAACATCAAAGAAGTAGATGTGCTCGTTGGCGACCATGGATGGGATGTCTGTGATGTTGAAGACAGAGTTGAAGCCATGACCAAAGCGACCAATTGATGAGGAATCATTCATCTTGACAGAGTCTCCAACACTTTGAATGTTCTTGATGTCCTGTGGAGACATTGGACGATTGTTGATAAAGGTAATCGATGGGCCAAGCAAATCAAAGTATTTGGCTGGGTAGTCCTTGGCATTCTCAGGATTGACCAAATAAGAATAATCATTCAAGTCCATCACAATGTCCATTTGAGTGGCCTCAGCATCGTCAGCATTCTGAATCATCTCTCCCATCAATGATCCAGCATCATATCCATCTTTGAGTATCTTTTTCAATGTCTGGATTTGTTTGATTGATTGATTGATTGATTGAGTGAGTGTTAATATAACATGTATTGATTGATTGATTGATTGATACATACAGTGTGTAGGTTGACATATTGACCAAAGCCATTTTCTTCCTCGCCATGATGTAGAAGTTGTCGATCAGATATGATACCAAGATTGTTGGCGACAAGGTTTGAGATTGCTTCGTTGATCTTGTGGAAGTCATTGTTGAGTAGACCAACGGGCAGCTTGTCTCCACCTTTGCAAATGAGTATCTGGTTATTGGGATAAAGTACTCCATTGTCCGCCGGCACATATATCTCAATCGGATGTCTTGGTTGTTGACCAATGTCTTGTAAGATGTTAAGCACCACCTGCAATTTGTCCTTGGGCAATGGCACCTTGCTATTCTCCTTCTCAATGGCATTGATCACCAATACGAATCGCTCCAGGTTGTAGTTCTCTGGCACACCAAACAGTTCATAAAGTGGACGATGGTGGCCGAGTGCAGGACAGATCTCGAATAAGTATGGAGTGAGGTCAGTCTGACTCTTGAATGCCACTGAGTCTGCGGTGGTGAAGTGTCTGCCGCACCAGATCCACTTGAACTTGGACAAGCTCTGTTCAAGTATAGTTGGAGATGTTGGGATATGCTTCTTTAGCTCCAAGTAGATGATGTCAATGATCTGTGTAAGATCTGATGCAGTGTTGCCAAATGAATGCTCGTCCATCTGTTCTGAGATGTTACCAAGATGAGTGATCACCATCTCCAACGATGGTCTATGGAATAGTATTAACTTGAGTCGCTCTGAGAAGCTGGCTGGTAGATCTGCAATCATTCTGTTGGTGAAACATAGTTGCCAATCCTCAGGTCTAGCACAATTACTTGGGCTGGAGAAAGATGATGATAATGATGATGATCCTTGAATGACCTTGAGTGAGGTGAGTATGACACCCTCATCAACTTTGTGATCACTCAGATCGACTCTTATCCAATTAATGTTGGAGAGTGTTGCCAACTCATTGTCTGTGTAGTTGGAGTTTGTTGAACTCAACAACTCAATGAATTGATCATATAGCTCATTGTCATTGGTTGATGCAATGTGCTTGGCAATGTCTTGAATACGATTGATGTCCAACTTTGCCTTGGCGGTAAGGATCATCCATGGGTCGGAATAGGCATCAGTGCACAATCCCTGATCAATTAGGAGATCATTCATGTTGGCATTGCTAAGAATGGCAGTGTCCTTGTTGAAGAAATACATTGATTGAGGGGCACCATGAATCGTTGAAGAATGAGCAGGGACGAACCTCATTGACTTGACTTGATTCATATGGTAGTCCTTGATGTTCTCCAACAAGTGGGTGATTGCCTGATGATGTAGTTCACTTGGGAATTGATCAATGTGTGGCAGGATCCATGATTGATTGAACTCTGAGAAGGACATCGACTTGGATGAGGGTGGACAACAATCCAAATATGATTGATCGAGTCGAACAAAGTATGAAGATGTGAGATGGATTGTGTATAATCCAATGTCCTCCTCACAGCTGTAGACGGTGCCAAAGAGTGGGGAATACAATCTACCCTCCATGTTGGGATACAGGTCAAAGATTGGCAACTTTGATAGTTGCACCTTGTGTTGTGTAGTCATGGATGCACGGAACTCCGATTTAGGGTCGAGGAGGAACAGTTTGAATGTTGACTCCTTGTTATGATGGTCCAAGTTGGCAAATTCATTGTGATCAAGTTGATTGAGTATGATTGATCGTGTATCATGGCTCTGGAAGTATGTTGACAAAAGTATGTTGTTGGAGTTGTTGTTGCAATTGGAGTTGGAAGCGAAGTCCAGGATGTGGAAGTTGAGTTTGGAGAACAAGTCATGGATTGACTCGTCCAACATTGAACTACTTATGGCTCTTGGATGATTGAATGCGATCCACTTTGATGAGTTGGATGTTCTAACGATCGGCAAGTCAAGCAATGTTGATGAGAGGTGGCCTTGGAACAATGGTATGTTCACAGTCTCCAACATGAATGCCCACACCTTGTCAATATCCAATGATGAGACTGGATCACACTCAATTTGACGACCATTGCCAAAGTACCATTGTCTAATCAATGAGAACAGGGTGGGATAGTTGATGTTCAACAACTTGTAGTGGGATTGGATGTTTGATAAACAGTTGATATCAACAAGGTCCTGATAACATTGTTTGGACAACATAGTGTTGGACATCTCTATGATTGGTGACAGCACATCCATCACACAATCACTCTCTGTTGAGTAGAGGTTGGTGCCAGACTTGAGAGAGACCACATGTCCATTCACATTCTCAAAGATTGGAACGTCGAGCAACAAGCTGGTGTTGCTGTTGGAGTTGGAGTTGGAGTTGGAGTTGGTATCGACTTGGAGGAGGTACTTGAGGAGGTCACCATCATAGATTGTTGATGATGTTGTCTTGAGCAATGTGCAGATATACTCCTTGGACACATGATTGAGGTGTTTCCTGAATGTATCATTACTCTCGAGTACTTTCAACAAGTCGTTGGGCAAGAGTATGCATGGTACATTGCACTCACGCAGTACCCTCTGGGCACATGGGGGTAGGCCATTGAGCAATTGAAGGTCTCTCAATAAGAATCTCTTGGTCTTGTCCTCCTCTGTTGCAAACTCATTGGCAAACAATGGTGATGGTCCATCAATGATCTTGGCCAATGTGGGACTGTTCAAACGACTAACATCGGTGTTTGTGTCATTGGTGGGGAAGAGGAGGTATGTGTCCGTCCTCTCAGGGTAGAGCTTGTTCAACTGCACCAAGTTCTGATGATACAAGGTTGGGACAATCTCATCGAGGATGACCTTGTTCCAATCGACCAATTGTGATGAAGTACTCTTGTCATCATGTTCAGACATAATGATGTTGGTACGTGAGCTTGATGTGTAGAAGTAGCCATGTACATGTACTTGTAGATGAGTGGACATGCTGCCAATGGGCAGGTAACAGAATAGTCTGCCACGGAAGTCGGGATCTAGTGTCAGCGGCGTTGCAATGCCTCCAGTTGGTATCAACTTGTTCTCGTTCATCGATGGATGATCGATAATACTTTGGATCCTTTTTGAGTGATGATAACCAAGAGTGATCAACCAGTTTGTTGTGGACTCCATTGGTGATGACTCACACCTGTAGTCGGTGGTCTTGATACCGATCTGGTAGTGCTCAACTGGGAAGTTTGACTGCTTGGCCAACAACAATCTGAACTGATCCATTGCCTGGTCAGGTGTGATACCATCATTCTTTGGTATCTGATCAGTGATGCTCTGGATGAACTGTTTGATCACATTGATCTTGGCAGCAACATCATCACCAGCCTGCACCTCGACCTTGTACACGACCTTGCCATCCATCCAAATGGTTAACTTCCTCACATTGCGAAGGAATAGCAAGATGTATGGACCCATCTCGATGAACCGATTGATCAAGTCCCTGACATCGTCAACAGTCTTTGGCTCACCAATGATGCTCTTCTCAGTCCTGAGGGGCAGACGGAAGATGGTGCCAGGGTAGCTCGTGGCCGACCTATCACAACCACGCTCCTCGAATGGTTGGAACTGGTCACAACGACTTGTGAGCACAGAGTAGTCGTGTTTGAATCCATTGCCAGCGGCGGATGGTGGGAAGTACTTGCCGAGCACATCGGGGAAGTAGAACTTCTCTCCAGAGACAATCTGGGGACAGTCGGTGAGATGGTAGACAGAGTTGAAGCCTCGGCCAAACTTTCCAACAGAGTTGACATCCTTCTGTTTGGATCCGGTGCCATTCTCTGCAATGCCCTTCCAATCCTTTTCCTCGAATATGGAATCATTCATAATTATCAAGGCTGGGCCTTGAAGTGGAGCAGGGTTCCTATCACCATACTGCTTCTTGGTTATCAACTGTTCAGTTCCATAACACTTATCATCAAGTATTATAGACATCTCACTACTAGATGCATCATCGGCATTCTAATTGTATGTATGAATGAGTCCAGTTAGTTAGTTAGTTGATTGATTGGATTGAATGAACATTGTTGTTGGGTGATATACATACCTGGGCAATCTCTGGAAGAATGGTTGAGTCATAGTACCAACGCATCTGATCTTTGATCACTGACCATATGGGCTGGTGAGATACAAGCTCCTCAGAGTCTGGTATTTCATTTTGTATCATTTGTTAAATGATTGAATTGATTGATTGATTGATTGGATAGATTTATTGATTGATTATTTGATTGATATTATAACATTTAATTGAATGTGAATGATGATGTTCGTTGATAATATTGGATAACATGTGATCAAGTCACATTGGGAAGTTAACAAAGTGAATAGAGTGAGTTTGTTGGATGGTGTCGCAGGTCATTGGATTTGTTCATGAGTTTTCCACACACACTGGATGGGTTTAAATCAGTTGGCTCACACTTGAGCCACATCAGCCCAATACCAATCAAAACCATTGCCATAAAGATCAGGCTATGATGCTGCTGATCAGCTGATTGTGAAGACTCCACATTGTAGAAGTATGTGTGTGAGTGATGTGATGATCGCGTATAAGTCAATCTTGGTATCAATCAACCAATATCCAAGATAACAACGATGTATCACTGATTATCTATGAATCGTATCTCTTGTTCATTCATTCAATCATTCATTCATTCTTTCATTTTCTTCACGACGATTATTAACTTTGTGTTTCGTTTCAAACGTACTGACACCTTTGAATAAGTATTTAGTCTTATAGTTTGTTAGTTAGTTAGTTTGTAACCAATCAAACATAGTTTTTTGATAATAATAATAATAATAAGTATACACGTAAATTCTGCAGAAGTAACTGACTACTGCAGCCAAGTTGTGTTCGAGCACATCACCAACATCTCACAACTGGTGATATTCGTGCAAAGTTTGTCAAAGGTTGCCAAGATGAGGCATGTGACCAACAAACAGCTACGTGAACAAAGTCGTCCCCAAAACTGATCAAAAGTGAGCGGATGTGATGAGATGTTAATATGAGTGAATGTATGTGATAGTGAGAGAATCGTTTGGGGGTTAGAGTTATTTGTGAGTGTGTGTTCAAGTGTGGTCATTCCATTCACCCTGGATGACGCGTCTATTCTAAAAGCTTGCGGTTACCAAGTTGAGGAGGGGTGTTGAGGTATAGAAAACGAACGATCCATTGCCGGATCACCCAACAGATGTGAACAAAGGGGGTTGTTCACATCGGATGATTTTTGCACAGGCAACAAACAAACAACTCAGTACTGATAATATTAATAATAATAATAATAATAATTTTTTGATAGATTGGAAGCGGGTCAGATATGGGCTTGTACATGGTATACCTACTTGCTGTTTGAAGGGTTGGCTTTCTAATTTAAGGGCGTGGATGGCTGGCGAATACTTTGAAGATGGCTTCCATATTCACACTGTGTGATGACTAGTCCACCCGACCTATCATTCTTCACGATCACTCACCTCTTCACACACACACTCACCCGAAGCATACATTCACACATATATATATTTAATGACCATACCATACCATACCCACTCAGAACAAACAATTGTTGATGACCTTTTCGATCGGGTGTCAGGTGTACACAACAAACACACATGGTAGCTAACATCAGCAACAGGGTGATTTCGATCCGGTCACTGGATCGACTTCAACGTACTGTTCCATCGCGCTCCCTCAAGCAGCTCATCATCGTCTCCATCGCTCAGCTCAGAACAAACAAACAAACAAACACTGGTTTTGGATGGCTGTGTCATGAATGAACAGAACAGTTGCCTCTGGTTGTGTAACCTTTGTTCAGGGCCAGAATGAGAAGACGAATGATTTAAAAAGGGCAACAATGATGGTTCCTTTAAAGTCATTAAGTCGTTCAATCAGTTCTAAACATAGACATCAATTATTTATTATTTATACCAAAGTACTATTACAATTATTTATTCATTCAACCAATCAATCAATCAATCAATCAATCAATCAATTATTTATTCATCACATCCAATCAATTAATTAATTAATCAAACAATTAAATATGACTATTCCAGTTAATCCAGATCTCTCCAACCTTAGAATCAATGATTCTGCCAATACCTACCATCAACCAGAGGCCCATATTGCTGCCTGGGCAACTGCTGTACCATTGCCCATCCAAACTGAACACTTTTTGGAGAAGTGCAGAGAGGACAGAGTTAGAGATGGTTGGACCGATGCCCAAGTTACCATGTTCGAGACCTTTGTCAAGTCTTCCAATATCAAGCAGCGCCACACTGTCCATCCATTCCTGTTGCCCAAGGATGTCTCGGCCGAGGACTACCCAGAGGCTGTTGGTGTGATGCCATACGACATCTTTGCCGATGGTGCCAACCCAACTATGGCCCAGCGTGAGGCTTGTTTCGAACACACAGCTGTCAAGCTCGCCGTTGCCTCTGCCCAACGCGCACTCAAGAAGTGGGGCAAGGACAAGAGTAACATTACACATATCATCACCACCTGCACCAGTGGCTGGCGCGAGCCAGGCATTGCTTGTGCCGTCATCAAGGAGTTGGGCCTGTCCGAGGACATCTGCAAGCAAGAGTTGAACTACAATGGTTGCTTCTGTGGTGCATCCTGCCTCCGTCTTGCTCGTGATATCGTCCGTGGTGGTCTGTCTGGTGCCGTACTCGTCGTTGCCTGCGAGGTCGCCACCACCCAATACAACACTACCCACAGCGACATGGAGTTGATGGTTGCCCAGACACTGTTTGCCGACGGCTCTGCCAGTATCATCGTTGACAGAGAGGGTGAGTGGATGTACACCAAGACTGGTGGCGCTGTCGTCCCCGACTCACAACACCTGCTCGGTCTGCGCCCAGCCCTCGACGGCGAGAGCTCCTACTGCATGACCCTCTCCAAGAACGTTGCCTCTGCTCTATATCAATACTTTGCCACAGGCAATGGCCGCAACATCATCAACAGACTTTGGAAGGAGGAGGACGGTGAGCGTCCTGCTCTGGCCATCCATCCAGGTGGCCCACGCATTCTCGAGGCTGTCGGCAAGAACTTCAATGCATTGGGCTGGAAGTCCGATGCCCTCGAGTACTCCTACGACACTCTGAGGAACTATGGCAACCTTGGTTGTACCGCTCTGCTCTTTGTGTTGGCCGATCGTTTGGAGAAGCAAAACATCCAGGAGGATAAGTTGATCACAATGGCATTTGGACCAGGTGTCACTGTCGAGTATAGTATGCTACAAAGGAAGAGCAGTGTTGTTAAGAAGTAATACTTAACACATTAGCAGTATATATATATAATAATAATAAATACATATGAATGTACATATATTTAAGTTATAACTAGACACTATCCTTTCATTCATTCATTCATTCTCCCACAGATCTGTATCTCTTCAATTCCTGGAAGTATACTTTCCCAACACTAGTGTTGGGTCTCAAGATAACATGACCTTCATGAAGGTCACACTGTTCTTTCCAAACTCATTATCTCATTTAGTAGTTATACAATTATTTATTTATATATACAAGTAAGTATATTATATTATAAGAGTGTATTTGTAATGTCGATTGCATCTCTTGCTATTGCAACACATGTGACTATATCTTTGTCGAGGTCAAGCTCCATCGATTCGTTGTAATCTGGATCTTCATAGTCGAGGTAGAGTTTGTCAAGCCAAAGTATGTCGGTGATTGTTGTAAGTTTGAAACCTGTTCCAAGGGAATGTAGTAGACTGTGTAGTGACTTGGACTTGGTGTTGAATGGCAGACCCTGCTTGATCAGTACTGCTAGGATACACCAACGAACGATATCGTGAGCGAGTACACCTGCATAGGACGTGTGACAGATTGTGAGCTCATCCAGTGTCTTGTTGGCTCGGCTGAAGTATATATTGGCCTTCATCATATTGCTTTCCTTTTGGTAGGTATCGTCGATTGGTGTCTTTGGCGCAGTCTCTGGCTTGAGTCCTTGAGCCAACAGGTCAGGCAATACAATTACGTCCCCAAGGTTGTGATATTGTTGGACATCGGGCTTGCTGATCTCCTTGACCATGGCGCCAATCTGATTGAACTCGGTGATGGACAGACAGTTGTTCTTCAGTCTGTAGAGGGCAAACTCAATGGATTCCTCTGGAAGAGTCGATGACTTGAGCTCTTTGATGAACTGTCCAACTCTCTGCATCCGATGTTTGTAGCCAGTGTGGAATGGTGTGATCTTGAACAGATGGAACGATGGCACGATGTATTCGCCAATATGATAACACTTTATCTCATCCAAGTGCGAGAGGCGATGAACTGGCTTACCAACGACCACACTGATCATGACATCTGTGTTGTACTCTGCGTACAAAGCCATATCGCCCTGAGCAAACGTGTTGATGGGGTCCATAACATAGTTGGTGCCGTCGACTGAGTAGTACACACCATTGCCCGTGTGTCGGTTCAGCTGATCAGCCTCAACCTGGACATCATCGAATAGCTCAGCATTGTCCTTGTACATGGCCTTCATCACAGTGATCGTATTATTCATTTCCATGTTTGGATTGAAAAGAATGGACAGGTTGGTGCGGCTGCCAACTTTGAACTCATTCTTGATGATGTCGCAAATGATGTCGATCCATTCATTCTGGTTGACGTCTCTACTGATGGTCAGAGTGTAGTTGTTTGGATCATAGATATATCGCGAGCCTTCAGACACCTTGGTGATGTCCATGCCGTTGTAGGTGAAGATTGAGTGGATGGTCGCAAGATGGATCTGGACGACGCCAATGAATGTGATAACATGCTGGATGATGTCCTCCTTGTACTTCTTCTCAGCGAGCTCGAGTATCAACTTGGTCAGCTGTCCGATCATGGGATTCTTTAGTCGCTCATTCAGTTGTGTCTGGTAGGCAGTAGCATCATGGATGGTCGACTTGTCAGTGTCCAACATCTCCTCCACCACTGATCCAATGTCCTGGACGGTGATGTTCAGTTTAGGATGTATGAGGTTGACCTTTTCCAGGTCGAGTCTCTTGCATTTGGTAGATTTGGCACTGTGTACTTCGGCCTTTGGGGCAAGTACATTCTTGCTGGTGAGGAGGTGGTCCAAATCATTCTCGTTGCACTTGGCGAACAGACCGAGAATGGCACGTAAATTGGCAAGTGGTATGATGGGCGTGGGATGGGCATTGATCTTCCTGACCGCAATGGCAGAGGTGAGGCTTCTGTTTGCACCCAGCTGGCACAGTACATTGTGACACTTGGCATAGTGTTGACGGAAGGAGTAGAAGTACGGCTGATAGATATCATTAATCTCCAGGACGATGTCTGATGGTGCGATGGACATAGACGTGCCTGGCACCGGTATCTTGATGTCCTTGTTCGCAAAGTACTCCTCCAGTTCATTGTCTCCCTCAACATTGAGCATGGCATAGTTCAACAAAGTGATGTTGAAAGCACTGTTTAGACCATTCTCCAACCGCCAATGGTCTCTTGCCAAGTCCAACACATTGTCAAGGTGTTCGCGACAGTCCGCCATCGAAGGTGTGTCTGGATGACGCTCTCCCTCTTGACCAACTTCGGGATATCGCACTGGGAATGTTCTAAGCAGTCTCACGGTAAAGTATTGCCTTGGCCAATGCTGGTAATCATTAACTGATTCATTGAGAGTGGCGAATGCCCTGACTGCCATGGCACCTTGGATCGTGCTTGGCTTGCACGGCACGATGTGAAGCTCACGCACATTGGGATCGACGAGTTTGTTTCCACCCAATGCCTTTACCAGGTAGGTGGCGGTGGCAACCAGTTGATCATCAGCGGGGTAGGCGTCACCAGAGTGGTCAGCGGAGAAAAGTTGGCATTGTCTGAGCAACTCGTCGGGATCCATTGATTTCTTAAGATCCATAGCCTTCCAGAAGATGTTCCACTCTGGTGTTCTCATGGTCCGGGGGGAACAGGATGTCGAAGCGTGCCAACTCCTCATTGGTATGATCGTGGAAGTCTGTGATTGGTCGCAAGGTGAATCGGTCGGGTGTGCCCACTGGGATGATCTCCAACTTGGTGAGCCCAGCCTTGTCTTCGTTTGACAGGCCCACCTCGCCATCATCACAAACAAAGAAGACCTGGAGCAGGTGATTGAGCTTGGACATCACATAGTCGTGTGATCTACCATTCAATTTCTTGAGTACGTGCCGATAGAGAATGGTAACCTCATTCACCGATTGGAAGTTGAAGGTTTTGGCGCGGTTGTTGTGCTGTTCAAGGAGTTCTTCCAACTTGAGTGAGATCTCTGGATGGACGTAGGCCGTGGGCTCGGGATAGATGGTGTAGGCCATCTCAGTGTAGAGGTAGTAGATGGTGGTGCCCTTCTTGGCGCGCGCAAACTTCGTCAATGTTCCGCCATACATGGCCAACAAGTTCAGATCCAACAAGTAATCGGGGTTGATCTGGAACAATGGATACAAGTAGTCGAACAACATGAGTGCGTCCTCTACAGTGGTCACCGGCACTTTGTTGAGCAACTCACGAACACTGAAAATGTTGAAGTCTTGACCATGGATCTTGGGTCTCATCTTTTTGGGGACCAACAGTACCTCAGCCCCATACTTGCTCAATTTCTTGGCAATGTCAAGTTCAGCCTGGGCAATGTTGTTCTCGGTGATACACAACAATGACGAGGGTGTAGACTTGGCCCACGAGGTGGAATGTAGCTTGACACACAACGGCTGATAGATTGCCAGTTGGAAGTAGGTCTCAACAATGCGTGTGAATGGCTTGTGGCACTTTGACAGGTCTGGCACATGATCGTAGAGCTTGATCATCTTGTCGCCTGGGTAGCTTATCCTCGCCCTGATCATCAGCTTGACCATCATGGGAGCGATGATCTCGTCGTAGAGCACTGCATTCCAGATTGCACCGTTGCTTGGGTTTGGCTCTCCATCCGAGTGTTCAATGTACTTCCTAGACGAGTGCATCTCTAGGTAGCCATCAATGTGAACTGGCAGTCCGGTCTTGATGGTAGTTGGCAAGGTGGAGAAGACCTGGCCAGCGACCAGGTGTGCGTCCTCACGACCGATTGGGATGGCTATATGGATTGATTGATTGAATGAGTGAGTATTTGTGATTGATTGATTGAATGAATGTTGATGTCACTCGTGACACATACCTGCACCACCCAGTGGGAGACGTTTGACTTGTTTGCCCGAGTTGTTCTCGTCCAGTGACTTCTTGAAGAACTGACTGGCGGTCGGACCACCAACCTGGCGACCAACCAACCACTGAACGGTGGTACCCTCAGGTTCGATGGAGAACTTGCGCAGCTCAATGACCTCCTCAGGCTTCCTCGATGGGTCCTGCTCGAGGTCCTTCAGTATCATCTTGATCGTCTTCTGCTCAGGTTGGTCCTTCCTCTTGATCGATCTCACCAACGTCGTATTGCCATCTACCATGCGATAGAAGTTGATTGTCTTGATGTTGGACAGGAATATCATGCAGCTCTCTTCCTTGTCGATGAACTGTTTGAACAGAGTCTCGTGGCACGCCTCATCCTTGAGGTTGGACATGGTCCAATCGGAGAACGAGTGCTTTGGATCGACAACCTTGCGCAGGGGAAGTCGGAACATGGTTTGGTTGAATGGCATCGAGAGGTCGAGACCAAACTCGCTGTACGCCTTGTAGGGCTGCAACATCAGGGGGTCCACTAGTCCGCTGTTGAAGGCAAACTTCTTACCCTTCCTGTTGCTGTTGATGTAGCTCGCGCGATCAAAGTGGTTCTGATGCACATCGAAGAAGTAGAAGTTGTCGCCAGTAACCAACGATGGGATGTCGGTGACGTTGAACGATGAGTTGAAGCCATGTCCGAAGCGACCGACTGATGATGTGTCGTTCATCTTGTCAGAGTCACCGACGCTCTGGATGTTCTTGATGTCCTTCTCAGTCATTGGCTTGTTGTTGATGAATGTCATCGAAGGGCCGAGCAAGGTGGAGAACTTGGCGGGATAGTTCTTCTGGAGTTCCCGAGTCAGCAAGTTGCAGTAATCATTCATGTCAAGGATGATATCCATCTGAGTAGCCCCAGCATCCTCTGCATTCTGGATCATCTCACCCATCAAACTGCTTGGATCATATCCATCCTTGAGTATCCTTTTCAAGACCTATAAATTGACATTGAATGTTAGTATAATGAGTGATTGAGCGATTGAGTGATTGCGTGATTGTTTACATTCGAATGATCGAGAGATCGAATGAGTGATTATGTGATTGTTTGCATTGAGGTGATTGGTCGAGTGGTCGAACGAATGATCAAGTGATTGATTTCACTCGTCACAATTTTTGAGTGATCTTATGATTGCTGAAGTAGTACTTACACTATGAAGTTGGGTGTATTGACCAAATCCATTGTCTTCCTCACCTTGATGAGTCAGTTGGAGATCAGACACGATGCCAAGGTTGTAGGCAGGCAACCTTGGGTGTGATGGAATCGTTGATCTTGCGATAGTTGTTGGAATAGAGGTCATTGGACAACCTGTCTCCAAGCTTGCACACCAATACGCGTGACACATGACAGAGCACACCATTGTCATCAGGTATGAATGTGTCGATGTCTGGTTGCTTCGTCTGGCCAATGTCATTGAGGAGGTTCAGCACGACCTTGAGCTTGTCCTTGGGCAATGGCTTGTCACGGTTCTCCTCTTCAATCAGTTTGATCACAAGTAGGAATCGCTCGGTGTTGTACTCGTCTGGCACGTCAAACAGCTCAAACAACGGACGATACAATTGATCAATGATTGGTCGATGGCGAACAGGTATGGTGTGAAGTCTGCCTGGCTGGTGAAGGCCACTGATCCTGCGTTGGTGAAGTGACGTCCACACCAGATCCACTTGAACTCGGCCAGCTTATTCTTGAGCAGGGCTTGTTGCTTGTTAACATACTGGCTCAATTCCTTGTAGATGGCAGCAACAATCTTGGTCAGCAGCGCACCCTGTTGCCTGAGCGGGCGTGTCTCCATGTACATGGATATGTTGCGCAAGTGATTGATCACGGTCTGGAGCGAGGGTCGGGGCATCAACACTTCCTTGAGTTGGTCTGAGAACTTCTCGGGGAGGTCGGCGACACATTTGATCGTGAAACATAGATTAGCGTCCTCTGAACGCGAGCATTGACCAGGACTGACAAAGACCGACGGTGACTTGAATGACTCCAGGGTGATTCGCTCATCAACTGAGAAGTCCTTCTGAACAACCTTCATCCACTCAATGTTGGTCAGGGTGGCCATATCGCTGGAAGTGTGGTACAGGTTGATCGTGTTGATGAACTTGTCAAACAGGCCTTTGCTCTTGGTTGAGGCGATGGAAGTGGCGATGTCTTGGAGTCGCACTACATCTAGTCTGATCTTTGCGCCAAGTATCGACCAGGCGTCGATATAGCCCGCAGTGCACAGTCGTTGATCAATGAGATTGTGGCTCATGTCGGCATGAGCCAGTATCGCAGTCTGATTGAGGTGGACATATAGTTGGGTTGGCGGTGTGTGTATAACTCAGGGGGACCCCTTTCCCACATTACATCCGCTGCGCGGATTCCATTATTAGTGTCTGATTCTCTCTTTAATATTCTTTTATATATCTTTTGAGGAGTTTGGAGGATAATAATAATAATAATAATAATAATAAAGAGGATGTGTCGACAAACTTGGGGAGGATGGGGAGGAGAATGGGGAGGGAATAATAAAGTGTATCTGTCGCAACTTGGGGAGGGAAGGGAGGGTAATAGGGATAGGGAAATTGGGGAAAAAGAGGATGTGTATCGACATAGGGAGGTTGGGGAGTCAATGGTGGAAACTTTTTAATAATAGAAAGAATTATTTGTATTCTTAAATTCCTTCCACCATCGACTCCCTGGCTCCCTGTTTGGACACTGTTACTCTTTTTGGTTGATTTGATCATCCCTGAGACTCCCTGAGTGGATGTGGAGAGTGATTGGATGTTTGAAGTTCAATTCACACCCAATGAAAATAATAACAAATAAAGTTAAAATAAGGGAAACCAACCTTAAAAGTCAATCAAAGTTGAACACCCTTCATTCATCACCAATTCTCAACACTCACAACATGGATATCAATCATAATCACTTAGAGGACATAGAACAACCTGTATATTATTACATTCGATTGCCTTGGGATACAATTCTCGACAGCACAGTGTACAACAAATTTGTCCATCTCAACGAAGGAGTCCCAATAGGTCCCTACGATCCTCTTGTCCAGAAGATCAAAGTCCCTGTCGCGACACCCATCGACATCTCTCCTCTCGTCCCCTATCTCAATCTGAGGAATCCTCTAGACGAGATCGAGGAGATCAACGACGACCTAATTATCGAAACAGAAGGGAAGAGCATACTCTGGATCAAGGAAATGGCTGGGAGACCAAGCAAGCAGAACGTAGAGTTTACGAGCCAGCTTCGCAACTGGAACATCAACGAGAACACCAATGAGGACATCCAAGGACCTCCACTTCAACATATCATCGGACACGTCTTTGATGGACAGAGCGCGTATCGGTTCGTGATCAATGGTGTATCTGTCAAGAGGTAAGTTGACCTGCAATGTGATTGATGATAGATTATAATCTAATATGTTCAATTAGAAACCCAGACGCTGCATTCATGACCAACGCCAGGTGGGTCCTCGTACCAAATGCAATGAAGGACACCAGGGCCAACACTACAGTCCCTGACTTTATTGTTGAAGTTCGCTCATTTGGTTCTGGAGAGAACAATCAGTGGGACTACCAACACAGAAAGATGTGCCGCTGGATGGCAACTCTCAACATTCAAGCACAGTCTGGCATCCTGTTTGATAGACGAGGTGGTCGCGTCTGTCTGTATTGCCGCAACGACCTCCCCAATCTCCCGGCTCAAGTGGCAGCTCAGCAGGCCAATACCAACAATCAGCTCCTTCAGGTCCAACAGAGCATCCAGGTTCGCCAACAACGATTGGCCAACCCAGCAGGCTTACTACCAGATGACATTGCGGATATTCAGAGTGCCCTCCAGGCCAAGCAACAACAACTTCAACGTCTCCAATGGCAACAGGTATACTTCCAGGGTCTCGCACCAGTTGGCCAATTAGTGTACAAGGGTATCCAAGAGAACTACCCCAATGTGTCCTTTATCCAGATACCTCTCAACCTTGCCAACAACGCTCAACATGGACCCAACATTATTATTCATTGTATTGGAGCGGTCAACGGCTTGCGATTCGATCTATCAACAATCCCACTTGACTAAACAAAGAGTCCTGTGCGATCGCCACCAATTGTACATAAATATAGTTTCTCCAACAGATATAAGATGCCATCAATCAAACTTCACTACCAATCAGACCCGGAGTTCAGGGAACGCCACAAGGCCAACAACAAAGAAAAGGTCAAGTGTGAGTGTGGCTTTGAGGTGGGTCGCACCAATCTCAATCGACACCAGGAAGGCTACATTCACAAACAGCTGATGGCCAACAAATAATTCTAAATGATATAAGTTTATTATCTCTAGTAAAGTTATAACATGCCAGCAACCTACAGCACAACCAGACTCAACAACCTCGACTGTCAGATGAGACACTACGCCGGAGCATACACTCGAGAGGCAATCAGAATGGTTGCCCAACGGTTCAGTAATCAGCTCAGGATCGATGGCTCAGCTGCTCGTCTCGAGGTTGCAATCGAGTACGCCAATCGTCAATATCGTTTAGCACGCCATGGATCTTCAAGCGATTCTTCAAACTACAGCGCAACGCTATGGTGCCACTCAAGCTACTCCAAGAGATCGAGGACAAGCTCAACATTCGCATCAATGTCAAAGGTGATTACTGCAGGATCTCGACCAAGAGCAGCTGCGTCAGAGTCGTAAATCTCAAACTAACCAACGAGCATTACACTTTATACAAGGAGGGCGCCTTTGAGCCCAAGGGCATCATCCTCAAGAGATACAACGATGATAGGATACTGCCAGTCGTGGCGTACAAGTGGGACGACGACAATGATCAAGTGCAGACMTACAATGGCACGASCTACAGCACGATGAGCAAGGCATCACTGATCGAGGAGCTCAAGAAACAAAAGTTCGACGGCAAGTGTCTATACATCAAAGTAGAGGCTGCCAAGAAGAGGAAGAGCAAGAAGCCCATCAAGACGCTGGAGGAGACATGGCTGGACTTCATCAAGGACGCCGACGCWCTCAAAGAAGGTACCAATRGCRTCATCGACTTGTACTTTACAGGATCAAACATTAACAAAGCCGCCCTCAACCTATTCAGCAAGTACAACAAGCATGTCATACCAGATATCATCGAACAGGAAGAAGCCAAGTGGATAGCCAAGGCATCGAATGGACCATCAAAGGTGAGCACAGAGCATTCAGACCAAGCGAGCACAACTATTATACTCACTACGACCTCACCTTTGCCCAGGAGCTAGGCCTCACATTCAACCTCATCAGCGACGGCAATCACAACGCGCTACTCTACCCAACTGGCAGAGTCAATGGCAACATGCTGTTCGGCAAGTTCATCGATCAGGTACTAGAGTGGAAGAAAGCAGGAGTGCCACGCGCCAAGGAGCTCTATCAACGTCTCTGGGGCGCTCTCTCCAAGTACAACAAGTCCAAAGAGTATGTCAACATCAAGGCAGAGAAGAATGTTGTCATCGACAAGGCGCTCGGTATTACTGACGTATACTTCAAGGCCAGTCTCCCAGAGAATCACTCGATCGATGCGATGAACATCACTCACAATGGCAACGTCATGGTCAAGTCAATCAACAACCTCGACACGTTCGACACGCCATTCGCTCGCATCATGCCATTCATCATCTCTCGTGGTCGCAAGATGATTGGAACGATAATAAAGGATGACATTGCCAACATCAAACGTGTGCACACCGATGGATTCGTCTCGACCAAGCCCTGGACTGTCAAGGTTGGACCAGGTGACTGGTCGTCTCATCATTTATTGTAGTCCCAGCGCAATGATTGATCGGGTTGAGAAGATGGCGTTGATCATGTGAGGCTTGACCGGATCGATCAAATCTGGAACACCTGCTCAAAGTGGGCATGCCATTGAAAGATGGCTTCATTGTGTCAGCTGATATCGCCACAATCACTAGCTGCCGTACTGCTAGTGCTGCTGAAGCTGGTGCTCGAACTGCTACTACTTGCGTTGCTGGATGGTGTGCCAGCGCTTGGTAGATTGACAACAGTTGGTGGTGATGTTGCTGTACATTGAGATGGTGTCGTTGTTTGTGATGATGTTGTTGATGGTGATGTTGTTGTTGGAAAGGTGTATGGAGTCCGACATCTGTATCCATATTGACGGCCGACCATCGTTGGGAACACAGCCAGCGGCCGATCTTCTCCAGCAAAGCCAGCCTTTGTCGTCCCAGAGCCAGCATCAATGACCAACACCAGAGGTTGGTATGGCTCGTCTACAATGTCTCTGTTGCTGTTGCTGTTGTTGCAGTCGCTGTTGCTGCAGTTGTCGCGATCTATGCTGGTCGTGGATAGGAGCATGTGACACCAAGCCTGTTAGCATCGTACATCTACAAGATGGCGTTGATCCGACTGACCTGCTCTCCATACCTTCATCCTGGTCCATTGCTTGAGCTCAGAGTGAGCGTGATGCGACTAAGTAAGATTGATCAATGTTGGTGTCGGTTGGTGATGTATATCTTGAGCATATCTGATCATCGATTGCAAAATGAATGGCAACGGCTCTGCTGCCTCAGCGATGATGCAACGACATGGCGTCGATGGCAGTCGAGAGATGGTCGACGGCGTACATCCTCGGGTTGTCAAACTCCTTGCGCATCAGTACACATCTGATTCGCAGCAGCATCTGGTTGAACTGCTCGACCTTGATGTCCACATGCTCTGTCTGCCACCTGAAGCGCACATTCGATATGTTGCACTCAATTGCTATCTCGTTGTACCTCATCAAGTAGGGGACGAGCGCATCGATCAGTATCGGTTCGAGATACCTCAGCAATGCATGGCAAACGTCCACGCTATGATGAAAGAGCAGCTCTATGTTGTTGTCGACACAGAGATGTGAGTCGAGGTGGGTCGAGGAGGCGAGTTATCGTTAGTCCTTGTTGTCGAGCTGAGGAGTACTCCTCGTCTCTGGGCCACACATACTGAGATTGTTGGATAGGAAGGGAGAGCGCTGGTAGCCAATGTTGTCCATCACGTTGTAGTACGAGGTGAAGAGCAAGAGACTCGTGCGCAGATTGGGTACCAGTGTTGGATCGACTGATGTGAGATGTCCGAGCAGAATGTCATCTGGTATTGGCCAGCTCAGCATTGACTCTAATGAATCGACATAGTCGTGATGCTCTGTTTGTGTATGTGTATTCGTATATGTATGAGTAGACATGATGAGACGGATTCGCGAATGGTAAAATAGGTTCGTTTTCAGGGCAGTGTTAGCTCGACTAGGCACCCGTGTCCACTCTCATTGATGATTGGTGGTCAAGTAGATGCTGGTCGACCTGGTCTACCAGGAGACGAGCTTCGACCAATAATAACAACCAGCTGCCACCGCAGCAGCATGCATGTACCAGCTAAGCTACTACTAGCTACCATTATTAATACAGGCGTGCATGTGCACATCTCTTAAGAGAAGATGTTGCCAGACGACCCGTAGACAGCCTTGATCTTCATGATGGCGTTGTAGAGGGCGGCGGTACGGTAGTCGGTGTTCTTCTCCATGGCGGTCTTTCTGGTCTCGGCACAGGCGTTGGTCATGGTGTCGTCCAGACCGGAGCGCACAATGTCGATCTCGTCGGCGCCATAGATGACCAGGTTGCGCTCGGTCTCGCTCAGCTTCTTGTTGACGGTGGACTCGACAAACTCTGGGATTGGTCACAAGTAAGATATGGTGAATAATGTTGTGAGTATGATGATGTAAGTGATTTATTTGGGTGTGGACACCGGTGTCTGCGCCTGGCTGGACCGCATCCTGATCTATCTGGAAACTAGAGCAGATGTCTTCATTCCTTTTTGGCAACTTGGGCCACCTGGCTGTTGAACATATTCTCAGGCTTACAAAGATCGTTGTAGAGCTTGGTGACCTCGTTGACTGGCACAGTAAACTGCTTGGGTTTGTTATCATCGCCCTCGGCCTTGACATTCATCTTGTTACGAAATATGGTGGCCTCTCTCTTGTATGCTTCTGTCTTTCTGTCGAGGTCGACACCAATATTGTATGGGCTATAGTTATCATAGCCCAATGTATCCAAGTAATACTTCTCCTTGAACAGGTTGAACAGTAGTTCCGAGATTGGTACGTTCTTCATGATGTTGGTTAGACGTGCATAGACACAGTGAGTGTAGCTCATGAAGAAGCGACACAGTTCCCTTAGATCACATATTTTGAGGACGTCGACTGTCTTCTTCTTTGTAGGCACAGTGTTGAACACGGCCACTGGAAATCTGAGATCTGCCAGCTCCGGCTTCTGGGGGTTCTCGCCTCTTGGCCAAGCTGAGGAGATGATCGCCCTCTGCTCTTCCCATTGCTTGGTCGTATGACTTTGCAAATAGAAGAGGATTCCAGCTCCTCGCCTCCCAGTTCTCCATGGTTTACGAAATGTGCGACCAAGGTGACTATGATATCACCGAGGTCGATAGACTATTTTGGAGAGTAGGTGGTTTATTCTCGACAATTGACCTATACTTATTGACACCATATACATCTAGATGTCCCCATTCGAAAAGAGACCCAATGAGTCTCTAGGCGATCCCTGGATCGCAACCGGCATCAAAATGAGACACGCTTTCCAGCACTTCAACTATGTCTACGACGAACCAAGGTTGGCTATCTTTGAGGAGAAGCTTAAGAGCGAACTGGTCGTGTAGAAGTAGCCGTGGATGTGGACGGGCAGGTTGGTAGTCATCGTGCCAATGGGAAGGTAGCAGAACAGTCGGCCACGGAAGTTGGGGTCGTGCTTCAAGGGTGTGGCAATACCAGCAGTTGGTATCAACTTGGTCGTCTTCATTGATTTGTGATTGATAATATCGTGGATCGTCGGTGAGTAGTGATAACCGAGCGTGATCAACCACTTGGACGAGGACACCAAGCCGCTCTCAAAGTCATGGGACCTCACACCAAGTGGATAATGGACCACGGGAAACCCAGACCAGTTCTGTTGTCCAAGGTGATGGCGGAACTGTTCCAAAGTATCCTGTCCTCGTATGATCTTGGAGATGTTGGACAAGAAGTCCTTGATCGTGTTTATCTTGGCGGTCATGTCACCTGCCTGCTCCGCCTCGGTCTCAAACACTTTGATGCCGTCGACAATCAATGTCATCTTCCTCACATTACGCAGGAATAGTATGGAGTATGGTCCCATGGCAATGAACCTCTGGAATAGTTCCTTGACATCTTCTACGGTCTTGGCCACACCAATCTGGCTGTCATCAGTCCTGAGTGGCAGACGGATCATCGTACCATTGAATACCTTCTCATCCTTCTTGCAACCATGAACCCTGAATGGCTCAAACTGATCGTCAAGGCTCGTGAGGTATTCGTAGCGTTGGCTGTATCCATTGCCATCGGCGCATGGCGGGTAGTACTTTCCGAGTACATCTGGCATGTAGAACGTCTGGCCAGAGACAATCTGGGGACAATCGGTCAAATGATATACACTGTTGAAGCCACGTCCAAACTTGCCAACTGCATTGACATCCTTCTGTTTTGAACCAGTTCCATTCAGTGATATGCCCTTCCAATCCTTCTCCTTGAACACCGAGTCATTGATGATCACCAACGACGGTACTTGAAGAGGTGATGGGTCTCTACCTCCATGCTTAGGATGTCTGATCAATGAGTTAACTCCATAACTATTACTATCAAGTATGAATGTTATCTCTTTGCTGTTGGCATCATCAGCATTCTACATTTTATGTTTGATTGATTGAGTTAGTGTGGTGTGATGGTATGGTGGTATGATTTCGGTCACTACATACTTGAAGTATCTCTGGTAAGATAGTGGAGTCATTGTATTCCATCATCTGATTCCTGATGGTGGACCATATTGGTTCATGGGTGACCAACACATCAGAGTCTGGTGGTGTGTCCATCTTGTTATATGTTTGATTGATTGATTGATTAATGAGCAGTTGTAATAATAATTGTGATTGAGTGATTGATTGATTGAAAGATGAATGAATGAGTATAGTTGAGATGATTGAAGCATGATGGTCATGGTAGTGTTCGGTAGGACCATCAAAAGGAACTCAGTCTGCATGACAATGTGAACCAGATGATTGGTCAGCTGACTAGATCTTGGCATAAGAAACGGTGAACTTGCGATGAGTTTTCTGGATAATGGGGCGCGACGGTTTTGCTTGGGCATCACTCACACACTGTTGGTCCTGATCACTTCCATCCATTTTCCATCACACAAACATGCGTGCACCCTGACCATCAATCAATCATATGGTTGATGTACCTACCTAAAGAGAGAGAAGAGCACAGAGTTGTTTATTTAGTTACAGTTGTTGTGTTAGTCCTCACTCTAGAGTGATTCTACTAAACCTTGAGTGATTTGATGTGCTTGCCTAGCGATAGAGACCACTTGATCCATTTGTGACTTGTCCAATTGTACAGGTTTCATTCGCTCGGGATGCACAGAGCTGAGATAGAGTTGATCCAACCATAGTATATCTGGAATGGTACTAATCTTACAATCATCAATCGATGTCAATAGACTGTAGATCGAGTTGGAGTCCTCTTTGAATGTTGGCTGGGCACCTGCCGGGGTCCTACTGTAAAGGATGGCCTTGAGACACTTGATCACGACCTGATGCGACATGAGTCCAATCGATGATATATACAACTGATCCATCTCCTCCAACTCCGTTGTCGCCAACACTAAGTAGACAAATGCCTTCTCCACGTTGCTCAACTCCTCCACTTTGTCCTCTTCTTCGTCTTTGTCGCCACTCTCCTCCTTGACTGGTGCGACGTCCTGTATGCTCAACTGACCAAAGCTGATTAGATCTATGGGGTTGACGTGATGACGGATGTCCACCTTCTTGCTGGCGATGATCTCGGCCGCCATCGACTTGATGGCGTTGCCCTGATGGCTGTCTGAGCAATGGCTTTGAAGTCGCAACATGATGGTGTCCATCGTGTGTCTTGGGACGCCTGCGTATATGATCTCTCGCAGGAAGCGACAAACCTGATCCATGCGATCGGCATAGTCAATGTATGTTGGTGTGACCTTGTACAAATTGAACGAGGGCACCAAGTGTTGGCCAATGCGGTACACCTTGAACTCTTCAAAGTAGGACAGCTCATAGTCGAGTGGGCCAACGACCACTGGTGTGTACTTGGATTCAGGTCCCAAGACGAGTAACGCGGTCTCGCCTGGGGTAAATGAGTTGAGCGGGTCGAGGACGTAGTTCTGGCCGTCGTTGGTGTAGTGGATGCCGTGGACACCTGCGTGTGGGTTGGCTTCCTCTTTCGTGAGGCTGACCTCGTCCATCTGTAGATTGAATGACTCCATCATGATGGAGATGACGTTCTTCAGGTTGACATTGATGTTGAACAACAGATTGATGGAGTACTCCTCAATGTTGAAATATGTCTTAGTGATCTGCGTGAAGATGATAAGGTAGGTGCTGGGGTCGATGTCCTTGCTGATCGTGAGTATGTTGTTAGCGCGATCATAGATGTACTTGGAGCCAAGGGGGTGAAGCGTGACATCGGTGCGGCCACACATGAACTTGGAGTGGACGATGGCCAGTTGGACACGGATTGTTGACAGTGCAGTGACCAGCTGTTCAATGTCCTTCTTGTTGAAGCGGCTGCGCGATGTCTCGAGAATGGAGCGGCAACACTTGATGGCCAGGGGGTTGCGCAGACGATCGTTGAGCGCCGAGATTTGGTTGGTGGGCGGCAGGATCTTTGAGTTGACAGTGTCCAAACGCTCTGTCACCACCTCGCTCACATCATGCAAGTTGTCAGCAATGTACGAGATGGTCTGCAGATCGCGATGAATGAGTGGCAACTTGTCCATATCGAGTCTCCTGACAATCTTGCTCATTTCAGAGTCGGCAGGTTCGAACTTGAACACATCATCCCTGGGTAGAAGCTTGCTCCTGTTGGTCACTAGGAATGGCATTCTGTCGAACGTCACGTAGAATTTTACGATGAGCTTGACGATGGACTTGACCAGAATCTCTGACAACTGCGTGTCACCAGCTATCCTGGAGAGCAAGTGGTCCACATCTGTGACCTTTATCTTGGAGATGGCGCCGATGCGCTTCAATGTCTCCAAGTTATAGTGGGAGTTGAATGAGAAGAAGTAGGGCGGAAAGTCATCCGAGGCCGAGATGGTTGCATTTGTGATCGGAATGAACAGGGATGATTTTGGCAAGGGCAGTTTGAGGCCCGCGGGGATGGGAATATCCCACTTGGGGCCTCTGTTCATGGCTTCGGCTGCATTGCGAATGTACTTGATCGTTTCTTCCTTGTGGATGGCATTTAGTCCCACCTTCCAGGTTGTCTCGGCCAGGGTAAGACAGTTGAAGAAGTGTCTGGCAATGTCTGTTGACTCGGGTGGCTTGTCGCTGAGTGGTGTAGCGCGGATATGTTTGACTGTGAAGCACAACTCGGCATATTTGTCATTCACACTGCCCTTGAGTGTAGACAGCAGTGGCATGGGGAGCGCGCCGTCTATCTTGCACTCCTTGCATGGCACGATGTACATGTTGGAGTACTTTGGGTTGTCCAGAAGGTTGCGTACCTCGAGTTGCATCAACAGGTACTTTGCGCGCTTGACCAACTTGCCCTTGTTGTCTTCGTTGCTGTTGTTGGCGTTGATCGAGAGGAATTCGCGTGATACCAATGCGCACTGATCCAACAAGTCGTTCGCGTCCAATGTTCGCTTGAGCTTCATACGCGACCAAAAGTCGTTCCACTTGTCATGGCTGAGTTCGTGGGGCGGGAAGGCCAATCCAGCACGGAATGGCTCCAGCTCCTCGCAGTTGGGGTCAAACAACTCGGCAGCCATCTTGAGGACAAATGGTTTGGGGCCGTGTGGCGTGAGGATGGGGATAAGGCGGCGCTTGGTTAAATTGATCTTCTCGGCCATGGGCAGAGTGTGATAGACATCGATGAACTGGTCAAGGATCGCGAGCACTTCTTCAAAGGTCTTGGTGTCGAGTGTGTTGATCACATGCTTGACGATCCACTCACCCTTGCTCATGTTGCAAACGTTGAGTCGATCGCCAAGCATTCCGACCACACGCATTAGCTCGCGTGACTGCTGCTCACACACAAACATGTTGCCGTCAGGGTACATCTCGACGAATTCTCGATTGTACAGGATCTTGAGATCTTGGCCGTTACCATGGGGAGCATTACGGAACTCTATCTTAGCCAGTGTTCCATTCTCCAGCAACAGGATGTTCAGGCCGACCAATTGCGCGGGGTCAATCATGAGCAGGGGAATGAGGTAGTTGAAGACATGGATGGCCGAGGGAGGGTCTTTGATTGGAGTGACTGTGAAGAAGTCGCGCACGCATGCGGGACCAAGCTGCTGGCCATTGACAAAGTATGTGAGATGGCTGGGGATGTGCAGCACCTCGGCCTTGTACAGCGAGAGGATGTTGGCGATCTCCAGCTGTCTGGGGTCGTTCTCCTCGCGCTCAGTGATCACGATCGACTTGCGTCCGCAGACAGACCACGACGTGCTACCAACTCCAACTTTGACGTACAGTTGTTTGTTGCTCGCCTCCGACTTGAATTTGTTGATGATACGCATCACGGACTTGTCGGCGGAACCTGCGTTGGGGAACAGAGAGTAGAATCGCTTGACATCATTGAGAGAGCCTGTGAAGTGGCGTCTGGCTTCCATCATCAGATTGACGTACATGGGCGCGATGATGTCCTCATACAGCACAATGTTCCACAGCGTGGGCATGTTCTCTGGTCTGACATGAGGTGGTAGCTTTAGGAACGACTCGTTGCCAAACGTTCCATTGTCCTCGATCGAGGATCGCGCTGAGTTAGTCTCGAAGTAGCCATCTATGTGCACGGGCAGTCCAGTGTCGATAGACATGGGTAGCGTGGAGAATGCTTTGCCCTTGAACGTCTTGTCAGTGTCAAGAGGCAGCGCGACACCTCCGAGTGGCAGACGCTTCTTGGCGCCGGCAACATGTCCAATCGTGTTGAGCGATTGCTTGAACAGTTCGGTGGCCATATCACCTCCAACACGACGGCCCACCAGCCAGCGATGAGTGTCGAGGTTGCCCGTCTCAGGACTCTCGATCATGTACTCCCTCATCTGAATGATGTCTGTGGGCTCTGGAGCATTGTTGCGGCTCTGTTCGATCCTGTGCAGACAGCCCTTGAGCACTGACGGGTCATCCTTGTCCATGCGCGTGATTGAGTGTACCAACTTGCACTCGCCGTCGGCCATTCGATGGAAGTTGATGCGCTTGATGTAGGGAAGGAACAACATGCAGTTCTCGACGCTGTTGATGAACTCTTTGAACAGTTTCTCACGGTCGTCGATGGTCCACTCTGCGAACGAGTATTGCTCGTCAACCTCGCGTCTCATTGGCAGACGGAAGAGCGTGCCGTTGAATGGACGCACGAGGTCCAGGCCAAACTTCTGGTAGGGGAGTAGGGGCTCAAGGATCATCTCGTCGATAAAGGCACGGTTGATGAACGAGAACTTCTTGCCGCGCTTGCTGTCCATGTAGTTCTCAAAGTGGTTCTGGTGCACGTCAAAGAAGTAGATAGAGTCGTTGGTGACCAGCGAGGGGATGTCCGTGATGTTGAACACCGAGTTGAAGCCGTAGCCAAAGCGGCCAATCGATGAGTTGTCCTTGGTCTTCTTGGACTGGCCCACGCTCTGGATGTTCTTGATGTCCTTCTCTGTCATTGACTTGTTGTTGATGAATGTGATTGATGGGCCCAATATATCAAAGAACTTCTTTGGATAGTGTTGTTTGAACTGCTCTGGAATCTTTCCAGTATGATCATTCAAGTCCAACACAATGTCCATCACAGTCGCTTCCGAGTCGTCTGCATTCTGTATCATCTCGCCCATTAATGAACTTGGATTGTAACCATCCTTCAACAAATTTTTGATCGTCTACAGTTCGTTTGATTGATTGATTGATTAGTATGTGATCTCATTGTTGGGCAGTGTTTGGGTACATACAGAGTCGAGGCCCACCTCTTGTCCAAAGCCACTGTCGGTTAGGCCTTGGTGGAGTAGCTCGCGGTCGGTAATCACACCTAGGTTCTTGCCAACGTTGAATGAGATGTCATCGCTGATCTTGTGGAATCCATTCCTCATGAGTCCCACGGTGAGGTTGTCACTTCCACGACAGATCAACACCTCATTCTTTGGATAGAGTATGTTGTCCGTGCCTGGTATCTCCACGTCCACGGTCTTGTTCTCCTTCTCTCCAACGAAACGTAGAATCTCCAGCACCACCTTCAGCTTGTCCTCTGGCAATGGCTGGAGATGATGCTCACGCTCCATCTTGGAGACGACGAGCAAGTAGCGCTTGGTGTCATAGGTGTCGGGGATGTCAAACAGCTTGAACAGAGGACGGTGATGCGACGCCAAGAAGGTGGGTATCTCAAAGAGGTAGGGTGTAAAGTCGCGATCGCTCTTGAAGGCGACAGAGTCTGCGCTGATGAATTGCTGTCCTGTCCAGACCCACTTGAACTGTGCGAGCCAAGACTTGAGCTTGGGCGTCGTGGCAATGTGTTGACGTATCTCTGTGTATATTATATCGACTATCTTCATTATGATTGAGGGGTCTACGGGTGCGGCGAGTGCTGTCACCTGCTTGGCAATGTTGCGCAGGTTGTCCAAGATCATTTGGAGAGATGGCTTGGCAAACAACAGTCTCTGCATGTTGTCGGGCATGTCCACATTGCCAATGTCTGCGATGTGTGCTCTGGTGAAGCAGAGGTAGGAGTCTAACGGACGATGGCACATGCTTGGCATGACGTAGGTTGCATCACTTTTGAATGGACTGAGTCCAACATACTCATCTTGGTTGTCCAGCTGTGCCACTCTGACCCAAGTCACATTCTGAAGGTGACGACTAAAGACCGAGTCGGGGTAGTCGTGCGCGCCGGACGTGGCAAGCAAAGCGATGAACTGGTCAAAGAGCTGATCGTTCTGAGTGGTTGCGATCTGAATTGTGATGTCCTGAAGTCTCTGGACGTCCAGGTTGGTCATGGCTGAGAGCAGGTACCATGGGTATGAGTAGTCGATGTGTGAGAGCTCCTCGCTGATGAGGAGGTGGCCAAGGTTGGCCTGCATCAATATAGATGTATGTGCGCTGTGCACAAACATGTTGGAGGGCGCATTGAATGGCTGAGTGACACATTGAGTCGGGACGAACTTGATCGTCTTTAACTTTGTGATGTTGTAGTCCTTGAGGTTGAGTAGCATCAGCTTTATGGCCTTGAGTTGAAGTGGCGTGGCAAAGTCTGTGATGTTGGGCAGTACATGCGCCTGATTGAACGTGGCGAACAACATTGGCGCAGTGTCTTGTGGCAGGAACTCGAGATCTGTCGAGTTGATCTTGATGTAGAGTGTGGCAAGGTGTTGAGTGTACTCGCCCAGCTCGGTGGACAGCGAGCATGGGTTGCCCGCAAGCGTAGCGTATGTTTTCTGCGTTTTGTTTGGATACACTTCAAACAGTGGCAGCGCGGCAAACAGCTGGCGGTACTGTGTAGAAAGAGAGTTGCCGAAGAAGGTGGAGCTAACCAAGAAGTTCTTCAGCAGGCTCTCCTTGTTGGGGTAGTTCGATGCGCTGAACTTTGTCGCCTTGAGCTCGGTCAGCAACACAGCCACTGTGTTGTGATTCTTGAGAGGTTCGTCCAGCAGCGCATTCTTGTCGAGTATTGGGAAGTTGAGCTCGGTCAACAGAGGGCGCACAGTGTTGACGTGCGACTCTGTGATTGTGTTGAGCAGCCCGGGATGATTGAGCGCGTACCACTTGCCCATGTTGCTGGCGGGGAAGATGGGCAGGTCGTACAGCTTGTCAAAGTGCAACCTAAACTGGAGGTCCTCGCCAAAGTACTGCCAGAGAGTGTCGAGGTCCAGGTTTGGCAGGGGGTCCGACTCAGTCACCGCGAGCCCGTCGAAGAATGATGTACTGAGCAGATTGAGGAATGTGATGTAGGTGATGGACTCGAGCTTGTAGTGTTCGCTGAGTGATTGGGGCAGTGTTAAGCCCAAGTCCTGCAGACATAGTTTGGAGAGGATCGCGTGGGCGAGCACAGGCGACAAGACTTTGATGACGCGCTCGTTGCTCGTCGTGTGTAGCACGCTCTCTTTGTTCAGAGCGACCACATCGCCATTGACGTTCTGGAACAGGGGCACGTCATTCAACAGGCCCTTGTTGATGATCTGCTCGTCCAACATATAGAGCATCAGCTCCTTGTTATACTTCTTGATTGGCAACATGGTCAACAGTTTGCACAGCTTCTCCCTGGTCACATACTTGAGATGATTGCTAAACTCTTGATACTTCTCGAGAGTGTGCAACAGCTCATCGGGCAGCAGCGCACATGGAATGTTCCTGTCGCGCAGAACCTGGACCACGCACTGAGGCAGACCGTTGAGCAGATGGAAGGCGGACAGACGGTCGTGATGTCCTTGATTGAACTCATTGTCAAACAACGGCGACTCGAGGATCATGGCCAGTGTTGCTGGCTTGACCTTGTCCTCGATCTTGACCACCTTGCTGTGTTTGGCCGGGAAGTAGGAGTAGAGCGAGCGCTCTGGTTGCAGGCTCTTGAGCTCTACCAGGTTCAGGTGGTAGAGGTGGGGTATGATCTGATTGAGAATGACTGTGTTCCACTGCACGAGCTGGTAGGACGAGTCGGTCGGGTCGAGGTCCGACAGGTTGATCTCGGTACGCGAACTCGTCGTGTAGAAGTAGCCGTGGAGATGCACGGGCAGGTTGGTCGACATGGTGCCGATGGGCAGGTAGCAGAAGGGTCGGCCCATGAAGTTGGCGTCGTCTTGTACCAAAGGCGCGGCGATACCACCTGTGGGTATCAGCTTCTTGTCGCGCATCGACCTGTGCTGTATGATGTTGTTGATGTCTTTGGATGCGCGATAGCCCTGTGTGATCAACCATTCATTCGACGTTGATGAGCCGGTCCTCGTGTCAGTCGATGTCACGCCCAGCCTGTAGTGCAGTACTGGATAGCTTGTCTGGTTCGCCAACAGTTCTCTGAACATATCCAATCGAAGCTTGCGCTTGTCGACAGAGGCAGGTATCTGCTCCTCGATCGTTCGCAAGTAGTCCTTTAGCATCTTGATCTTTGGCGCACGCTCCATTACTGATGAGTCATCGATCACTGTGTTGAATATCTCCTTGCCGTCGATCTTGAGCGACAAGCGTCGCAGGTTGTGTAGGAAGAGCAGTGAGTGTGGCGCCTGCTTGACGAATCGCTCAAACAACGTCTTGATGCCAGCCACTGTGGTCGCCTCCTCTTTGATCTTGCCTGACGAGCCTCTGAGCGCCAGACGAATGATTGTGCCGTTGTGTGACTTGGCGCCCTTCTGACAGCCGAGCGCCTGGAATGGCGCGAACTGATCGTCGCACCGTGTGAGCGACTCGTAGTCGATGAAGTAGCCGTTGGTGCCGGCCTCGGACATGGGGAAGAACTGACCGAGCACGTCGGGGAAGTAGACGCGATCGCCCGAGACGATGGCGGGGCAGTCGGTGATGTGATAGACAGAGTTGAAGCCCACGCCAAACTTGCCGACAGAGTTGACATCCTTCTGTTTGGAGCCTGTACCGATCTTTGAAATGCCCTTCCAATCCTTCTCCTTGAACAACGAGTTGTTTACAATCGACAACGATGGACCTTGCAAAGGTGTAGGGTCTCTCCTTGCCTTCAAGTCTTTAAACAACTTATCATTCTTATAAGTACCAGTATCAAGTACGAATGATACCTCTGTCGCACCTGCATCATCAGAGTTCTGTTTGTTTCATTCGTTCATTCGTTCATTCGTTCGTTCGTTTGATTGTTAGTGTGAGTCACAATCACGATTGAATGAATGATGTCATACCTGTAGTTGTTCAGCTAAGATTGTAGAGTCGGTATACTCAACCAAGAGGTTCTTTATTGTCTTGTGTATCTCTTCATGAGTGAACAATACATCGCCCACTGGATTATATGTTCGCGGTTTATCCGCTGCTGACATTATTAATCAGTACGAATGAGTATGTATATATATATATAACTAACTAATGTATATTTGTATGAATGTATAACAATGTATGAATGAATGAATCAACGATGGCTCGTTCTCTGCCTTTGTGTTCGCGAACCCTTTGCAACCGCCCACGCTACTTTTTGTTCGCGCAACCTGCAATGTTAAGTTGCCTGTCAGCCAACCAATCAATCATCAATCAATCAACTAAGGACTCAGAGATCACATGCCCTCAATGCTTGCAAATTGATGGAGAACTTGTGGAAAAGCCCATTGACATGTTTATTGATGCGATCGATCGATCAACTAGTCGATCAATGAGCGAGCAATCCAAACTCTCTAATATATTGTTCATATACCAATGGTGTCATATATATATGAGTATGTTGTGACATCTTGTAGAACTACCTATTGAGTTGATGTTGTTGTGTGGCCTGAATAGTTGGACGACGCTGTATCCTGATCTGTTTCCTTTGTTTCGTTTGATCAGATTGATAGTTGGTGCCTTTATGAAGGGTTCACCTTTGAAGTGATTGTCCTCTACCAAGCTATCCAATACAACTTTATACATATTGAAGTTGTTGATGGCAGCATATGTCTCCAACACTTTCTCAATGAACAACTTGTCTCGTTTGCGATAGCTTGGCACTCGCGACCATATGAACCTAGCCTTCTCGTCATCCAGATAAGAGTCCATATTGAAATAGCCAATCACATCAGATGCCAGGAGCATGTTGGCGACGGCAGGCAAACCATCAAAGTCAAATCGAGCGAGGTGTTGAGGCAAGGCAAGGTGTGCCGCTAACATGTTACCATGTCCAAAGTTGGCCAATGAATGAAAGACTTGATTCTCAATCTCTCGAGTTGTGAGTGTCTTGCATTTATCAAGTAAGAATTGATTGATACGTGCATTGTCCACGCCATACTTGGTCGCCATTGCCAAACATCCTTTGTCCACAGACTTGTACAGGCTGAGCATCAAGTCGTAGTCGCCTAAATATATCGCTGCTTCCTCAAACAGTTGACTTGGGAACATTTTGTTTGGTTTGTCAGTGTGATGGCCATGCTTGATAATCAGAAGGATCATGCTGGCACTCATTCTCGCCTCGGAGGTCATTGTCCTGATGTACAATTGGCCAGGTTTGATCGACCCCAACAACACATCAAGGGTGTCGTCTGAGCATTTGCATAGTGTCTCTGTGCGTATCTCAAAGAGATGGGGCGCAGTACCAACGCCAATGAGCCTCTTTATGCCTTCAATGTAGTTGTCCTCCAGGACGATGCTGAGCGTTTGATTGACAGACTTGATTGGAGGCGCGGTCCAGTTTGGGTGTTTGCTCAGACGACCAATCACATCCATTCGTCGAGACTTGATCGCGCTGGTATAGATGCCCATCAGCAAGCACATGACCCTGTCCTTGTTGAGTAGTTTGTCTACCAAGCCCAACCAATCACGGTCTGATGACATGTCGATAGAGCTAACCGACCACTTTCGAGGAAGCAATGGTATGAGTGTGTCCATGATGTACAGAGCGCAGTCGATGTGTCCTCGAGACAGTGCACCTTGCAACAAAGTTTGATCAAAGATTGGGACAGACCCTGGCAGTGACTTGTACTCGGCCATCAAATGCTTGACACTCTTCATGAAGGACAAGGCCACGTCGCCACCATTCACTTCAACAAGTCCATTGAACAAAGGTGTCCGATTGGCGAGTGTTCCAATAGTCTTGAGCGTATGGATGTTCATTGGTTGTTTGACGCGAGTGATTGATTGCTGTTGTCCTGGTACCATATGCTCTGCCACCTTGATGATCAACATGTACAACTCATGTTTGAGTGAGAAGTTCTTGATGTTTGTAGAGGTGATATCGTGCACGATAGATGAGCCAACATACTCCTCAAACGCTTTGATAATGTTTGATTGATGCTTGTTGAACAGTGGCACATCAATGGGCTGTTCAATACCAAAGTATACCAATGATTGAAAGGTGGGAGTAGTCGGATAGTGTCGTGCAGCCACCTTGATGAACAGGTCAAAGTCATTGTGAATAGCCAATGCGGACAACATCATTGATTTGACAAAGACAGGGTATAGTGCCTCGGTTGGGAAGTCGTTCAGAGTCTGGAGCATCAACAGGCTGAACTTGAATGATCTTGTAGTGGGGCCAAGTGCATAAGTGAGCAACTCCCTGCTCACCATGTTCGGATCACTACCATCATTCACTCGTCTCATTCTCTCGATGATATAAGTAACCAACTCCACATTGTTATTCTCCAATGCTACTTTGAACGAGTCATTAATCGTATTCTTACTACTGTCACTATATAGATTTGTGATCATATGATCAAAGTTATGTTTGAATCTATTGTTATCTCTACTTATAATGCAATGCCATAATGAGGATACATTGCGACCAACAAATACATCCTTGAAGCCAAGTCTACAATGTATCAATGACACACATCTAAACAACTCTGATCTAATGTATGAGTTATTGATCAATCTCCTCAACAATGTCATCACCGTCATCATTATTATTATCTTTGATCATATTATATTTATATGTATCTCTATATTCATCACAACTGGCAAAGTAAATTGGAAAAGAGAAGAAACCAAGGGAAAGCGAAGGTGTCAGATCTGATCAAATCACAAATATCTAGATTCGTCTTTTCGAGTTTTAGTTTCCAAGTTACTTCCATGTCTTTGAAATTTAATCTAACCAAATATACCAATCTGGGATAATTGATTGCTGATATTGAAGTAGTTATTAGTCCAATTGGACTAATTCCATTGCGCAATTCTTTCAAAAATATTGTTTATTATTATGGGTCAATCAATCAAACACTCCAATGTTGATGAGTGATCGACAGTGTTGATGCCATTGTATTGGTGTCAATGGTATTAGAAACCGATGGTAATGGTTTGATGATGTTGACTCTGTTATGGACATAACAGGTTGGAATAACTTCATAATCGATATGATAGACTTGAATAAACATGGTTTGGTATTCGCATCAATTATACTTGATTTAGGTGCATTGATGAATGGTTGTTTGAAAAAGGATTGATCACTATCTTTTACCAATGAATCCAATACAACATTGTATAGATCAATATTGTTGACACCAGCTTTGGATGCCAATACCTTCAAAATGAACTGTTTGTCAAGTCTGTGCTTGATGTCCAATCGAGACCAGATGTACTCCAATACCACCTTGTCCAATCGACTTACATCCCATGAAATGGTCTCGGTTACTATGTTGCTGCCATGTGATGTGCTTAGCGGATCATATACCTCCAGGTTGAACATGCGAAGGACATCCGATGCCAAGACCATGCCCGCGACCGCATGTTTACCATTCATGTCAAGGCGAGCCATATGTTGTGGAAGTGATAGGAGTAGTTCAATCTTGTTACCATGTCCAAAGTTGAGCAGAGAGTATATGATGAGGTCTTCAAATGAATTTTCGCCTTTGTTCCAATCAGTATTATTCAAAAGATATTGTATAATATCTGCATTATCTGCGCCATTCTTGCAAATAGTTGTCACATATATTTGATTATGATCTTGTATGAGATTGAGCATGAGCTCATATTCGCCAAGTAATGCTGCCTGTATGCCCAGTGCACTTTGGAAGGACTTGCCACATATATTATGCTGTCCACGTTCAATGACCTTGAGAATGTCGCAGGCTGGCCACTCAACTCCAGCTATGTGTGTGTCGATTGACAATTGACAACTGGATGGAAGTGACTCCAAGAGGCCGACTAGCATGTCTGGCGTAAACTGATAGAGATCAAACAGGTTGACCTCAAATATGTAGTCTGGCGGTGCTTGTCGCATGATTGATTTGATGGCTGGCATGAACTCTTCGTCCAACGCGGCAACCAGTGCATCTTGAATGTTGATTGTTTGTGATGGATTGAGTTCCATCAGTTGCTCGAGATGTTCAATCACATCCATTCGCTTCGAATGAATGGCACTGATGTAGAGTTGATTGAAGTTGCACGATACCTTGTTATGGCTAAGCAGTAGGTCGATTAATGTTGGCCAATTATGTGATTGATCATCTTTTGGTGACTTTTCCAACATGTTCACGTTAGTCAACACCTGCCACTTGGGTGCCAGGTTCCATCTTTTATCGGCAATAGGTTTATCTTCTTGTGGAAGAAGATGTGTGAATGTGTCCAGGATGAAGATCGCGCACTCGTAGTGGCCATTGGTCAACGCAGACTGAATCAGGTATTGATTAAAGAGTGGCGCACTAGTTGGCGATGCCATGTAGTCAGCCACAAGATGCTTGACACGCATCATGAATGTGATGTCACCACCAGCAGCCAATCGATTGAACAACATTGGTCGTTGGATGGATGAGAGTGTCTTGAGCATGTCAATGGTCATCGGCTGAGCGATAGGTGTGAGCGAGACAGTGTCCTTAACATGTGGAGCGACCACATGTACCAGGTCAAACAATCTATTCTTGAGCGCAAACAACATAATCTGTTGTGCCGTCACATCAGTGCCACGCGAGGGAAGTGAGCTGAGGTGTAGCCTAATGTCATTGATGACGCGTGTCTGGTGTATGGCGAACACTGGAATGGGATCGGCAAGGCTAACTAGTAGGTAGTGTTCAATGTTTGGACGGTTGATACGTGAGTGTCTTTGGGCCACTTTGATGCAGAGGTCAATGTCCTCGTGGATGGTCAGCGCAGACTTCATCATTGAATGAATGATCGAGGGGTACAAGGAGTCGACTGGAAGATCGTAGAGTGTCTGGATCATCGCTCGACTTAGTTTAATGTATATATCAAACTGAGCGAATGAACACAATGACTTGCACACCTCCATAATCGACTGTCTACTATTAACATGTCTCATTCGTTTGATGATGTATGTCACCAGTTCAACATTCCCAAGTTCCATTGCGAGTTTGAATGAGTTATTGATGGCACTATATCAATTGATTGATTGATTGATTGAGAGAGTGAGTGATTGAGTGATCATGGCGGAATGATTCCAATGGTCCTGGCTTGAATGATCCAGTGTGATTGAGTGTGGTGGAATGATTCCGAAAAGAGGGGAACATACTCGTTGGGTCTGTTTAGTGATTGGTTGTAGGAGGTGATCAATCGTTCAAAGTGTTTGATGAACCTGGCGTTATCTCGAGAGTGTATACAATGCCAGAGTGAGCAGATATCACGCCCTCTGAATAAATCCTTCACCTGTCTTTTGTGTATCCATGACACATTCTTAAACAACTCTGATCTGATGTAAGTGTTGTTCAACAACATCTTCATCAATGACATCAGTTGTACTTCATTACTCTTTGTATCCATCACTAATCCATGGATTGTACAATATCTATCTATCTTAATTTCGCTTCGCTGTTGATCGAAGTGGCATCAGATTTTAAAAGGTGTGAGAAAGTTCGTTTCGTTTTCCAATCACTTTATTATCACACCAAGATTGGTCAGATGTGATTGGTATTGTTGGTACTCGGTTGGAGTCAATGGTATAATGAGGTGACGGTATGGCCATGTGTCGATTGTGTTGTTGAGTGGATTGAACAACTGAATGATTGAGTGGACTGACTTGTATCGTCTATATTCGTTCAATCGTTCGCCAATCACTTTGACACTAGGTGCCCTTATGAATGGCTCACCGCCAAGATCAAAATGATTGTCCTCCACCAATCCATTCAATACAACTTGATACATAATGATGTTGTTGGCGCCTGCATTGGAAGACAACAAGTCTAAGATGAACTTTTGATCTCTCTTATGTCTAGTCTCAACGTGCGACCAAATGAACTCTATCACCTCTCGTCTCAATCGACTGACATCTGCCTGGAATGCCATCGGAAAGTATCCAGTGTTATAGACTTGTTTCGGAATGAGATTGACAAAGTGCCTCACGTCCGATGCCAATAACATGTTTGGTACAGCACGCTGATTGAAGTCTGATCGATCAGATCGTCGGAGGTGAGGAGCTGATGTCAACAATGCAGATGCCTTGTTGCCCAGTCCAAAGTTGACCAGAGAGAATGCCAGGTGGTCATCGTAAGAGGTGGGATGTAGCTCCCCAGCCAGTAGGCGGACGATGTCTCCGTTGTCCACACCACACATACAGACATCAGTCAAGACGTTGAAGTTCCAACATACCATTTTGGTATCTTGATCGCCCAATACTGCAGCACTCTTGAATATAGTCTGGTTGATTGATTTGCTTGCCAAGTGATGACCATACTTGATCAATATCCTAATTGTGACTGCTGACAGTAGTACATCAATGTTTCGTCTGATGAATAGACGGGCAGGGGGGATAGCGGCCAGCAACATGTCTTGTGTGTCTGTTGGACAACTCGCAAGGAGGTCCAAACGGATGTCTTCAAACTCGTATTCACTCGGACGATTGTGAATGATTGCCTTGATACCTTCAACATAGTTCTCTTCTATCGCAGTGTTGAGAGCCTTGAAGAGGTTCACATTGTGTCTTGGCTTGGACTTGATCAATTCCTCCAGTCTATCGATCACATCCATTCTACGCGCCTTGATCGCGTCGACATACACCTCGGTGAACTCACACAGTACCATATCATTGCTGAGCAGTGTGTTGATCAGTTGTAACCAGTCTGTGTCACCTTGATCATCACCCATGTTGACTGATGTAACTATCCACTTGAACTGAAGATTCCTGTTCTTGCTGTAGGTTGTGGCGTCGACTGGTGGCAGAGGAAGGTACTTGGTGAAGGTGTCCAGGATGAAGTGCGCGCATTTGACATGTCCGCCAGACAGGGCACACTGCAGAAGGTGTTGATCATAGAGTGGACGATTATCTCGCGAGTCCAAGTAATCGGATACCAAATGTTCGACATCAACAATGTGCTGCATGAATGTTGTGTCGCCACCAGCAGCAAGTAGATTGAAAGGCATTACAATGTTGGATGCAAGTATCTTTAGAGTATCCACATTCAATGCTTCGGGATTGGGTGTTGATGTTAATGTTGGTCGTTTGACTTGTCTGAGCTCCCATGGGTCAGTTGGGTCGACATCATTGACGAGCTGTAGATGATTGGCAAGTTTCAACAACAAGTCAAAGAGTCGATGTCTGATTGCAAAGTTGACCATGATCAAAGGCATGTCACCAAGATTCTCTGGTTGTAAAGCAATGTATTCGTCGAGATCATTGATGATTCGTGATTGATGTCTTGCGAACAACATACTGTCCACATTCAAGTTGTTTATACATGTGTATTGCATTATAACAGGACGAGATGGTTCGAATCGTTTGGCCACCTCAATGCACAGATCGAAGTCATCAAGGTCCACTAGGGCTGACCTCTTCATAGAGACGAGCATACTTTGATCCATAGCATCAGGATGGATGATACGAAGTAATGTTTCAATCATCTGTCGACTATGTCTTAGTCGTCTGGACTGCCCATCACTGTCTTCATCGGGATGTCTAAACATAACATAATGAAGCAATGTGTCTTTGACAAATTTGTTGTACAACTCGATTATAGTGTTCTCTTCTTGGCCTTGGCCTTGGCCTTGGACTTGAACGGGTCTCATTCGGTTGATAATATATTCGACTAATGTTACATTCTTGAGATACATCGCAAGACAGAAGCAAGTAAGCAATGTGAATTGTAATCTAAGGATTGATTGATTGATTGATTAAGAGTGAGTAAGTGGCATGATTGAATGAGTGAAGTCATAGTGTACTCTTTGTTCTTTGTTTGAAAGTTAAAGTCTAGTTGATCACAATACTTGATGAAGTTTACATTATCTTGACATAGTACGAGATGATATAGTGAACATATATCGCGTCCTTTGATTGAATCAACACCAAGTTGTACATGTATCTCACCAACACATCTGAATATAACTGATCTAACATAAGAGCTGGCCAATACACCACTCACCAATGACCTCAACCTACTACCACTACTACTACTATTATTATTATCTGTATCCATTACATTAGTAATATATGTTGAATAATCATAAAGTGAACATGCAAAGGAGTGATGACTCATTGTCATTGTGTTTGAATGAACCACAATCTTTGTATTTATGGGATTGATGTTAATGCGCCAACCTCTTGGAACATGATATGGTATTGTTTGAGCTCATCATCAGTCAGTGGAATGAGTAGTCGACGATATGGATACGTTGGATGTGTCGGATCATTCATATTTGATTGATTGAATAGTTGGATGATTGATTGAGCTGATCCATATCGTCGGTTTGTCAATGATCTGGTCTTGATCATACCTGTCCGTGGAGCATGTATGAATGGTGTTTGGAAGTGATTGTCATCAATCAAGCTGTCCAAAACTACCCTGTACAATATGACATTGTTAACGCCAGCTCTTGATGTCAGTACTTCATTAATGAATGTTGTGTCTTGCTTGAGTCTGATCTCCACTCTTGACCAAATGAACTCGATCATCTCCCTACTCAGCGCACTGACATCATGGTACAGTCTATTGTTGTTTGCACCAATCGGGATATGACTTCTTGCTCTCACTCTAAGACTGAAGAATGAGATCACATCAGAGCGCATCAACATTCCAGGCAGGGCAGGACTCCATCCATCAGTGCTATCAACTCTTTCCAAATGTTGAGGCGAGGCCAAGAGTGCATCGACCTTGTTTCCTTGTCCAAAGTTGATCAATGATCGCAACAACAATGGAGTGATGTCAAAGTATGGTCCTGAATTCTCCAAGTGATGTACAAGCATGCTGGCCACATCCGATCCTCGCCTACACAGTGCTCCCATGTTGATGAAGGCATTGCCTGTCTTATTCAACTCTTTGAATTCATCGAGTAGTCCATTCACCGCGGCATTGTATGACAATACATCATTGTTGCAACCTTCATGTCCATACTTGATCATGAGTCGGATGGTGCTTGGCTTCAAAGATATCCAACACGAAGGAGTATTTTGCCAATTGTAGAGGCACCCTGGTGAAGCAGTCGACAGGATCATCTCCACCACGTCTTCAGGAAGTTGATCGAGGAGTTGAAGCTTAAAATACCTATAGTGATAGTTGGTTTGGATGTGTCTGCCACTTTGAAGGACCGACTTGATGCCCTCGATGTATTGTATACTCATCGCAATGTTGAGTGGTCCAGTAAGATTCGTAAAGTGTGCGACTCTTATGGCTTGCTCAATACGCTTGATCACATCCATACGCTTGTACCTGATCACCGAGCTATACACTGAATCCCATATGAGTACCACGCGATCAGTGTTGAGCAAACGATCAATCAACAGACACCAGTTATGCTGGTCGTTTGACATGTCGATCGAATGAACTGGCCAATTATAATTAATCAATGGGTGGGTCATGATGTTGTCCAGGATGAAGAGTGCACATTCATAATGTCCTTCCACCAAAGCATTGGAGAGTAGGTTGGAGTCAAGAAAGACACCGATATCTTGGATTAGGGCTGGCAGAAGGTGTTTGATCGCCTCTAAGAATACGTGATTCCCATTCACGATCAGCTCAGTGAATAGAGTGCCACGTGGTTTGCGAGATTGTATCAACTTGATTGAGTCCACGGTCAAAGGTCGAGGTGTCGTGCGTAGTCCTGTGCATATGACTTGTTCCTCTCTGCCAGCGCCAACAGCACCATAACTCCAGTCCAAGTGCTGGACGACCAACAAGTACAGGTCATTGTGCCTTAGCCGACTTGACGAGTTCAGCATTTCCTCTGCAATATCCTTGCTCAAGTTTGATTGAGGTTCGCTTAGGTATGTCTGGAATTGATTGATAACGAGCGTCTGACATTGGTGGAATACTTGACAATAGTACGATGTTATGTACTCCTCAATAACAGTGGCTGGTCGTCGATAAATATATGATGTGACCTCGAGGTACAGGTCGACTTCTGCATGGCTATGGCTTGTCGATGAGTTCATCGATGTTAGCCAATGCTTTGGAAGCATGTCGTATGGCAGTTTGAGTAACACTCTGATCATTGATTGACTGAGACTGTCGTAGGGCTTGAGAGCATGCGAGAGTATGACTTGTTCAAACAATGTAATCCTTACGAGATGGATCATGTCAATCTCGTCCATACCATCTGTCTTGACCTCATCTATTGCATGTCTCCATCTCTCAATGATATAGCCAGCTATGATATCATTGTTCAATCTCACAGCTTGTCCAAACAGTTTGATTATGGTCGATAGCAATCTGTATTCATTCATTTATTGATTGGGTTAGTGATGTTTATAAAGTTGAATAATTGATTGACAGACATACTGATGCTTAGGTTTGATAGTGATCTGTTTGATTGACATCAAGTCCTCACTATTCATCATGATCGGTATCAATAGCCTATTGAGTGCTGTACCCAACATTGTATTGCCATCTTCTTCGACGGCGTTGTACATTCGATCAAAGTGATTTATGAACAATCTATTATCTCTAATCATTAAACAATGATACAAAGAACATACATCACGTCCATTTATAACATGTTCAATACCAAGTTGTCTGTTTATCAATGTTATACATCTACCAATCTCTGATCTAATATACTTGCTCTCATGTACTCTCCTCAACACTGACATCAAACATGTTGTAGTATTAGTTGTAGTAGTAGTAGTTGTTGTTACTTCATTATGTTGCATCACTTGTCTCTATCTCTATCTGTGTATTGAATAAGTATAATAATAGACAATAATAGTCGTCTTCATCTCAAGTTCAGCAAAGTGAAAGTTGCGACGATTCAAACATCTTTGTTTATGGGTGGCGAGGTCGAGGGCAAGGGTATGAACACTCCAAGATTGATGAACATTGATTGATGTCGCCTGATATCACTATTGGAGAGTGGAATGAGCAGTCGACGATATCGTTGACCGTCTGGACTGTGTGGATTGAATAGTTTGAGAATTGATAGAGCTGATGCATATCGTCGATTGGTCGATGACCTTGCCCTGATGAGTCCTGGACTTGGTGCTCGGATGGTTGGATAAGATGTCCTGATGTGATCTCCATCTATCAAACTGTCCAACACGACCTGATACGTGATGATGTTGTTCACGGCAGCTTGTGATGACAAGATATCGTTGATTAAGTATCGACATTCTTTGGCGAAGTCGTTCACTCTGGACCAGATGAACTCGATCTCTTCCCTGCTAAGCGCACTCACGTCATGGTATATATGTTTGTTGGAACGCCCATGGGCATGCGATGGCCTTGGACGCATGTTGAAGAATGACGTTACATCTCCACGTGCCACCAACATGCCGGGTCTGGCAGGGCCCAATGGTTCTAGTCGCCATGTATGATTCCGTGTCGCCAAGAGTGCATCAACCTTGTGACCTTGACTAAAGTTGATCAATGATTGCAATACAAGTCTCTCCATGCAGTATTGTGGTGGGGCGATCTCATAGAGATGTTTGATCATACTGACCATGCCTTCATGATCTTGTCCATGCTTGCAGACATGGGCAATCCAGTACCTGGCCATGTCTTTGTTTTTAGGCGGACACAACGTTTTGAACACGTCCAGCTGTCCGAGCAACGCTGTATTATATGCCAAGACTTCATGACATTGCTGGCTATGTCCATATTGTATGATCAATCTGACTGTGCTAGCAGAGAGTATGCAATGGGGTCGACCTAAGACATTGAAATATATCTTGCCCGGTGGGATACCTGCCAAGATCATCTCCACAATGTCCTCCGAACATTGATTGAGTAGGTCCAGCTCGACCAAATTGTAATATATATGTTGATTGGGCGGGCGTGTCCTACATTGTATGATTGATTCGATACCTTCGATGTATTGCTCCCTAATTGCAACATTGAGCAATGGACCCATGGATGTACCAAATGATGTTGGTTGTCGATCGTCATTGGCTTGTTCTACACGCTTGATAACATCCATGTGTCTGGCCCTGATGGCCGATGTATAGATCTCACACAAGATTGGTGACACTCGCCCATAGCAGTTTAGCAGTCGATCAATCAGCGTCAACCAATCATGTTTGTGATTCGATAAGTCGATATATCCAACAAACCAGGGCTTTTTGGTGCTGCCGATGTGATGTTGGTACTGCATCACCATGTTGTCCGCAATGAAGAGGGCACATTCGTAATGACCGGCCGAAAGTGCACCATTAAGCATGTACTGGTCAAACAATGGGAACTGATATGATTGTGGGTTGGTAGCGTAGTCGATCATGATCTCGGGCAGCAGATGCTTGATATGCTGCATGAAGTTGATGTCACCACGGCGGACGATCTTATTGAGGCTATCGAGGTTTAGATGAATGAGTGCCTTGAATGAGCCCAAGGTCACAGGTCGTGGTGATGGGAGCAAGCCTGTACAAGTCACATGATGGTTCTCGTCCTCGACCCAGTCCAAGTGTTGGACGACCTTCAAGAACAGATCAAAGTGTTTGTGAGAGCATGAGGCGGTGAGCATGCCCTTGACAACATGTTCCGAGTCGATAAGAGATACACCTTGCGAGAGAAGTTGATCAAAGTCATTGATTACACGTGTTTGATGGTTGGCAAACACAGGACAATAGGTGCCGATGTACTGATCGATGATGTTGACCGGTCGATCTGATTTGGGCGTGGAGGTGTAGATGACCACGTCAAGGTAAAGGTCCAGGTCAGATCCGGTCGAGTTCAACATACAGCTAATCCATCCCAAAGGGACCATTCGACAAGGCAGTGTGAGGAGGAACTCGATCATCAGTCGACTGAGCCTCCCAAGTCCTTTGATTATTGATGGATGTGATTTATCCAACAAAGATATCTTTACAAGATCGTTGATCATATCATCGTCCATTTCACCTGTCCTCACCTTTTCCACTCCTTGTATCCATCTCTTAATCAAGTGGATCATAATGACATCATTGTTCATCTTCACTGCAACTTTGAACAGATTGTTGATTGTCAACAATAGTCTGATTATGATTGAGTGAGTGAGTTAGTGATTGATTGATTGATTGATTGATGTATTCATTCATACATACTGAGGTATCTCTTTCCTCTTTTGATTCTTCCTCTTCTTATTACTCGGTCGGACTGTTTGGGATCTATCTGATATGAATCGAGCAAGTGCTGAACCAAGTAATGTGTTGCCATTGTCATTGACGGTCATATACATTCGATCAAAGTGATTAATGAACTTCACCTTGTCATCAGTGACAATACAATGATGCAATGAACATACATCACGTCCATTTATAACATTAACAACACCATGTTGTCTGTTTATCAATGTGATACATCTGCCAATCTCTGATCTCAGATACTTGCTCTCAATTACTCTCCTCAACACTGACCTCAAACATGTTGTTGTGATAGTTGTAGTAGTTGTAGCTACTTCATTATGTTGCATCACTTATCTCTATCTCTTGAAGAACTAGTTTGATTGAATAACTTTATTCTCTTCTTTATCTCAACCTAAACAAAGATGCTAGCCATGAAACTACAATGTTTATGGGCGAGGGCGAGGTCGAGGGCGAGGGCAAGGGTTCAAACACTCCAAGATCAATGAACATTGATTGATGTTGCTTGATCTCATCCTCTGTAAGTGGAATGAGCAGTTGACTATATTGTCGACTTTCAGGACATTGTGGATTGAATAGTTTGAGAATTGATAGAGATGATGCATATCGTCGATTGGTAGACGCCCTGGCTCTGATGAGTCCTGGACTTGGTGCACGAATGAATGGCTGAGATGTCTGGAAGTGACCACCCTCAATCAAACTGTCCAATACCACCTGGTACGTGATGATGTTGTTCACGGCAGCTTGTGATGACAAGACATCGTTGATGAAGAATTGGCATTCTTTGGCGATGTCGTTCACTCTGGACCAGATGAACTCGATCTCTTCCCTGCTAAGCGCACTGACATCATGGTATATACGATGGTTGGAATGTCCAAGTGAATGTCCACGTAAATGCCTTGGCTCTGGACGCATGTTAAAGAATGACAGGACATCTCCAAGAGACTCCAACATGCCGGGCTTGGCAGGGCGTCTTTCCAAAGGTTCATTGCGACTTGTGTGATTTGGTGTAGCCAGGAGTGCGTCAACCTTGTGACCTTGACTAAAGTTGATCAATGATTGCAATACAAGTTTCCTGATGGAGTATTGTGGCGGGGCGATCTCAAATAGATGTTTGATCATACTGGCCATGCCTTCATGATCTTGTCCATGTTTGCAGACATGTGAAATCCAGTGCGTGACCATGTGATTGTTTTGAGGCGGACACAACGTTTTGAACAAGTCCAGCTGTCCAAGCAATGCTGCATTATATGCCAAGACTTCAGAGTAATGCTGGTTGTGTCCATACTTTATCATCAGGTTGACCGTGCTGGCAGAGAGTTTGCAAAGTGTTCGATGCTTGACTCTGAATTGTAGGATACCCGGTGGGACTGCCGCCAAGATCATCTCCACAATGTCTGGAGAACATTGATTGAGTTGGTACAGATCGACCACCTTGTACAAGGTCTCATGACTGGGCGGGCGTGTCCTACATTGTATGATTGATTTGATGCCTTCGATGTATTGCTCCCTAATTGCAACATTGAGCAATGGACCCATGGATAGTCCATATGATGTTGGTAGTCGATTGTCATTGGCTTGCTCGACACGCTTGATCACATCCATGTGTCTGGCCCTGATCGCCGATGAATAGATATCAAACAAGTTTGCTGACACTCGCTCATTGTTGAGCAGCCGATCAATCAGCGTCAACCAATCATGCTTGTGATTCGATAAGTCGATTGAGTATCCAACAAACCATAGTGGTCTGGCATCATCATCATCATCACCATTATTATCGATGTTTGGTGGTTGGTACTGCATTATGATGTTGTCCATAATGAAGACGGCACATTCATAATGACCGGCCCCAAGTGCATCATTAAGAAGGTACTCATCAAACAGTGGGTATTGATATGATTGTGGATGGGCAGCGAAATCGCTCATGATGTCTGGCAGCAGATGTTTGATATGCTGCAGGAAGTTGATGTCACCACGGCGGACGATCTTATTGAGGCAACTTTTGGTCAGATGAAAGATTGCTTTGAATGAGCCCAAGGTCACAGGTCGTGATGATGAGAGCAGGCCTGTACAAGTCACATGATGGTTCTCGTCCTCGACCCAGTCCAAGTGTTGGACGACCTTCAAGAACAGGTCAAAGTGTTTGCGTTGGTGTGCCATTCTGAGCATGCCCCCGGCGACCGGTACTTGGTCTATACGAGATATACCTTGCGAGAGAAGGTGTTCAAAGTCATTGATTACACGTGTTTGATGGTTGGTAAACACGGGACGTAATGTGATGATGTACTGTTCGATGATGTTGACGGGTCGATCTATTTTGGACGTGTAGCTGACCACGTCAAGGAAAAAGTCCAAGTCAGACCCGGTCGAGTCCTCCATGCAGCCCTCCCATAACAAAGGTATCATATCATTAGGCAGTGTGAGGAGGAACTCGATCATCAGTCGACTGAGCTCCACTTTGTCATTTCCTTTGGGTAATGGTGGATATGATTTAGCCAACAAAGATGTCTTGACAAGATTGTTGATCATATCATCGTCCATATCACCAGTCCTCAACTCTTCCACTCCTTGTATCCATCTCTTAATCAAGTGGATCATAATGACATCATTGTTCATCTTCACTGCAACTTTGAACAGATTGTTGATTGTCAACAATAGTCTGATTATGATTGAGTGAGTGAGTTAGTGATTGATTGATTGATTGATTGATGTATTCATTCATACATACTGAGGTATCTCTTTCCTCTTTTGATTCTTCCTCTTCTTATTACTCGGTCGGACTGTTTGGGATCTATCTGATATGAATCGAGCAAGTGCTGAACCAAGTAATGTGTTGCCATTGTCATTGACGGTCATATACATTCGATCAAAGTGATTAATGAACTTCACCTTGTCATCAGTGACAATACAATGATGCAATGAACATACATCACGTCCATTTATAACATTAACAACACCATGTTGTCTGTTTATCAATGTGATACATCTGCCAATCTCTGATCTAAGATACTTGCTCACAAGTACTCTCCTCAACACTGACATCAAACATGTTGTAGTTGTAGTTGTAGTAGTTGTAATACTTGTTGGCACTACATCCATCATGATGCTGCATATCTATTCTCTCTTATCTCTCTCTTATCTCTATCTATTCAATATGTCTTTCAAAGTAATAATAATTTGATTGGAACAAAAAAGTGGAAAAGTCGATTTGATAGAGTGAGCAAGTGGGTGATTGGAATGATTCCAGAAAGTGTTAAAGTTGAGTTAATCTTTTGATTTATGGTACAATGCAATGATTGAGTCAATGTCAATGAATGCACATTCAGTCACCCTGAAGAGAATGGAATGTTCATACTTGAGGAAGAGTGTGTCACTGATTCGATACAGCTCGTGGTAGAAGCTACCCCTATCAGATAAAATGATGCTAAACAATGATGTAGTTGCCAACACCTGTGCCAAATGCTTGGTATCCACCGGCTGGAGTCTGATGCTCAATGTATGTATTGACGGCGGTATCTGTCTTGGATCAAGTACATGCTTACAATTGATCGTAGTGAGTGATGTGAGTGTCGCTGGAAGCAATTCAGCTTCGATTGGATGTTTATAGGCGAAGAGTGAGAGTGATCGGAGTGATCGAGGCAATGTCGTGTTGGTCAATCTGAAGCCAGACCCACTACATCGAAGGTACAAATGATCGAGTCCATGAGGGAATGAAGTGATTTGTCGCCCCACATTGGTATTAAGTTCAGTCAGTGTGTGAGGAAGTGTCGAGTAGTCCATCTCAAGGTAATTCCAAACATGGTAATCAAGTGATCTGAGTGCTGGGAACGTGGATGGGATCAGAACATCAGCACTCACTAGTGTTTCCAGTTGCGTGAGGTTGGGAAAGACGATGCCAGGAGCAAAGATTGTATCCCTTCGCATTATTAGTTTGACACATGCACGATGACTGAATGGATGGCGGTAATATGAATTGATCAGAGTGACATCGGTGACCGATTCAGGAAGGTTGGTGCTGGTGAGTGGTTGATCAAAGGATCCACCAAAGTGTACTCTCTCTAGGGTTGGCGGGAATGTTCCATCGGCAATCGGTTGATTGAATTCTCCTCCAAAGAATATACTCCTGAGACGGAGTGGGAGAGTCCCTGGTGCAATCGGGATGTCGACCATAAGTTTCAATGTTATCAGATTGTCTGGCAGAGCACCAAGTGTTGAGTTGAACTGTCCACCAATTGTTAGTTCAGTCAATGTGCATGGGAGCATAGTGCAGTTGGGCATCTGATCATCTTGGCCGAGTTGTAACACCAATGTTGTCAATGGGACATGACATATTGAGAACGTTAGACTGCGCACCATATTGAATGCCAGCACGACTGATCGAGCCGACATCTTAGCCATAAGGTCATTTACATTGACGTGGCTCCAGAATGTTGAATCGAATGCATAATCATCAGACTCTGTGAACTCTATACGACCAATGTTATTCGCTCCAAATAGTCTGTGACTCGTCCATTTGACGACATCTCTACCATCTATGTTTGTTTGTTTGTTTGTTAGACCTAGGTCAATAGCGATATCACATGGCATCGCATGACATACCGACATAATAGGGCGCGTTGGGATCCATCATTGCTTGGACATTAGCATCGGTCTTGCTGCTGGGTGTCGCGGGAGTCAGAACATTGACCTCCACAAACATCTTTCCAGTGTTGTCGAATTGATACCTGATTATATCACGATATGATTGAAGTCTGACATCTTGATCGTTGTACCAATATGATCTGTGAGTCAATTGGTGACTGTGATTGACCTCGTTCAAGCGAAGATATTGATGCCGACATTCAAACAGACGTCTACACACCAATGTCACCATAAAACGATCAGCATCACGATCAATGAATGACAATATATGTTGTATCAATCTGAATTGAAGTGTATCCATCGTTATCTCCAATCATTGATTGATTGATTGATTCAATGTGTGTATGTGTGTGTGTGTGTGTGTGTGTGTGTGTGAGTCGACATGTTCGAACTTTGGACAAGAGGTGGGGAAGTATGAGATGGAAGGAAGTTCAACGATCATTGACTAGTCAAACAAACAACAATCAATCAAATCAAATATTACCTTACATTTGTAACATTGGCCATATATTCCGACGTCATTACAATGTATAATATAAATAAAAATAAAATAATAATATTAATTGTTCGCATCCAATAAAGCCGGATGAAGTGGATGGTGCCCAAAAGTAATAATAAATTGATTGATTGATTGATTGATTGATTAATCAATTTGATTGGATTATTATTCATTCATTGACACACACACAGACAGATACAGACAACAACAATAACATACACTCACTTAGACCACTTACACATTAATACACGATTGGTTGGTATAAATTCACAACACTTATTCAAAGTAATGGTGATCAGATTATCAACTCTGATCATGACTAATAGAGTGTGTTTGTCGAAGATTGATTGATTGATTGAATGTAAGTGTGTGGGTGGGTAACTCAAGGTGTAAAGAGGATTGAGCTCAAAGTGAAATGAAGTGATGTTCATTGATTCATTCACACACACACCCACACAACATATACACAGATACAGATACAAATACAGATACGTAAGCGTGTATCTATCTATCTTACTCAAATCATGTTTGCCCCAACAAACACAGACGATCGGACAACTTACGTCACTAATGCATATGCGACGGATTGCTTGAATTGAAGTGAAGTTGAAGTAGGAGTTGTGAGGGAGTGAGCAGGTGTTTGGTCAACAGCCGGCCAACAGGCACGCGAGTCGAGCCCAGTCACTAGTCTCATGCTCGTCAATCTACAATGCAATCCACATAGTATGCTATGATCCAACTGTGCATCATCATCTTCATCATCTTCACCATCCTTCACCTTCACTACCCACCCCACACATCATCACTCTCAATCAATCAATCAATCAATCAAACAAATGTCATGTCGTGTCAACAACAACAACACCTTATCAGCTTATCATAAGCAATAAGCAAGCAAGCAATGTTGGTCAACAATGCTCTCAGGGTTATAATGAATGTGGAATGAAGGTGTGCGCGCAAATACCACGGATGGATTGTTGCCGACCGACACAGCACCGTGCATCCAGTCAGTCGCAGTCAGTCGTCAGTCAGTCATCCGGTCAGTCAGTCGGCCAGTCAGCCAGTCTCAGACCAGCAACAATCGTACCTTGCCCTCCACCACCTACAAGTCATATAAATACTCTACCCTCCACGATCATTCATTGCCTCCATCGCAAACTAAGCTTAGCTTTGATTCAATATATTAAGATCATGGTAAGTTAACTCTAAGACTTAACTTCCCATCCTCTACCTTCGCCTCACTCACTCACTCACTCACTCAATCACTCACTCATTCAATCACTCAATCAATCAATATTAGATACCAAATAAGGAGTTCTACGGTGTGGACCATGTCACATTCTGGGTCGGTAACGCTTTACAGGCGGCCACTTGGTACACGGCAAGACTGGGCTTTGAAACGATTGCCTATAGGGGGCTGGAAAATGGTGATCGTCAGTATTCGACTCACGTCGTTAGACAAGGCCGCATTACACTTGCATTCACATCGGCGCTGGACCCCCAGGACCATGAGTTTGCCAGACATATGCGTATGCATGGCGATGGCGTCAAAGACATTGCCTTCTCCGTGTCCAACGTCCACCTAACCTACAACGAGGCCATCCTCGCCGGAGCCCAACCCATCCATCCACCACGCACCCACCACGATGCCAATGGATCCCTCACGATCGCAACTATCGCCAGCGCAGTAAGTTGTCATGATCTTGTCCCTACCTCGGCTCTCACTAACACTTAATCAATCAATCAATCAATCAAACAGTATGGCGACACGACACATACATTTGTGGAGCGATCAAAGTATGATGGAGCATTCTTGCCTGGATACGAGGTAGCAAAGCATCGCGACCCATTGGCAATGTTGACCCCACCAATTGGTCTGTTGGACATCGATCACATCGTCAGTAACCATCCCGAGAACCACATGGAGCGCATCGCGCAGTGGTACGAGCAGGTGCTCAACTTCCACAGGTTCTGGTCCATCGACGATAAGTCACTCAACACAGAATTCTCGTCGATGCGTACCATCGCCGTCACGGACGACCATGAGCGCGTCAAACTGCCCCTCAACGAGCCCGCCAGTGGCAAACGCAAGAGTCAAATTCAAGAGTACGTCGACTACTATGCTGGCTCTGGCGTGCAACACATCGCCCTCACCACCGACAACATCATCGAGTCGGCAATCAACCTCAGGGTATGTTTTATGCGAGTTTGGAATGATTCCAATCAATCAATCATCCACTAACGTCGACCCATCAAGAAACGAGGTATTCAATTCCTAAATATACCTACCGAGTATTATACGGCATTGAGGAAGAAGTTGGCAACAGCATCAATCAAGGTTAGAGAGGATATAGATGTTTTGGAGCAACTTCAGATACTGGTCGACTATGATGACAAAGGATACTTGCTCCAGATATTCACAAAGAATGCTCAAGATCGTCCAACAGTCTTCTTTGAGATCATTCAACGCAACAACTTCAATGGCTTTGGTGCTGGCAACTTCAAGGCCCTCTTTGAGGCCGTCGAGAGAGAACAACTCAAGAGGGGTAATCAATGATTATCTTTATTGAATGGATGGAATGAATGGAAAGAATGAAAGGATCAGCCAATCCAAATTGGATGGCGGCACAAGATTGATTGATTGATTAGTAGTAGGGCAACACGTCTGGCACTTGACAGAAGTTGCCATAGGGGTAGTTGACGATGGTGGAGGCGGGACAGTTGGCAGTGATGTGGTAGGAGAGCTGATCAAAGTAGGAGAAGGGCAAGTTGGTGTCGTAGACTGTGGCACCTGAGCGAGTGAACTCCTTGCGCAGTGGGTCAGTGATGGTGAAGTCGATGATCTTGACAAAGAGATGAGTCTGATCAAAGTAGTACTTGGTGCCATCGCCATTGATCACCTGATCGAGTGACGTCACTGGGGTCACAGTACGATTGTAAACATCCTCCCATGGATGCACGGTCCTCACATCAAACGTGGTGCCGGCTGGGAATGACATGGAGTAGAGCACCCAGTGTCCTGATGTGACCTGGAACACGTTGATCTTGTGCTTGGCGGGTGAGCCTTGGTTGACGTAGAGGTACCAGCCCATGTTGGAGACACCAGTGATACCAGGGTTCTGTGTGACGGGCATCGAGCGACGATCAGTGATGCCATGACCAAAGAGGTAGTACGTGCCAATGTAGTTCTCGGGAGGGAATCCATCGTTGATGTACTCGAGCAGGCCATCAATGAGCACGTCCATAGCAGCAATCTCGACCTCTGGTCGCTTGGGCGAGCAGATCCAGACGCCAAGTCCATAACGATTGAAAGAACAGTTCTCGTCGTGGTTCCACCAGTTGGAGTGCGAGCCGACCAGGGTCTTGTTTGGGTAGTTGAGGGTGGTGCTTCCATCCCAGTCGATGTAGTTGAAGAAGCGCGATGAGCCAGTGTTCTGAACAAAGTGGCCCATGATCTGGGTGGGGTTGACGTTGGTGTAGGTGATGTTGCGCACGGCTGAGATGCCCTGTGGCTTGTAGATGTCGGTGTGAGTGAGCGAGATGAACACCACGTTGTCTTCATCAATGAACTCGGCTTTGGGGTTGTGCTCGTAGTTCCTAAAGTTGATGTTGGTCAACAATGTCATGACCAATGTGTCATACATCATGAAGCCCTGACGATGGTACTTGGTGCCTTGAGCGAATGGGTTGCCAGACTTGCCATTGACGATGGCATTGTTGAGCCAGGCCATGCCAAAGAGTGATCCGGCACGTCCAACATCATGGCCCTCATACGTGTGGACCTCGACACGGTAGCCCCAATGGGACACAGCCTGGCCGGTGGTCAGGAAGGTCTTGGTGTTGTTGAATCGCAAGAATGTTGCCTGGCCAGTACCGTAGGTATCCAGGGTATCACGCTCATTCCTGCCAGAGACATATTGAAGCAGGTTGGCCTGATCAGGGTCCTCCCAGAGACGACCTCCAACATAGATACACGAACCGAATGGCCAGTAGTAACCGGTTGAGTGAGCGGTGTTGCCTTCGAACTTGATGAATGGACGCTCATGAGGGGCGATGTTGACTGTCCTGCTGGGTCCAATGGGCTTGATCAAATTGGGGATGCTGAAGCCACCCCATCCACCAGAGGCAGCATTGCCAATGAATGTGTTGTAACAGTTGGTGATGTAGAAGCCACTGGCTGTGATATCTGCTGGTTGGGCCAGACCGGTCTGTGCTGCGTAGTACTCGCCACTCTGTCCGTATCCATTAGCAGGTGCGAGAATGTAATGAATGAATGCCGCGAGGTTGTAGCTGAGTGTGTTGTTCTCTTCAACACCATCCTCAATGTAATAACAATGACCCGATGCATCATAGGCAACATTGTTTGAGACGGTGAGATTGTTGGTGGCGTGGATGGTGTAACAACGATAGAATGAGCTGACCACAGAACAATCAGTGATGTATGACTTCTTCACAGTCTTGGCCATGTGGAAATGGAATGGATAACGTCCAATGATGTTCTGTTGTCCCATGCGAGTGCCGGCCACACCAGCAAGTTGGGCCTCACCAGTGATCAATACATGTCCACCAAAGCTGCCAGTTGTGTCTGGTGCATGACTCTGAAGATTGATGCGACGAGACAACAGACCAACCTCAACTTGATACTCCAATCCAGCATAATGATAGAACTTGAGTGGTGTGGTGAACTGGACGACGCGACCATTGACTGCTGCGATGGTCAACACTTCATTCTCCAATGTGAAGTCATCTTCGATACGAGATGTCGTGATCACAACCTTTTGGCCAACCTCCCAGTTCACAGGGCTCTGAAGTGCGATCACATAGTCGCCTGGGAATGCGGTCTGAGCAAGACGTGACCATGTTGGTGTGTATTGCTTGCCATGAATGCTTGCGAATCCACCAGTGGGCACATAGATACCCTTGGTACCTACTCCCGTGCCCAGTGTGTTGGCTGTGGACTTTGCACCATGGAAGATCAATGTGATGTTGCCATTCATTCGACATGTTGAACTTCCAATCCAGAGTTGACCCTGAACGACAATGTCCTTCACTCTCACAGTGATATTGGCATCAGAGAAGATCAATTGACTTGTTGCTGGGATCACAATCTTTGAGTAGATCACATTGGAGTTGATTGAACATGATGAGATCAGTACTTTGGAGTTGGCTGGGAGTGTGATTGTCGAGGTTGGCGATGGCATAACTCCATTTGGCCAGATAGCTGGGTTGTGCCAATGCTTGAGACCGGTCTGATTGTGTGGACATGAGCTCAGACTCTGTGGTACGGTCGTCGTGGGCTGGTTTGGGATGGTAACCAGCTCGCTGTATGATGGGAGTAGAGGTGCGATTGTGATGGGGTACTCGGGGTAGGCCAACAAAGATGACTTGATGAACCAGTTGTACTTGACTACACTGGTGGTGAAGATCCAGCGCACGACTAGGATCGACGAGAGGATGTCTGAGGCGGGCGTAAACTTGTGGCTGAGTGCCATCCACTGCGTAGTCTGGGCGAGGTTGCCAGTGAACGTGTGTTGGTAGTAGACAGAGTCGAAGCCAGAGAGGTAGCGATCACCTACATCAACACCAGTGTCAAAGAGTGGGACGAGCATGAATGTGACATTGGCAAGGGTGTTGCCAAAGTCTGGTGCCTGGCCGCTGAGGAAGGTGAAGTTGAAAGTGTGCTCAACTCCGCCTCGAAGGTAGGGTATGGTGTCGCGTTGGACGAGGAACTGGGTGGATGGGTACCAGTCGAATGTTGTAAAGTTGATGGCACCGGCAACAGAGACACCGTTGGATGAGCCGGTGGCGGTCGAGAAGGCACCAGAGTTACCAAACTCGGTCCATGCTTGCCATTGGATGGGTGTGTTGAAAGTCAAGGTCTTGGCTGGGTTGGCCGTGATCACTGAAGGTGAAACTGGACCATTAGGGTTTGGCGCAGGGTCTCTCCAAGTAGCTGAAATCGAACATGTCTGTGCCAATGTAACAGTCAGCGTAACTGAAAGTACAAGAACTAATGAATGATTGATTGTTTGTTATTAATATATTGATTGATTGATCGAGTGGGTGTATGATTGAGTGATCATGTGATCACTTGAAGTGGTTGAAGTTTGGATTTTGTTAAACTGATTGGTAAGGAAGTAGATGGTTGGTTGGTAACGTAACATACATGAGAGTTTCAGAAGTTTATCTATCTTCATTTTGAACAACTAAAATATCAAGATAAATAGAATGATCAATGAGTGTCGATGAAATAATTGATCTTGAGGTGTCATTCGAGTCAATATGTCTCACAATATATACTTTATGATAATAGATATCTTCTTGTCTCTGACCTTCTACTTGGAATCAATCAATCAGATTCATTCGTCTAAGGACTTTGACACCTGTCGACTTTGGCACCCCTCCACATCTCGCCCCCACCAACGAGGACCAAACGCCAAAGGGCACTCTCAAGATGCCAGATATTTTGATGTACTAAACCCATCACATGTCAAGATTGGCAAGTCATGATTTGGGAAACCACAGACCGACCGACTTCAAAGGTGTTGTGGATGGATTGATGGCTTTCATTGGGTTGATGATGATCCTCATACTATTCGGCTTTAAAATGATGCAGCCACATCAAATGATGCGATATATTTGCCATCGTAATATTCATAACAACTAGACTGGGTTATCATTTATTTCATTGATCAATAGAATGGCAACACATCAGAGACTTGGCAAAACTGGCCATAGGAGTAGTTGTCAATGGTTGATGCTTGACAGTTGGTGGTGAAGTGGTACCCAATGCAATCAACTCCAATGTGATCTACTCAAAGATTGTGATCCCAGCAACAAGTCAATTTGATCTTCTCCGATGGCAACATCACTGTGAGAGTGAAGGACATTGTCGTTAAAGGTCAACTCTGGATTGGAAGTTCAACATGTCGAATGAATGGAAACATCACATTGATCTTCCTTGGTGCAAAGTCCACTGCCAACACACTTGGCACGGGAGTAGGAATCTATGTGCCAACTGGTGGATTCGCAAGCATTCATGGCAAGCAATACACTATTATCACCTCCTTTGATGAGATCACTTCTTTGAGCTCAATTCTGTGAGTCAAAGTGTTCATGAAATTTCATTAATAGGATTGAGAAGACATGCTTTGGGTGATGTTCACTTTGGTGAACTCAAACTTCAATTATTATATTTATCACTCCTTTACCTATCATTCACATACTACAACCATAGTTATAGAACAACAACAACAAAAGAAACAAAAACAATGAAAGATAAAGACACACTCACAAAAGAAGAGATAGAGAAAGTTGTGAGGTTGTTTTGGAAGACACCAAATGAGGTACTAAAACATCTCAATACAACTGAGGCTCGTGGTAAAGCAATAGATAGCACAACTGGAGCATCATGGAGTTTGGAAAAGAACATCATTGCGTGTTTAAGACCTCCAACTCACTTCTACTTTATCCAGTATGTATAATTCATTATCCAACACCCAATATATAGCAACAAGACAAATGATGTGATGACAACCATAACTAACTAACTAACTTAAATGATTGTTTAATTGATTGATTGATTGATTGATTGATTGATTTATTAGTTTTCCATATTATGACTATGATGTCATCGATAAGAAAGATGGAAAATGCAAGACTACACACCACCTCATCAAGGTAGGAATGACAGAGCTAGRAAGAGCCTGAAGAACGAGCCAAAGCGGTGATACAAAGTATCAAGAAGACTCCAGGTGGAAGACTCCACAAACCAATAATATTGTGGATAATGCAGATGCATCCCACTTGCACTGATGGTATTTTGGCGACAGAGAAGAGAGCAAGAAATGTAGGCATTAGTGTAGATAAAAAGTTTGCCAAATCATCATTGGGACTACCATGTCATACTGAATGGTGCACCATCGATTCAAACAAGATGAAAATGATCAATGATGCGATCATAAAAGAAAAGGCTAAAAACGGACTTCCCCTTGTCTACCCGACTACCTCTGTGCTGACAAGTCAAGGCGCTGAAGATGCAATAAGGTCTGAAGTTAAATGGAAAGCCTTCTGTACTAAAAAGTACAAGACAGCAAAAGAAACAACAACAACAACAACAAAAACAACAACAACAACAACAACAACAACAACAACAACAACAACAACAGCAAAATAGGACACAAAGAAGGTCAGCCACTCAACAAAGGTATTGCCATGTTGTCCATCCAGGATGGTACACCTGGACAACCATACTCCTGCACATAAATAATATTCCAAACTAAATCCACTGGCAATCAATTAGAGTTAGGATAATCATATTTATTTAGTTGAATGATTAGTAGTATGGCAACACATCAGAGACTTGGCAGAACTGGCCATAGGGGTAGTTGACGATGGATGATGCAGGACAGTTGGCGGTGAAGTGGTAGGTGAGCTGGTCGAACCAGATGTAGGGCATTGGGGTGTCATACACAGTGACACCAGAGCGAGTGAACTCGTTGCTGGCAGGGTCTGTGACGGCAAAGTCGACGATCTTGACAAACAGATGAGTCTGATCAAAGTAGTACTTGGTGCCATCACCATTGATCACCTGGTCGAGCGAGGTCACGACTGTGACAGTGCGGTTGCCATCGACATTCCATGGATGAGTGGTGGTGATCGAGAAGGTGGTTCCGGCAGGGAACGACATGGAGTAGAGCACCCAGTGTCCGTGTGGTACCTGGAACACATTGATCTTGTGTGTCACGGGTGATCCCTGCTTGACATAGAGGTACCAGCCCATGTTGGAGATTCCAGTGATGCCAGGGTTCTGTGTGGCGGGCATTGAGCGACGATCAGTGATGCCGCGACCAAACAGGTAGTACGTGCCAATGTAGTTCTCGGGAGGGTAGCCATCTTCGAGAGTGTCGTTGAAGTTGAGCAGACCGTCAATGAGCACGTCGAGGGCAGCCACCTCGACCTCTTGTCGCTTGGGCGAGCAGATCCAGACTCCAAGTCCAAAGCGATTGAATGAGCAGTTCTCATCGTGGTTCCACCAGTTGGAGTGCGAGCCAACCAGTGTCTTGTTGGGGTAGTTGAGCGTTGTGCTGCCATCCCAGTCGATGTAGTTGAAGAAGCGCGATGAGCCAGTGTCGGCGACGTAGTGGCCAAGGATCTGTGCGGCGTTGATGTTGGTGTAGGTGATATTGCGAGTGGCAGAGATGCCCTGTGGCTTGTAGATATCAGAGTGAGTGAGCGAGATGAAAACCACATTGTCCTGGTCAATCGAGTCGACCGTTGGGTTGTGGATGTAGTTCCTAAAGTTAATGTTGGTCAAGATGGTCTGCACCAGGGTGTCGTACATCATGAAGCCCTGACGATGGTATCCAGGACCTTGAGCGAATGGGTTGCCTGACATGCCATTGACGATTGCATTGTTAAGCCAAGCCTGGCCAAAGAGTGATCCAGCACGTCCAACATCATGTCCCTCGTAGGCAGTGACCTCGACACGAGTGCCCCAGTGAGAGATGGCCTGACCAGTGGTCAAGAATGCCTTGGTGTTGTTGAAGCGAAGGTAGGTAGCGTCGCCAGTTCCGTACACGTCCCATGTGTCACGCTCATTCCTTCCAGAGATGTACTGGAGTTGGTTGGCCTGATCAGGGTCCTCCCACAAACGACCACCAACATAGATGCACGAGCCAAAGGCCCAATAGTAGCCAGTGGAGTGTGCTGTATTGCCTTCGAACTTGATGAATGGACGCTGTTGGGGTACGATGTCCACGGTCCTGCTGGGTCCAATGGGCTTGATCAAATTGGGGATGCTGAAGCCACCCCATCCACCAGAGGCAGCATTGCCAATGAATGTGTTGTAACAGTTGGTGATGTAGAAGCCACTGGCTGTGATATCTGCTGGCTGGGCAAGCGAAGCATTGGCGGCATAGTAGTCACCACCTTGACCATAACCATTGGCAGGCACCAAAATGTAGTGGATGAAGGCGGCCAAGTTGTAGCTGAGTGTGTTGTTCTCTTCAACACCATCCTCAATGTAGTAACAATGACCAGATGCATCATAGGCAACATTGTTTGAGACGGTGAGATTGTTGGTGGCGTGGATGGTGTAACAACGATAGAATGAGCTGACCACAGCACAATCAGTGATGTATGACTTCTTCACAGTCTTGGCCATGTGGAAATGGAATGGATAACGTCCAATGATGTTCTGTTGTCCCATGCGAGTGCCTGCAACACCAGCAAGTTGAGCCTCACCAGTGATCAACACATGTCCACCAAAGCTGCCAGTTGTGTCTGGTGCATGACTCTGAAGATTGATGCGACGAGACAACAGACCAACCTCAACTTGATACTCCAATCCAGCATAATGATAGAACTTGAGTGGTGTGGTGAACTGGATAACGCGACCATTGATGGCAGCGATGGTCAACACCTCATTCTCCAATGTGAAGTCATCCTCGATACGAGAAGTTGTTATCACAACCTTTTGACCAACCTCCCAGTTGACTGCGCTCTGAAGTGCGATGACATAGTCGCCTGGGAATGCAGTCTGTGCCAGACGTGACCATGTTGGTGTGTATTGCTTGCCATGAATGCTTGCGAATCCACCAGTGGGCACATAGATACCCTTGGTTCCAACATTGGTGCCAAGTGTGTTGGCAGTGGACTTGGTTCCATGGAAGATCAACGTGATGTTGCCATTCATTCGACATGTTGAACTTCCAATCCAGAGTTGACCTTGAACAACAATGTCCTTCACTCTCACAGTGATGTTGGCATCAGAGAAGATCAATTGACTTGTTGCTGGGATCACAATCTTTGAGTAGATCACATTGGAGTTGATTGAACATGATGAGATCAACACCTTGGTGTTGGCTGGGAGTGTGATCGTGCCTGCTGGGGATGGCATGACTCCAGTAGGCCAGATTGCTGGGTTGTGCCAATGTTGTAATCCTGTCTGATTATGTGGACATGAGCTGAGGCTCTGTGGCACAGTAGTTGTTGGCTGATTTGGGATGGTCACCAACTCACTGTATGATGGGAGCAATGGTGAGATCGTGATGGGGTATGGTGGGTAGGAGATCGATGAAGACTTGATGAACCAGTTGAACTTGGTGACTTTGTCAGTGAAGATCAAACGCACGACCAAGACAGATGCGGCAATGTCTGAGACGGGTGTGAACTTGTGGCTGAGTGCCATCCATTGAGTAGTCTGACCAAACGTACCAGTGAATGTGTGTTGGTAGATGACAGATGTGAAGCCAGTGGTGTAACGGGAGTCGGCAGGGACATTTGTGTCAAAGACGGGCAGGAGCATGAATGTGACGTTGACAATGGTGTTGCCATATTGGGCTACTTGGCCACTGAGGAAGGTGAAGTTGAAGGTGTGCTCAAGGCCCGCCTTGATGTAGGGGACGGTATCGTGCTGAACCAAGTACTCATCAGCAGGGTACCAGTCATACGTGGTGAAGTTGATGGTACCAGCTACAGAGACACCATTTGAAGTGCCAGTGGCGGTAGTAAATGTACCTGCACTACCATACTCCGACCATGATTGCCATTGAGCAGGTGTGTTGAATGTCAAAGTCTTGGCTGGTGTGGCCGTGATGATTGGTGGGGACACTGGACCATTTGGACTAGGTGCCGGATCTCTCCAAGTAGGTGATATCGAGCAAGTCTGTGCCAAAGTCAAAGACAATGAAGCAACAAACAATGCCAATACTGTGGAATAGTTCCAAGATTGATTGATTGATTGAGTGTATTAGTTAGTGAATGATTGATATCATTTCCAGAACACCTGGAAACACTGTTATCCATCAACATACCAGCAAGATGTAGTCTTGGACTTGATGATGATCCTGACTTCATATTTGTTGTAGTGTTGTTGTTATTTGTTTAGATTGTGAACGAAAGATAACAAGTTTGAATTGATCACAACCATAGATGATCATTCCTATTAATAACAAATATCTTCCAACAACAACCACGTCAATAACATTATTTCGTTTGGAACATGCATCACTGAGTTCTGTCGGTTGACCAATGAAGGGGTTGTTGAACGGGTATCAGACCTTGGATATCTGGGGAAACAAGGGGGGACATGTGACCCTTGGAGGATAGGTCACATCGAACGTCCAGTCTTAAGATGCGTCAGGGCAAGTTCATGTTCAAGAAGGGAAGGGAACAGTCAATCAAAAAAAAAACAGATAATAATAGTCAGAGCTCTATTCCATCAATCAATCGTGCATAACCCAGACTTGCAGACCTTGCACACCACACTCGATCACTCAATCAAGGTCGAGTCTCGACCATCCAATCCAAACCACGAACCCATTCGTCGAGGTAGATATTATCATAAAACGCGGTAGGCGATAGGGCACGGGTTGGACCAATAACCGGGGATGACCACATGTCATGGCACCCCTTGACTGGTGAGTCTTGTCTGATTGTTGTTGTTGTTCATCGTCTTGTGGACTGGTTGACTGGACGTACGTTCATCCCGATCAAGGTGGCGAGTGAATGTCCGGACAGGACTAGATAGTCATTGCATGTTGGTGATTGATTGACACTGGTATCGCATTGGCAACAAATAGGTAGGTTGGTGTACACTGGTAGAGGCGAGGGCCAGGGTGTGTTGGCCTTTGCATTGCCTTGGGGGGAGAGGTTTATTAATAATGTAAGCAGGAGGTTATGATTTGTTGTTGACGACAACGACATGATGAAACTTTAAGATGATGATGGTGATGGGATGAACGAATGAATGAACTTTCAGGCTACTTGTTGGAGACGACATTCATGTTCTTGGAGCCGACTGACAGCACCTCGACCCATGCTTCCAAGTCCTCCTTCTTCTCGGCGGCGAATGTATACAATCTGGAGTTGGTCACCAGTGTGAAGGCGAATGGTTGCTTTGGCTTGGGTTCGACAATGAGTGAATAGAACATCCTCAAATCGATCGTTGCTCTTGGCTTCTTCATCTGATTGTTCGCATGTGGGTGAGGGTTGGATTGTTAGTTTATGGGTTTGATTGGATTGATTCCAGTTCAGAATGACTTACCTTCTTCTCGCTCTTATAATAGTTCAATACACCATCTTTGTAGAAGAAGATGTATCTCTTCCAGTTGGGTGACTTTGATGAGCTGCCAGCCTTCATGAGGTAGCCGTCCATCTCGCGTCTGATCTCCTTCCTTGGCTTGTCGAGGAACACTGACTTCTTGCGCTCATAAGGTGGTGGCACATGAGAGCCAAGCTTCCATGTCGATCCATTGGCATCCATCATCTCGCCATCAGCTGACATTGTTGTTGTTGTTGATGTAGTGGTATCTTGCTGTGTCTGTGATTGCTGTGTCTGTGCTTGTTTGTCTGATTGTTGCTGCTGTTGGTCTTGCTGCAGGGCTGAGGCATGTGCTTCGTCAGCACTGACGACTATGTCAACTGTTGTTGGCACTGGCTCAACCTTTTGGACGTCAGCAACTACCTCTGCCTGCTTGTCCTGAACGGCTGGCGCGTCGACAAGTGCGGACGATGGCTCGGAGGTTGGGACAACATCGCTTGGCATGATCTGCAGATACTTGGACATGATCCATGTCTTGCGCAGCTCATACGAGTCCCTTGACGATGGACGCAGCAAGTGAGATGGTACATTCTTCTCATACTTTTGGTTGGCCTTGTTGTTGTCGATCGACTTGAGGATGTCGGCCACGCCGTCTGTGAGCGAGGAGGACAATCCGCGCAGCGACTTGAGCTGGGACACTCCATTGGGGAAGCGTTTGTGGATGGACGAGCAGTCGACACAGAGTGCGACACCGTATGTCGTCGAGACCCACGACACCTCAGTGGCGCCACAGTCGGCGCAGTTTAGCGCAGACTCTTGTGTCTTGGCTTGGGCGGCGGCCAGCTGGTGCTGGAGGTCGAGCGACTCGAGACGCTTGCCGATCGAGCGACGGATCAGCGAGATCCAGTGCAACACGGTGACCAGGTCCTCGCAGGAGAACAGGTAGATGCGCTGTGGTGTCATCAGTTGGAAGCAATGTGGGTGGTCGACGGCCTGCTGCACCAGCTTGACCGACGACAGCAACAGGTTGATGCACTTCATCTTCTTGGGCTCGTCAATGTCATGGTAGTAGAGTGCGCACTGCTTGAGATAGAACTGCTTGGACTTCCACTCCATCTCATTGAACTGCTTGCGGATGACGCCCGCCTTCTCGGGCTCGGTGACGGCGCCCTCAAAAGGCAACGATGTGAGCTCCTCGTAGTCAGTGACGAGGGAGCGTAGCTTGCTGCGCTGCTTCTCGAGCAGCTGCGAGATCGACTCGTCAATGTCGCTGACCCAGATCATCTTCTCGGTCAGTGTGCTGGCCGACAATGTAATAGAGGTGGTCATGATACCAGTGGAGTTCTCGCCGCCGTTCACTTCAATGTCAACCAATCTAAATGAGAATGGCAATGGGGAGTCGCCCAGGTCTATAAGCGACGCGCGTCCCAACTTGTAAGACAGCACAAACTTAAACTTGCCCTCCTCAATCGTCTGTGTATTCCTCTGATTCTTTGTCTCCTTCAATGACCTGTCGAGTGTTGGCGAGTGAGGCGGAGGGGTTAGTCGCTGTTTCCGTGTGGCGAGTGTGGCGCGTGTAGCTCGCGGAGACACATACTTTGCAAGACTCTTGTTCTCTGTCTTGATCAACAAGTCGTTGAAGAGGAAGAAGAAGTAGATCTTGGAGTTACCCTTCTCGTCCAGGCATGTGAGTGGTCCCTTCCTCACGTATCTACGATGTGGCTCAGCAAGGTTCTAAGTCGGAGGGCAGGGTATGTTAGCTACTTGTACGTGTCACCCTTGCAATAAGTTTGTTACATACCTCAGTCATACCGACCAAGTTGTTCTGGATCTTGAGCACTTGTATCAGGTTCTCAGCCTCTCTCTTCTTCTCATTGACGTACTCGGCCACGTCCTTCATCTTCTTGAGTGCGACTGACAAGTTCTCATAGTCAGCATGCGACTCATTAGTGAACTTGACCAAGTCCTGTAGCAGCATAACATATCTCTGTAGGTTGTCGTGTCAGAAGTGATTGAACGATTGGCTAGAGTGGTAGTCGAGAGTACATACGGGAATCCTTTGGATTGGCATGATGAGCAATGAGGCAAGGTCCAGACCCATGCACTTCTCAGAGGCACGGTTGGTCTCGAGCAACTTGACAAACTTCTCGTTCTGTGCACGACACTCGGTGATGCAGGTGATTGCCGCGTTGTAGTTGTTGACGTAGATGGTGTAGACCTTGAAGTACTCGGTCATCTCGCTAAAGATCATGCCCATGGTGGTCTCCTTGCCACTGCTGAAACGGTTCTCCATCTTGCCCAGCAGCTTGACGTTGACGTTGTACACGACGGACACCTGCGAGAAGATCTGGCGCACCTGCTGCTGTGTCAACAGCTTCTCACACTCGTGCAAGTAGCACTCGATAAGCACCGACAGACAATGCACGTACTTCTTCTCCGTGGCCAGGATCTCCTTGATGATCTCGTTGCGACGGAACAGTGGATACTGCTTGAACAGGCGCTTGCGCTCCATGCGACCCTTGGTGCGCGCCTGCACCTTGGTCAGACCGCGATAGGCCTTGGCGTTGGTGGTAAAGTGCGCCTCGTAGTCGCGCAGACGCAGACGGTACTTGGTGATGAGCTCGCGCCAGCGCAGACGGCACAGCCATCCCCTGATCACGGCCTGCGCCTTGACCAGCAGACGGACGCTGTACACGTGGCCGGCAAACTCGAATGTGCCCATGGGGATCATCAAGCTGCCGCTCTTGATCTTCCTGATGATGCCGCGGTCCACACGCACGTCTGGCGACGACACCATCTCGCTCATTGACTTTGACTGTTTGATTGCCTCGCGCTGGCTTGTGGCGCCAGTGGCAGTGAGTGGCTGGAGGGTGGTGGTGGGCGCGAGTGAGTAGCGCGACATGTACGACACGTCGTCGTTGTTGGTTGTGACGCTCGTGGACTTGTTGGCAAAGATGGCCAACGATGGCTGTTGCTGGTGTGGCAGCTGAGAGGTGGTGGAGGCTGTGGACGACGCGTCCGCCTCGGCCTCGGCCTGGCTGGCCAGGAGGGCGTTGGAGCGAATCTTTTGGATCAACAGGAAGCTGATACCCATGATCTGTTTCAAGTTGCCGTCGACAATGTCCTTGGCGTTGATGCCCACCACCTTGATGCCAAACACCTTCTCCATGAAGCCGAGTGCAATCACTATGTTATCGATCTTGTGCTGCAAGAACTTTGGATGGCGCACATAACGCACCACCTTCTTTCCCGAGATAATCTCGAGCAAGTTGATCAGCAACACTCCATCCGAGAAGTCTGTCGACAAATTATGCACGGCCAATGATCTCTCTTGCAAATGGCTATTGATCCATCCTGTGAATGACTTTTGGAGTGTGGTGGGCGAGTGTGTGGATGGGTGTGTTAGACGACTCGCAAGTGATCACCATGGAATGGTTCCAGACCCCCATCACCCAAGTACATACATCTAACTGTATTACATCCCAATTTGTTTGGGAACCTGATACATATGACATTACTGACTAATTATATATATATTTTGAGTCGTTCCAGGACTCTCTATCTCCAAGTAATATCCTTCTCCTATAATACAATAATGTTATAAATATACCTGTCTTGTGTTCTCCTGTTAACTAATGATTGAATGAATGATTATAAGTATGGGAATGATGTTTGGATTGATTGTTATGTTGTTGGGTTGGGTTATGTTGAGTGAATGATTGGTGGGAGTTGGTCTTTTGGACTCTTGCGTGTGGTGTGACTGAGTCCGATCGAGTTGTTGCGTTGATCAGACAAGAGTGTGTGAGGGTGTGTGCGTGTGTTTGAGTGAGCGAGTGTGTTGTGTTGGTGATTGGCAATCATAAATCGACGTCGTGTGAATGAATGAGTGATTGGGTATGCGCATGAAAGTGTAATGTTGTTGCCTCAATAAATCAAATCAATCAACCAACCTTTATATGAATCACACAGCAACAGCAGCAACCAAGTTGTCTTGTTTACTAATAGATATCAAAAATATAAATAATATGTAATAGATATATATATATATATAAATAACTAACAACGAGATTATATGTTTAGTTTTGATTGTGATTTATGTTGAAATGATTGAATGAATGAAGGATAGTAGTTATTGTAATGGTCTTCAGTCAGAAGGGCATTCAACAAAACATCGGTGTCGCTTTGATCAATCAAGGCACTCACATACAGGCAATCACAGGTGACACCAACACAAACCCCCCTAACAACCAAACAAATCTAATTACCACACTGTTTTTGATCAAAAAACTAGTGGGCATACCAGATTAACTGACATCTATTGATTTCAAATAAAATTGGATCGGATGGGCAGAGAATAATCCTCTGTCCAACAAATCGGTCATATGAAGTTATTTGTTTGAGTCGAAGAAATAATGAATTAGATAGATTGATTGATTGAGTTCATCTTTGGATGAACTGATCTTTGGAGCTGATCCAAGTTCAATCGACTAAAGTCAGATATTTCTGTGGTGGTATTTGATCAATTATTCAATCAATAAGTTAATTGAGGGCTACATAATATGATTCGGCAGTACTACACTTTGGGATCACCATGTTGTCGTATTGTCATTCATGATGTCAACAACACAGTGTTTGGTTGTTATTACTCAAAACACCAAAGTGTGTGACTCTATGTCAGTCAGTCAGTCAGACCCATTCAATCTTTATTGACGACCATGTACTTGACACACACACATCAGACCTCTCTTCAAATAATAAGTAGTTTTTCAAAGGAATGGACATTATTATTGTTGTAAAATAATACATCCTATCCTGATATATATAATGAGGGTCGATGAATGGTATGGTCACCAACTCGGAATAATATAGATATATATTTACCAATATAAGTAAGCACACATAAATATATATCTTAAACAAGTTTGTGTCAAGTAGTGTTGTGTCAACCACAAACCAACCCCACCACCATCCAATCAATCAATCAAACATCTATCCTATCTGTCCATCGCAAAGGGCCATCTTCAAAACATTCACCACACACATTCATACAGATACACATTAGTAGTAGTGTTAATATAATAGTAATAATAATAATAATACTTCATCATTCATTGTTGTAATCAATTAATCAACTCAATCAATCAATCAATCAAACAAATCGTCATCAACCTAGTGCGTGTGTGTTGCAATCAAACTTGGGAAATTCGTTAAGCCAAGCCAAACAGTTGTTTAAGATAACGAGGTTAGACTTGCATGCTTGTTAAAGAGAGTAGTAATAGAGTAGTACAACCCCTTATAATAATTAATCATTCATTCATTCAATATTATTACAACAAACAATCAATCAAACAATTCGATAATCATACTTCAAGACAACTCACCTCACTCACCTCACTCAACTGCCTCAATCATTCAATCAATCAATTAATCATTGATTGGTGACTAGAAGAACTTAAAGTTATCGTAATAACATATTCAGAGGTATGACTCTTGTTTGCAAACATCACTTTGAACATGAGGATGCTGGTTGGTTGGTTGGTTGCTTGGATGGTCCTAGGATTGAATGATGAATGAATGGTCGTCATCCTGGGATATTTAGACACCACCCAGTACAGCCTGTCGCCACGCCACGTGACACACTCACTCACTCACCATCACTCACCTCTGTACAGAGAGCAGCAACATCGAACTAGGACAACAAGATGATGGAGGACACCATTATAAAAGAGGACTTTGATTCATCCGACGAAGAGGATATTGAAAGCCCTGACGACACTTTAGACGGCAAGCCAAACCCAACGCGACCAACAATGGACAAGTCACTGGCAGCCAAGATGTACATCGAGCAGTACTATATGAACCAACAAAAGTCGGCCAAGCAGCGACTGTCGCGCCGCAAGGACCTCGAGGAGAAGATGGGCAACATGAAACTGACGGCCAAGGAGCAGAACGACATGATCAAAGAGCTGGACAAGAAGGAGTCCGACTACAACCGTCTGAAGCGCATCAAGCTAAAGCGCTCCGACTTTGACCTGATCAAGGTGATTGGCCGCGGCGCCTTTGGCGAGGTCAGTCTGGTGCGCAAGAAGGAGTCGGGCGAGCTGTTCGCCATGAAGCGTCTCGTCAAGTCAGAGATGCTGAAGAAGGAGCAGGTGGCGCATGTGCGTGCCGAGCGCGACGTGCTGGTTAACGCTAACAACGAATGGGTGGTCCGTCTTTACTTCTCGTTCCAGGACGAGAACTACCTCTACCTTATAATGGAGTACCTGCCTGGCGGCGATATGATGTCCTACCTGATCAAGTACGACATCTTCTCGGAGGACCAGGCTCGCTTCTACATCGCCGAGACGCTGCTGGCCATCGAGTCGGTGCACAAGCTCGACTACATCCATCGCGATATCAAACCCGACAACCTATTGCTGGACAAGGATGGCCATGTCAAGCTCACCGACTTTGGCCTGTGCACGGGCTTCCATCGCATGCACTCGTCAGAGTTCTACAACAAGCTGGTCGGCGATGCCATGACACTCAAGATGAAGCTGGTCACCGAGACCCAGATCACACAGACAGAGAGGATTGCGTCGTGGAAGAAGACGAGGAGAGAGCTGGCATACTCGGCCGTTGGCACGCCAGACTACACAGCACCAGAGGTGTTCTTACAGATTGGCTATGGCAAGGAGGTTGATTGGTGGTCACTAGGTGTGATCCTGTATGAGATGGTCATTGGACATCCACCATTCCTCTCGGAGGACACTACACAGACATGTCTAAAGATTCTGAATTGCAAGGAGACACTCCAGTTCCCCGACTACTCTGGCGCATCCAGCGATTGTATAGACTTGATTAAGAAGTATGTAGTTGACATGGATACATTGTCCTAAAGGCACATCCACTAACCTCAACCTCACTTCATTAAGGTTGGTTTGCGAGAAGGACAGACTGAGTAATGCAGATGCGATAAAGAGACATCCATTCTTTAGGGGCGTGCAATGGGATAAGATACGAACACAAAAGGCACCGTTCATACCGGTGCTAAAGAGTCCGACTGACACGTCCAACTTTGACGACTACGAGCCAGAGCGTCTCGTTGATGAGAGCCCCAGGAAATCAAACCGTCTTGGCAAGGCGATCAATGAGAAGGACCTGGCCTTCATCGGCTACACCTACAAGGGCTTTGACGCAGTGGACAAGTCACCCAATCACAATCGCAGGAATGTCGAAACCATCTTTAAGTAGGACAGGTCCTCGCGCGACTTTGGCTTGCCAACTGGTAGTTGTCGCCAAGCAATGTACATTTTTGAATATTCAATCCAACATCATCCTCTCCCCTATTCCATCAATACCATACCTACATCCATCCTCCTCCTCCTCCTCTCTCCTATCCAATCAATGGCTGTAATAAATACCCTTGATTGTTCGCGAACGTTTGTATCTTTGTGGCTGTGTGGCGAGACGGTAACACGGAAACTTGGTAACTCACGCACGAGATTTGATTTCAAGTTCATCATTAATCAATCAATCAATCAATCAATCAGATACACGAACTGTGATAATGGATACACTTCAATATACATTGCTACAACATATAGTATCGTTCATGCCATGCGATGTAGATCGTATGGTGTTGTCAATGGTCTGTCGTCGACTGTTTGTAGAAAGACATGGATATCTATCATTCAACACTGGTGCACTACCTTTATACAGTACATACAAAGAATACAATGTTAAGCCTCGATCTTACTTTAACATCATTAACGATCAGGTGTGCAAGAGCAAGCCACACTCAATCTGTGTTCATGCATGCATGGTTGGTCATCGATGCTACGGACCACCCGGTCGTTTCGATCGATATTACTACATCGGTATGTATATGTCGTGTGATTGATGGATGGATGAATGAATTGAACCTGACACATTCATTCATTCATTCATTCATTCAATCGTTGACAACAACGACAGATGATGAACACTGGCAAGAGGAGGTGTTGGCGATGAAGAATGTTGGCTCGATAACGCTCAGAGAGTGCTCGATTGTGCCATTCAACAAGATGTTCTGGACTGAGATTGGGACGTTCATGGCCGAGATGTCATCGCGCTCAGTAGACTTGTGGATGGTGTTGTTGGCCGAGAGTGGTGAGGATGCCCCGCCACAGTTGGAACATCTTCCCCTGTCCACGATACTGTTGGAGCTCAAGGGTGCTCATGAATATGGCGCGGAACGCGTATGGTTTGCTAGATTGCCACGAACACTCAAACGTCTAGACCTCAAGGGTATCGTGGTTATGGACCTCTTTGACGCTGGGGTCATGGACCTGCCCTCATGCCAAACTATCAAAGGTTGGAGCAAAAGCTTACCCTCATCAAATACCTTGCCCGTCAATCTCAAAGAGATATCATTCTCAGACAACTTTACCGGTCCGATTAGCAGCAATAACCTCCCGCCACAGTTGGAGTCCATCACGCTTGGCATGGGAGTCCGTCATCCACTCATCAACCTTCCGGCGAGCGTTACCAAACTATCGTTGCCACATGGGTATGAACAACAGATCAATCACGCGCCTCTATTGAGCCTGATCTACAAGCGCGGACCCTCAGTGCCAGACCTCGTCTGTCCCTCACTCACATCACTCGAGTGTGAGAGCGTGGGCATCAAGGAACTGTCGCGCATCCATTCGGCAGCGTTCCCTAAGCTCACGACACTCAAACTTGGCAGGATTGATGAAGATTGTTGGCGCGGCCCTCTTGACCTCTCCACATTGCCGTCGACACTCCGCCATCTTGAGATATCGGCCTGCGGACCAATCACTGGACTTCCAAGCGAGCTCGACACGTTGATGATGTCCTGCACTGAGGAGTTTAGGATCACAAGCTCATCCACATTGCCACAATCACTCAGATCATTGTCAATGCATCAGTATGCACATGCTTTGATGTCTGGTGACATCCCATCCAACTTGGTCTCGCTCTGTCTCACACTTTGTCGACATTGTCCACATCCAGGAGTACTGCCAACATCCTTGAGAAGGTTGGAGCAGTATCGAGCTGAGCCACCTGATCATCTAGCTGACATCCTGGCCTGTACAACATTGATTGACATCAATCTACATGGAAGGAATCACGGTGGCTTGTTAGAACTACGTCGCATCAACCAATCACTCTTCCTCAACTACTCTGTTCACCTACCAAACTTTGGATTCATCGACACCAATGCCATCCTATCAAAGTACAAAGTTGCAAAGCATTGAGTGATTGAAGATACTTTGAATAGTTGTTGGAATCATTCCACCACACACATATACAGATAATATTATTGATCATTACAATAATATAACCACCAGGCTGTGGCTGTAGGACTTACCTGGTGAATGGTCCATTCATCATTCATTCATTCTTTTAAAGAGTGTAGGCGACACTCTACAGCTCGGGATGTCATTGGAGTAGTATTTGGAAATGTCTCCTCGTTTGATCGCGGGGATGAACAAGATTTATCTTATGACTCATGGCAGCACGTTAAGTTAATCATACATTTAATGGGCAGTTGTAGTAGTAGTCTGCACTTCATACCACTACACAACACATCATTAGCCACCTAACATAGTAATATGCACAAGACTAAGTAGTGGGCAGGCAAGGCAGGGCTCAGACTCGTGAGTCTTGAAGTATCTTCCTCCGAGGATATTCGGGTCTTCATTCATTGAGTGTTTGAAGTCGAATTGGCAAAGACCAACTCCAACATGTTCATTGCCAATACTTACCTACCACTACCGAGCAGACTAGTAAGGACGAAGGTTGTTGACGCGTACCTCATTGAGTCCAAACTCGGAGGTGTAGACTTCTCCTTGGAGAGATCAAACTTGATTGATCTTGACGATAACGATCACCCAACAATTATATAATTATTACAAATAACTTTTGTTATATCTACTTCAGCACCTCTCAACGTGCAATTTCAGATACTTATTACTGTGTGTGATTGATGGGGATCACTTCGGCAATTGAAAATGATCAAAATGCCGATGTGATGGAGTGTGAGTGAAATGTGGGGGGTGTCTTCCCGTCACACGCCATCACCCATCACCATCACCAAGTCACACACCTTCCGGGCTACTGACACTGAGAGACAGTAACACATTCGGAATTGAAATATCCGCGGCCCCTACTATGGGTACGTTTGCGATTGTTTTGTACTGCAGAAAGGTCTACTGCTGCAAACGATGATCCATCCATCCAAAACAAGGTGTACAACAACTTTATAAAATGCAAGGTCCTTACCCTCAATCTACATCATTTAATCAATCAATCAAATAATCATTTATACACATATAATAATACAATGAAGGCCTCAACTATCATCCTTGCTGCTTTTGTCATCGCTGCTTTCCTCGTTGCTTCCATCGCTGCTGAGGGTCCATGGACCTTGGAGCCAGTAAGTGTCCATCACTCCATCACTCAATCAATCAATCATAAGATCAATCACTCACTCATACTCAATCAATCAATCTTACTTCATTACTTTAGGGCGAGTCCAAGTCTGGAATCAACACCTGGGTCTGGCCAAGAATGACCACCGTCGGAGTTAAGAACGGAAACACCACCGAGGGTAGACTGAGAATGCAGGCTGGTCTCTCCCCAGAGGAGGAGGACGATATCTCACCAATGTCCACCGTCACCTACGAGAGAGACTTTGGAGCATTCCCACTCACCGTCACCAACGTTGGTTTCACCATCTTGACCATCTGGACTGCCTAAACGCACCCCCTCGACACGTGTGTCGTCCAGTATCTGCCTCTGATCCATAGCCACTCACGCTCTTGGATCAATGGATGGTGACGCGACCACATCATTACATATACATAAATACATTTACAATCGATTTGAATGTATCTATCGATCAAACTAATCATAGTGCGGACAGAGTCGTCTGTCCATCATCGATATGTTGATTGTTGATTGATTGAGTGAGTCTGTCTTGTCCCATAAATTAACTGTTTTGCTCACTTCCAGAAACATGTTAACTTTGGAACTGTGTGTGTTCCAAACTCATTCAAATTAGAAACAGATAAAGAGATAAGATACAGATAGATAACATGTTGGATAGACTTCAATTCACATTGTTACAACGTATTGTGTCATTCATTGATCGTGATGCTGATCGTTTGATGGTGACATTGGTGTGTAGACATCTGTTTGAATGTAGACATAAATACCTTTGCTTCAAATCAATCAAATCCATAGCTCGTTCCTACAATGATCAAGATGTCAAACTACAATCATATCGTGATATCATCCGCAATCAAATCAACAACAATGGAATGTCAACTGTATATGCCTACACAGCGACTAGTGTGACAAACATGATGTCTTTGGGTAAGTAAGTGATGGTGTGTTGGACAACATCACATCACATTACATCATATTAAACAGACTTGGAATGAATGAATGAATGAATGAATGGATAAACATCAAATAATAATAGATCTAAGAAGTGACAACTGGACGAAACACGAACTGTTGAGAGCGAATAGAATTGGTCGCATTGTATTCGTAGAGTCAGATGTAAAGAATACGTTGGATTCAACATTCTGGAATAACAACATGGACTTTATTGCTGAGATGTTTGCTCGATCAGTCGAGTTAATGTTCCACATGGGGCGCCAACTCACGTTCTCATTGAGTCATGTGCCATTGACGGTGATGGTTATTCAACCTGGCCCTGATGATCGGTTGCCCAATGCCAACATGTTCCCACGCACATTGACTGAGCTATCAATTGGTGGAGAGTTCAATACAATGCTCTGTGATCTCCCAGACAGTCTGACAACACTAAGGATTCAATCGAGAGCATGGGACCAGCCAATTGCACCAGGGGCACTCCCACCCCGTCTCAAGAGATTATACTGTGGCAGAACATTCAATCAACTGATAGCCGATAAAACATTCCCAAGAACACTTGAATATGTCCAGTTTGGTTATTCATTCGACAAACCACTCAACAGCAACAACCTTCCCGAATCGGTCACCGATATCTCTTTTTTTAGATACAGCCATCCATTCAGTCATCGTACGTGTGTCCGTCTTGATATGGGCGGGACTTCAAAGTTTGCTCATGGCTTGGTGTTCCCCAGCCTCACACACTTGCGGACAAAGGTGGATCCTGCTGTTCTGATCGCATCCTCATTCCCATCACTCAGAACACTTGATTACTCTGGATGGTGCCACTACCTGGTGGACTACTCGACACTTCCTCACACACTGACTGAGCTGACGACCCATGAGACGCGACCAATCGTATCTTTCACTCAAGGTCTCCATACATTGGATATTCGATGTGAGTCTGGCTTCCGAATGACCAACACGACATTGCCTCAATCACTTCGAACACTGACACTAAGGAGCTATCACCATCCCATTGAGGCCGCTTTGTTTCCACCATCTCTAACATCACTCAATGCCATCAAATGGACACATCCTCTTCATCCAAACCAACTACCTCCTTCAATACAAATGGTGAGCATCATTCACAACCATGAGAATGGTGATCAACATCTGGAGCAGATGTTGGCATCGACATCATTGTTCCACATCAAGATTAATATACGATCGATTGGACGTGTGTTCGCCATTGAGCTCTGTCGAATCAGTGACACACTCTTCCTCAAGTATGACAGGTCCATTCTCAGTCAGGTCACTGAATGCTCATTCATCGGCATAGACTCCATAATGGCAATGTACCATAAATCAAAAGTTGCGCCAACTTAAAAATGATCGTGTGGATTGATCGATGAATGGGACTTCCCACATAATCAATAAATCAATCAAATAAACATTATACAGATACAATGACATCATTCAGTTAGGAACCATTCAATCCCTCACCCAATCAATCATTCACTGGAATCATTCCAATTCCCACTCACTCAACTACCTCAAATCAATCAATCAATCAATGATTGGAGATAACGATGGATACACTTCAATTCAGATTGATACAACATATATTGTCATTCATTGATCGTGATGCTGATCGTTTGATGTTGACATTGGTTTGTAGACGTCTGTTTGAATGTCGGCACCAATATCTTCGCTTGAACGAGGTCAATCACAGTCACCAATTGACTCACAGAGCATATTTGTACAACGATCAAGATGTCAGACTTCAATCATATCGTGATATCATCAGGTATCAATTCAACAACACTGGAAAGATGTTTGTGGAGGTCAATGCTGTGACTCCCAAAAGCAAGACTAATGCCATTGCATGTATAGGTAAGTCATGTGATGTGATATGAAGTGATGTAAAGTGATGTGATCTGAGCGGCCATAGTAACAAACAAACAAACTAAGATGGCAAAAGTGCTAAATGGATGAGTCACAGACTATTTAGAGAGAACAACGTTGGACACATAAAGTTTATAGAGTCTGATGAGTATCCATTCGATGCAACATTCTGGAACAACGCCAATGTCAACTACTTTATGGCCGAGATGTCAGCTCGATCAGTCAATTTGTCATTCATTATGTCACGCAATGTAATTGGGACATGGCGCAATCTCACATTCTCATTGAGTCATATCCCATTGACATCATTGGAGATACAACTGGGCCCAGATGATCAGATGCCCAACTTCAATATGCTCCCAAGCACATTGACTGAACTATCAATTGTTGGCGAAACCTTCTCAACACCTGGTGCTCTGCCAGACACTCTAACATCATTAATGTTTAATGTGAATGTGCCCATTGCACCAGGAACACTCCCGCCTCGCCTCAAGAGACTAATCTTTGGCAGAGCATTCTATCAACCAATTGCCGATGGAACATTCCCTCCAACCCTGGAGAGTGTACACTTTGGTCCATACTTCGATGAGCCACTCACCAGCACCAACCTTCCTGATTCGGTCACCGATGTCACTCTGATCAATGTAAGATACAGCCATCCATTCAGTCATCGCGCATGTGTCAAACTTCTGATGCAAAGTGATGCTACATTTGCTCCTGGCATGGTCTTTCCCAACCTCACGCAATTGGAAACACAAGTGAGTGCTGATGTTCTGATCTCATCCACATTCCCAGCACTCAGATCACTTGATTACCATATTTGGAATTACCTTGAGATGGACTACTCGACACTTCCTCACACACTGACCGCACTACATACGCATGTCGCGCGACCAATCAAATCATTCCCTCAAGGACTCGATAAATTGAAACTCCGTTGCGGGTCTGGCTTCAGATTGACCAACACGACTTTGCCTCGATCACTTCGATCACTGTCACTCAAAAGCTATCGACATCCAATCGAAGCCTCAATGCTTCCATCAACAATTACATTACTTACGACGATCAGTTGTGAGAGCGAGCTTGATCCAAGCACAATTCCACAGTCCATTCATACATTGACCATCAGATTCCAAAGGAGTTTGACTGATGAACATATGGCACAGGTGTTGGCCACAACATCATTGTTCTGCATCAATGTTGAGGGCTGGAGGGAGTTCAAAATTGAGCTCTATCGAATCAGTGACACACTCTTTCTCAAGTATGACCAGTCCATTCTCAACCGTGTAACTGAATGTGCATTCATTGACATTGACTCGATCATGGCACTATTCCATAAATAAAAAATATTGGACCGATGGGTTGGGAACCAATCAAACACATTCCAATCACGCACTCACTATATGTGATCAAAGGAGGATTGGAACCTAGGTTCCAATCAAACAAAGGTCATTGGTTGTTTATATCAATCAATGTGGAATGGGGAGGTTAAACTCGCTGGTCTCGTAGGGGTGGTTGCCTCTAATCTTGATTCCAATGATCATGTGGGGTTGGCCCGCAATACGTCCTGCCCAGGGATAAGTCTGGATAAGGGGAGCCAATGACATGCATTCGATACTCCTATGGTTGGAGAAAGACCAATATTGATCGGTGTGATCAAAGACTCTTACACATCCCAAGATACCCAAAATAGTGTGGATGGTCTTCACAAGCCTGTCCGGTCTACATCGGACTGGGACATCTTGATTGATCCTGGACATCACACCTTCAAGGTTCCAGGACCGGATGTAGACCACTCTGGGCCACATTATATGATCATCGACCAACTTATAAAGTTGTGGATCATTGAGGTTCAAGGGGAGTCAATTCCTTATTATGAATCGGAAGACCTCAGAGGTAAAAACCTTAATGATATCTAGGTAAATGTATTATATTAGTATAGGTTATCATTAATATTGATTGAAAAGAGAGATAGTAATTGTGCTTACCTTTACGAAGTTCAGACATTCTATTTGTTGTAATATTTGTAATAAAGTTTCTTAGATTATTGATGGTTTTATGAATGAACTCTTGATAGGCTGTATTTATAGGTACTTGGTGGTTGATCTGAAAGATAGACTGATGTGTTGTCTATGTTTGATGAGCTTTCTGGGGTAGTATCAATATCGTTTGTTTGTAAGTTCATTGATGGAGGAACAGTAATAAGCGATAAGAATAGAGAAACAAATGACATTCAATCAATACTTGGGGTCTTTTGGACCTTGGAAAGCAACTCAGACACCAATCTCAAGTAGTTTGGGGGCAAACTTAAAAGGCAATCAGTATAACCCTTTAAGTTGTCATGAGAATTAAGTAGAATATATATCCTTGAATGAATATTAATTATTTCACACCGAACCAATCTCCCTTATTTTGACAAAAGTTGCTCATATTAATATTATCTGGTTGAACACGGTTGTGATCAAACCCCAATCATAAAAAAGAAGATCAGTTGACCAAACAAATATTACTAATATTTATATAAATAATAAGAGTGATGGGATGGATACACTACAGTATACATTGTTGAAACATATCGTGTCATACCTACCTCATGATGCTGATCGTATTATGATGTCATTGGTGTGTAGACGATTGTTTGATTCTAGACATAGTTATCTAAGTTTCAACATTAAAAACAGATCAAGATATCGAGCTTACAATGATGATAGAATCAATCTAGAATCATATCACGACATCATCATCAATCAACTAAACAACTCAAAGATCAACTATATCTCAACATTCAAACTATTATCAAATGATATCTTAAGTATGTTTGATCGRATCAGTCGCACTGGCATCATTCCACTCACACTCACACTCACACTTGCACTCACTCTCATACAGTGTATGATGGTGATCAATTCACAATTGAAGCATGGATACATATGATGCTGAATAGGAATAACATTAGAGTTATAACATTCGAAGAAGAGGACAATGGTCAATTGTTTGATGCAGCATTTTGGAATAGGATGATGGACTTTATGACAGTGATGTATGATCGATCAGTGGAGATGGAGTTTGAAATGACAACAGAACACTTGTTATCATTCTCAATGAGTAGTGTGCCATTGACAACAATGATGATAAACACAAGTCCTAAAGATGAGTTGCCCGACCCAAGCTACTACCCGCGGACACTCACCAAGCTGGTGATCAATGGCGAGTTTGTAACACTTGGCAGTCTACCCGACAGCCTGACATCACTCACCATTTGGGCGAATGATTGGAACCAACCAATTGTACCAGGGTCATTGCCCCCACGATTGAAGCGCCTCAAGTTTAACGATCGATTCAATCAACCCATAGCCGAAGGGACCTTCCCACCTTCACTCAAGCGTGTCAACTTTGGCGGTGCATTCAATCAACCTCTCACCCTCAGCAACTGCCCCGCGACCATCACTAGAGTGCGTTTGCACGAGCTTTACGTCCACCCTCTTGGTCTCTGCGCGCAACATTGGTCGAGACTTCGCTTTGAATCCGTTTTGGAGCTCTCTCCGGTGTTGGTGTGCCAGTCGCTCACCAACCTTTGTGCACCCTTCGTCGAGTCGTCACCCGTCACATCATCCACCTTCCCATCACTCCAAAAGTTTCATATACTATCTCTGGTCGGCTTTAGTTTATACATTCCGCTCGATCTCATCGCTCTCCCTTCATCACTTCGCGATCTGACAATCTGGCCGAATGGATACTACTCGGCATTACCTCGAGGAGTGAAGACATTGGTAATCAATGGCTATAATGAAGACTTTATACTGTTTCCAGGCTTGCTGCCTCCATCACTGGTATCACTCACACTGAACTCTTATCATCATGAGTTTGAGCTCAAAGACTTCCCCACAACATTGACCTCACTCACATTGTGCAATGTTACAAAGTTGCCATTACCAAATCAACTGCCAACATCATTACGATCACTTACGCTAAAGATTAGAAATATGTATAACAATATCGATATATTGAATCAATGGATGAAGTTGTACTTGGACATGATCACACTGACTCACATTCATCTAAATTACATGTCACTAAATCTGGAACTATACCGTATCACAGACACACTCTTCCTCAGATGTCAAGGCTCACTTTATGATAATCTACCAACATGTGGATTCATCAGCCTCCAAATGATCATTTCCATGATCAAGTAGACCCCTCTGGAACCATTCCGTCCCATAAATTAACATTTCAAACTTTCACACAGGCCTTGTTGGCGTGTCTTTCAAGTTCACGTCATTCATTCAATCATATTCACACTCAATCATGTAATAATACAGATAGAGATAGAGATAGAGATATGGATACACTTCAGTTCACATTATTACAACATATATTATCATTCATTGACAGTGATGTAGATTGTTTGATGTTATCATTAGTGTGTAAACGATTGTTTGAAAATAGACACAAGTATCTACAATTCAAAACGGATAAGATATATAGTCATTTCAAGTATCAAGATGACTTGATCAAACTACGATCATACCGTGACATCATACAACATCTTGTAATCAACAACAAGACAACTACCATAACAATAGGATTTGATGAATATTCAGATTATTGTATGACAGATCGAATGATTGAATGATTGATTGATTGAATGAATGATTGATTATTAACATGTGAACATACATCTCTAGCAATAGATGATAATCAATGGACTAAAGAGGTACTAGGTATGAACAATGTCAGAGGAATAGTATTCAAACAAGATGATGAAGATGATGATGATGAGACGTTTAATGAGTCATACTGGGAAGGAATCACTGACTTTATGAAAGAGATGTATGATCGATCGGTCAAGTTAAAGTTCGTGTTTGGACATACCCTTAACTACTCAATGAGTCACATACCATTGACAAGCATGCGCGTGGAGTCTACCACCAATGTCAGCTTCCTACCGAGTACACTGACTAGTCTGGCAATTACTGGTGACTTTGACCACCCTCTAGAGGATCTTCCCAGCAGTCTGACATCACTCACAATCATTTCGGATAATTGGAATAACATGATTACGATTGGCACACTACCACCTCGATTGAAGAAGCTCAACCTAGGTGATGGTTTCAATCGCCCGATAGAATCTCGCATGTTCCCCGCAACATTGGAGCGCATCACCTTTGGAGGAAGCTTCAATCGACCACTCGGAATTGATAGCCTACCAGCAAGCGTCACCAATGTTGGTGTGATGAATGAGAGATACAAACACAATGTTGGCGCAGCACATTGGACTTGTCTGAAGCATGACAGTCAATCACCGTTCACTCCTGGACTGGTGTTCCACGCACTCACACGCCTAAGTACAACATTCAGGAAGTGGCGGTCCATCACATCCACATTCCCCAATCTAAGATCACTTGTTCTAGCTGCTTGGGACGCGGATGACTGGAACAGTCCTGCATTGGACCTCTCGTCACTCCCATCCAGTCTGCGAGACCTGGAGATGGATGCAGTTGGACCAATCTCAGAATTCCCTCAATCACTTCACACTCTATGTTTGAACGATACATGTGCGTCGTTCAGTTTGGATAGGACCAAGTTACCACCAGCACTTGTATCACTCACTATAAGAAACTATCAGCATACATTCGAGTCTGATCAGTTCCCATCATCACTCACATCGCTAACAATGACAAATTTTGAACATTGGCCAAAGCAACTCGGTCAGCTACCAATGGCCTCACTCAGATCTCTAAGTCTTTACAATCACTTGAGATACAATGACATTGATCATGATTGGATGATGAATGTACTGTCAACGTGCACATCATTGATTGATTTAGGTTTAGTGATGAACTTTCAAAAACACCAATTCCGTCGCATCAATGACTATCTCTTCTTCAACCTTGTTACCGACCAACATCCTCGACATACATCATGTGGCTTCATTGATATCCATTCAATAATGTCTTTGATCAAGAATCCCAAACCATTGAGTGGATAATCATCCCCTTAATCGCTAGAATGGCCATGGTCGTGTTCATAACTTGTTCTCACGAACTGTCCAACTGTCAGCCATGTGGAGGATGAAGATCATCGATGCTACGCTATCCCTGGATAGCCAAACAATCCATCCACATTGACAATCAATGACGCTCTCCACCGAAGATTACAAGTTTTGGTATTGATTTATTGATTGAATGATTAATAAATAATGTTGTGTATCGTTCAACACCATGATAGTGTCATTGCCAGGCAACTGTTGTTGGACCAATCTCAACAACACCATCCGTCCGACACACAACAGAGTTGATACCACCACCACAGAGAGAGATTACCAGGCACCGATCTTTCTCAACTCCTCGTCGGAGAAGTCAGCCTTGCTTCTGGCAACACGGTTGAACTTGCTGCTGAGCTTGTACTGCAGGGAGCTCTCGGCCTCCTTATATCTAAGCTTCTGTTGCTCTGGTGCTCCATTTGGAGTCCTGAATCATGATGAGGAAGGCGAGTTAGTCTGTGGCCAAAGAGTGTTGCAACATGTGAGTGACAACATACCATCTGAAGAAGAAGTCCTTGACGGTCTTGACATCCTTTCTCATGTGCTCCCAGCTGTAAATGATGAATCTGCACTCGTTCTCTGGCAGCTCGGCGAGCAGCTCATCAAGTGATGCCTTCTTCTCTGTCTTGAGCAACTCAATTCCAGCGCTCTTCTCGTTCACAGACATGATCACCATGTTGAGTTGCTTCTTATCCAAGGCAGTGATAGCGTTGGTAGCTTCAGTGGTCATCAAGTACAAGGCCATTTTTTATCTGTTTATCTGTTGTTGTTGTTATAATTTTATTGTAATGTAATGATTTGGTTGAGCTGTGTTGGTAGTTATTATTATATGATCATGTAGTCTTTGATTGTTTGATTGATTGATTGGTTGATCATAAATCCCACACATTCTTTGAAAATATCATGTGAGTGATGACCCAACTTCCAGGCCATCCTTTATTTGAGCAATGTCATTGGGTGGGTGAGTGTGAAGTCGACATCTGTCTTTTGAGATAACTGATCAATCTTTAGTTTCGACGTAATACAAATAAGTATTATTATTATGTATATATATATGGATGAATGAGAACCGGCAGGATACACCGCGATGAATACAGAATTGAAGAATGAGGAGGTTGGCCAAGTGATCAATCAATCACAAGGACCCATTCCAGGACACAGTACCAAGGTCTGATTCCAGATTCACAGGAATAGTGAGTGACATTTATTATAAACACCAAAGTTGTTTGGTGCCAACAATCGGGTCCATATACCTGTTTGATGAATAGGTGCTAGGCCCTGGTGTAGAGAGAGAGCGAGCTTATGGCTTGATGTAGCCGTATCCCTTCTGTTGGAGCTCAGCAATCGATGCGACGGCAGCTGGAACAATGGTGGTGAAGGATGGGAAGGCTGAGGCGGGGATGTTGAGGCCGTGGATCGAGTTGTTGCAAAGAAGCACCTGGAATTGGTTGGGGTACTGACGGTAGATCTCCTCGTACTCCTTGAGCAAAGAGTTGCCTGGTGTGGAGAAGATGATTGGACCGACGCCATTAAAGACGGCAGCTACATTAGCATTTGGTGCTTGGATGAAATAGTTGATGATGTTGGCTGCTGCCTCGTCGGCTTCAGTTGGGTCATCGACGTGGACCAACAGATCCTGTGACATCACAGATCCGATCAGCAGAACCAAGCAGAATAGTACGGATAAACTTCTCATTGTTGTATTTGTAATTTAAATATATGTATGTATGTATGATTGTATGATTGTATAATTGTATGTATGAATGATTGACACTGATGATCATCACACTACATCATGTTTGATGGGTGTAGAGGCGACCGAGGGCCAAAATAAATATCTGGTCCCATCAAATTTATAAATTGGCATTGATCGGGTCTACTTTTCGTTCGACAAAGCTGTAATATAACATATAAATAATGATGGCAAGGCTTGCTTGGGTATTTGCTACCTTGTTAGTTCCAAACGGGGCTAATATCTCATGTCCATGATGGACATTGGAACTTGTCCCATAAATCAAAGATCAAAAGATGGCGTGGTCTGGATGCGAATGGGTTGGGGAAGCGAAGTCATGTGCCTCTTGACCATTCATTCAAAATGAACATACATATACATATACATACATAAACAGATAGATGATGAGATGTTGGATACGCTTCAATTCACATTGTTACAACATGTAGTTAAGTACTTACCACGTGATGTTGATCGATTGATTGTTACATTGTTATGTAAACGTCTGTTTGAATATAGACATCTATATCTATTATTCAATGATGATAGTATATCAAGATACACAAAGTGGAAGTACAATGAAACCAACATCAACATGCTATCATATTATAATATATTATATAAACAATATAATTATATTAAGAAACAGACAATGTTGATAACACCTAATCATCCTCTTAGTGATGTCGGTAAGTACATGTCATGTTGCCTATCAATATCAATCAGACACTAAATTGCCATGCCATGCACACATAGACTTGACAAAAGATAGATGGGCAGATAATCTAATATCAATCATGATGATGAACAATGAGTACAACAACCTCAAGAAGATATCGATCATAGAGGCTTATGAACATTTGTTTGATGATGCAGTGTTCTGGGAGAATATCAAGGACTTTATGAATGAGATGTATGCTCGTTCAGTGTCAATGTACTTCTCCGCTTCAAAGTTTGTTTCATACTCAATGTATAATGTTCCATTGACCAAGATGGAGATTGGTTCAGGCTTATCAGAGTTTAGCATACTTCCAAGGACACTGACCAAATTGGTCCTAAGACGAGGCATTTACGAATCGCTCAATGGGCTTCCGGACAGTCTGACATGTCTGGTCATAGGCTGTGCTGGATGGAATATGATGATCAAGCCTGGGACCCTGCCACCTCGATTGAAGAAGCTGGTCGTTAGCAATGCATTCGATCAACCGATCGCCGCAAACACATTTCCACCAACACTCGAATGTGTACAGTTTGGTAAATACTTTAATCAGCCTCTCGACAACCTTCCAACCAGTGTCACCAAGTTAAGTCTTGGTGATCGGTATAGGTATCCAATCGGAAACAAACACTTGGTATCATTCCATCACAAAGGAAATGCCAAGTTCACATCTGGAGTGATCTTCAATGCCCTCACACATCTAAAAGTTCAAAATAGTCGTTGTTATTGGGATACGATCACGTCCTCTGCATTCCCAAGCCTCATCAAACTCAATCTTTCCGTGCCTGAACAATGGACTGATCCAATTGACTTCTCATCATTGCCGGCCTCATTGGAAGCTCTGACCATTGATCCAAATGGCCCAGTCTCTGCCATTCCGCAAGGCCTCAAGAAGCTATATGTCGTTGGCTCAATGTTCCCAATCACCAACAGCATCCAGTTGCCGCCATCACTTCATTCACTCGCAATGCGAGACTGTCAAACTGATTTGATGGATGCTGGACGCTTCCCTTCAACATTGACATCACTCACAATCACAATGGTTATGCAAGTGCCACACCTTTACCAACTGCCTCCTTCGCTCAGATCGTTGTGTCTCCAAATGGAAATGGACACACTTGACAACAGTACCATTGATCGTTTAGAGGAGATACTGGCGGCAACATCATTGGTTGAGATCAGTCTGTTCTTTGAACACCCCAGAGGCGCATTCAATCATCATCTGCACCGAATCACCCATACACTCTTCATCACTCAACCTGGCAATACCATACTCGAGGCTCCCAATGACTATGGATTCATCTCCGCTGACACAATCATGTCCATGATCAAGGTTCATCTAATCGCCAACCCATAAATTAAAATGAACATTCATCGTGAGTGTCAAACTCATATTTTCTTCATTCCTCCTTTGACTTCATGTTATTCATTCAAACAATACATACAGATAGAGATAGAGATAGAGATAGAGATAGGTGATGTTGGATACTATTCATTTAACATTGTTACGACATATAGTTTATTACTTGCCATTTGATGTTGATCGTTTGATTGTGACGTTGGTGTGTAGACGATTGTTTGAGTGTAGACATCAATATCTACGATTCAATAACATACCTCTTCAAATCAACAAGTTCCATAAGATTACATTGGGGAGGTGGAAGTATAACAACGGGACAGACATCAGTTTGCGATCATACTATGATATAATACATCAACAATATGATAGCATTCAAAAGTCATCAGTTTGTATCTCACCGAATCTTAATAGGAGTGAAGTCGGTATGTATTATGACTCATGTTCACAGGTACACTTATCGTGTAAACTAACATACATTCACTCACTCTATTACTAATGATTGAATGATTGAATGAATGAATGACAAAGACATCACATCATACAGATGGACAGAGGAGATATTTAGTGTGACGATCAACATCAAGGAGATAACATTCGTCGAGATTGATCGACGTTATGATGAATCATTCAGGGTCACGAACAAAGACTTCTTGAACGAGATGTATGATCGATCAGTCCAAATGCATCTAATCACAAAGTACAACTGTACATTGGCAATGCGCAATGTGCCTCTGACCAGCATGAATATAGATATTGAAATGAAGAAAGATACAAACATGGCCTGGGTCATCGACAGAATAGACTTCAGCCACATCCCAAGGACAGTCACCAGACTATGTATGATTGGCGACCTCAATGGATCGTTTGCTGATCTGCCCGACAGTCTGACAGAGCTATATATGGGATCTAGGTCTCGTCCGGCAAAAGTGATTGCACCTGGGACACTCCCTCCTCGACTGCGGAAGATACACTTGGGCGGGGCATTCGATTATGAACAACCCATCCAAGTCAACACATTCCCATCGACCTTGGTGAGTGTTAGCTTTAGTTCGGAATTTGATCAGTCACTCATCAACCTCCCGGCCAGTGTAACCAAGATAGGGATGTTTACAAGGGATGATTGTTATCCTATTGGTAACAAACAGTTGGTGTCTTTACAGAATATAGGAGACACATCATTCACACCTGGTGTTGTCTTCCACTCGCTCACGAACCTTGACATTTTCCACGATGATTGGTCAGAGATCACTGCATCTACATTCCCAAGCCTCAGAACAATCAATCTCAAATCAATGTCAACCAGTTGGCATGAGCCTGTGGACCTCTCGACAATGGCATTATCATTGAGAACGATGATAATAGAACCGATTGGACCAATATCATCATTTCCTCAAGGACTGGAGAGTCTGGTTGTGGACGGCTCCTGTCCAAAATTCCGAATCAACAACAACACAATGTGGCCTCAATCACTCCAATCACTTTCATTGATTGATTACCCGTTCGAGTGGGACTTACAACAATTCCCATCAACACTGACATCGCTCTCTGTGACAGGGGTCAAACAACTACCACTCATAAGCCAACTTCCACCGTTACTCAGAACGTTGAGTATCCAAATGAATAGAGATCTTGAGCACAGTGTCGCCAGCACCAGTACCTCAGTTGATCGATTTGAGAAGATATTGGAAAAGACATCGTTGGTCTCAATTATGCTCTTCCATCAGCTCAGGCGAATCACTGACACACTATTCCTCAAGAATTTAAATGGTCCGATACTCAGTCATGTCAATTCCTTTGGACTCATTGAGATTGACACCATCATCACCATGTTCAAGCGACATGTGGCTCAACTTGTGTTGGCCCACAAATCAAAGACCAAAAGGTGATGTGCTTGGTCGCGTGTGGGAGGAGTCATGTGCCTCTTCATCTTTATTTCATTCACCTATTCATTCATGTTATCCTACATATACATAAACGCAGATAGAGATAGAGATAAAGTCAATGTTGGGAACACTTCAGTTTAGATTGTTGCAACATATTGTGTCGTACTTACCTCGTGATGTTGATCGACTTATTGTTACATTATTGTGTAGACGTCTATTTGAATATAGACATCTGTATCTACACTTTATCGACATACCTCCACCCAACAACAACAACAAGTGGAGTTACAATGAATCTTTAATCAATATTCATTCATACAGAAATATCATAAACGAACATCATCAACGTGTGACGACGAACCGTGTAACACAACTAATTGGATCAGGTATGAATGGTCAGTACATGGATGATTGACAAGGACTAATATCCTATCATTGATTGATTGATTGAATTATTACGACAAGACGTAGCCAATGACAAGTGGATGCAGGACATTTTAAACAACAACAACGTCAAAGAGATATCATTCATCGAGCAAGATAATAGAGGATTCGATGAAGCATTCTGGATCAAGAACAAGGACTTCTTTGATGAGATGTCTGCACGATCAGTTGAAATGAAGTACACAGTCTCTCATAGCATTACTATACCGATACGCAATGTGCCTCTGACCAGTATGACCTTGTTAATAGACAGGGCTGTCATCCAATTCGACTACCTTCCAAAAAGTCTAAACAACTTATCCATTGCCATAAGACATAGAAACCTTGTGACATCACTGGTTGGATTGCCCGACGGTCTGACATCTCTCAAATTCTTGTTTGCTGGATGGAGTCACCCGATTGCACCCGGGTCATTGCCATCACGACTCAAGACTCTTGATCTCGGAAGTACTTACAACTATCCGATCGAAGTCGGTTCATTGCCTGCAACCCTGGAGATTGTCAACTTTGGTGGATCATTCAATCAGCCACTCACCAACCTACCAAGGAGTGTTACCAAACTGCATCTATGTGCAAAGTATAAACATCCGATCGGCAACAATCATTTGGAGTACCTAGATCACATGGGACCGGCATCGTTCACCCCTGGAGTGATCTTCCCCGCACTTACATACCTTAATACACATTCCAAACATGATCAGTGGCCACTGATCACGTCGTCAACATTCCCCAATCTCTCAACAATCTATGTTTACACAAAGTCGGAATGGAGTGAGCCCTTGGACCTCTCAACAATGGCATCATCATTGAGAATCATGTTCATTTCTGCCAAGGGACCAATATCATCCTTCCCTCAGGGTCTTGAGAGACTACAGGTCTTTAGCAGCTCATTGTTCAGATTGACCAACCATAACAACAACCAGTTGCCTCGATCCCTTCTATCACTAACAATCTTGGAATACCAATACGAGTTGGAAGCCGGTCACTTCCCACCAACATTAACATCGCTTTCAATGTTCGAGCATCAACAGCTGCCACTCAAGGACCAACTACCACTACTCTCACTCAAATCATTATCCATCGGACTCGGTAAAGAGTATGACATTATTACCATTGGCCGTTTTGAATCGATATTGGCGACAACATCTTTGGAGAGCATCGAGCTAGTGGCCTCCACGAGATTCAACCTTCATCTATATCGAATCACAGACAACATCTTCCTCAAGCATTCAGGTAGCTCCATACTCTTTGAGATCAATGAATTTGGATTCATCAACAGTAATACCATCATGCACTTTTTGACCAAATGAGCGCACTCATTCATTCATTCATTCATTCATTTATTCAAACAAATAAATATAAACAGATAGAGATAAAGATAGAGATAGAGATAGAGATGTTTGATAGACTTCAATACACATTGTTACAACATATAGTGTCGTACTTGCCACGTGATGTTGATAGATTGATTGTTACATTGTTGTGTAAACGTCTGTTTGAGAATAGACATAGGTATCTACGCTTCCATTACCAACCTCTGGGCACATTATGGAGGAAGACACTTACACGCATCAACATGCGATCATACAACGACCTAATCATCAATCATTACAACGACAACAAGACATATACTATCAGTCTAGAATCAAAAGATAGTGATCAAGGTGACATCGGTATGTGAAGTATATTATATGCATGTCACACAACATATGTAGCTAACTTAATCAATCAATCAATCAATCACACATTCACTCACCTCTAAAGACATAACCTCGGACAAATGGATAGAGTTGAAGAGACTGATCAAAGTCAACAACAATACAAAGGAGATATCATTCGTTGAAGGTGATCATAGGTTTGATGCATCATTCTGGGAAAAGAACAAAGAATTCATCAATGAGATGTCTGATCGATCAGTTCAGAACAATCTAAGCTTGAATAGTTCGGATATACTTTGGTACTCAATGCACGATATCCGACTGACAAGAATGGATGGCGTTAACTTTGGCAACTACAAGGACTTTAATCTCCTTCCAAGGACACTTACAATATTGTCAATGTTAGGACAAGATGTCAATACATCACTCGTTGGTCTGCCAGACAGCTTGACATCTCTCAGCCTATTATTGACAAGACAGATCAAACCGATTGATCCTGGGACTCTGCCACCACGTCTGAAGATCCTTGACGTTTCTAAATGTTCAGAGTATCCATTCTCTTACGATGGCTCATTCCCTTCAAAATTGGAGTGTCTTAATATTGGTCCATACTTTAGTCATCCCCTCTCTATCTTACCAGCAAGTGTCACCAAGCTACATCTTGGACAAAATAAGGAATATTTCATGGACAACGAACATGTTGTTGATCTACATTACTCAGGACACTTATCATTCAAACGTGAAATGGTCTTCCCCTCACTTACAAGTATAAGATCAAACTCCAATAAGCTATCGACAGATAAGTTCACATCGTCCAACTTCCCCAACCTCAGAACGATCAATCCTGGTGGACATGGGTCTGTGCGGGTCAAGCTTGGCCCGCCCCTTGACCTCTCACCAATGTCATCATCATTGAAACACATGGTAATCTATGCCAAAGAACAAATCAGATCATTCCCGCAAGGCCTCGAGACTCTAGAGGTGAACTGCACCATAAAGTTCCGAAGCAATAACATCCGGCTATTGCCTCAATCACTTCAATCACTTAAATTGACCAACTATCAATACGAGTTGGATGGCCAATACCTACCATCAACATTGACATCACTCTCAATCAGCATGCAAAACTTTGCCAAACAGTTACTACCAATCAATCTTCCAACATCACTCCATTCATTGAGTATCAATGTGTTCATCGATTTGTTCAGCGACATTAACAACTTTGTTGAACGAATGGAATCGATACTATCGATAACATCATTGAATCAAATGGAGTTCAAGTTTAAAAGATATTCGTCTATAGGAACAGATGGAAGAATCCTATTCCACCGCCACCTATACCGAATCACCGACAAGCTCTTCATCGCTCACACTGGCACTCACATACTCAATTATGTCCATAACCATGGATTCATCAACATTGATACCATCCTATCAATGATAAAGTCATATCGATCGAAGACCAAAGGTTATCTATGTTAATAAATTACCTCAAAGTTGTGTGAGGGTATGTCTGCGAGGGTAAGTGCGAGGATAAGTCTGCGACTGATTTTGAAACCATTGATCAATTCGCCCAAACATATAAACAAACATTCATATACAAGATAGAGATAGATGTTGGATAGACTTCAATTCACATTGTTACAACATATAGTGTCGTACTTGCCACGCGATGTTGATCGATTGATTGTTACATTGTTGTGTAGACGTCTGTTTGAATATAGACATCTATATCTACTATTCAATGACCGTGATGACAACGTATCACAACATATTGATATACTATCATCTCATATTTCTATGCTATCATACAATGATATAATAATCAAACAATACAATCAATATAACATTCAAACAATCAATGTGTCTGACAACAAAGATCAAAGTGATGTCGGTATGTATGATCAAGCAACCCATCTATTAATACAATAACTAACTCTGATTGAATGATACAAAGACATGACAGGTGATTTAAAGAGTGTGATCAATGACAACAAGTATAAGGTCAAAGAGATATCATTCACTCAAGAGTGTTATCATGTTGATGAGTTCGATGCAATATACTGGGACAGGAACAAAGACTTTATCAAAGAGATGTTTGATCGATCAGTTGTAATCAATCTCCACTTGCTTCATCCTCCTACATTCTCATTGTACAATATGCCATTTACAAGTATGGAGGTCCACTATGAGGGCCATCGCCCTGACTTCAGCCTACTTCCAAGGACACTTTCAAAGTTGACAATGTCAGGACATGGTGACAATTTATCATTAGTTGGCTTGCCCATCAGTCTGACGATTCTGGTCATATCATATCCATTCAATGGTCAGAACCAACCTATTCAGATTGGTGCACTACCGCCACGACTAAAGACGCTAGATCTAAGAACATCATCAAACTATCATATTGCTGATGATGGCGCCAAGGACACATTCCATTCAACATTGGAGTGTATTAAGTTTGGTCCAAACTTTGATCAGCCCCTATCCAACCTTCCAACGAGTGTCACCGATTTATATCTTGGCACAAGGAGAGGATATATGATTTGTCACAAACAGTTAGTCCATCTATTCCATAATGGACCTACATCATTCACACCTGGAATGGTATTCGACTCTCTCACCAACCTTTCAACTGACTCCAAACATAATTCGTGGCCAAAGATCAACTCGATCTCATTCCCAAACCTCACAACAATCAATCTTATGGCGGGATCTGAGATTTGGCGTGGAAATGAGGCTCTTGATCTCTCACCAATGTCATCCTCATTGAGAGATATGACACTACATGCCCAAGGTCAAATCAAGTCATTCCCTCAAGGTCTCGAGACTCTAAGAATATATTGTCATAAACAGTTCCGAATCATCAACAACATGTTGTTGCCTCATTCACTTCAATCGCTCACAATGATAGGATATGAACATGATTTGGAGGCTGGACAACTCCCATCCACTCTTACATCACTCTCATTGGTCATGCCTCATCAATTGCCACTTGCCAGCCAACTTCCACAGTCGCTCAGATCCATTAGTATAGATATTTTCTCCAAAGCCAACAGCAACAACACTGCCGAACGAATTCAACATATACTTTCGACAACATACTTGAAGGATATAAGATTCAATCTTTGTCCAAAAGCACGGCAAATCATCCTAAAGCTATGCCGAATTACCGATACACTCTTCCTCTCTCATTCAGGCAGTTCCATCTTCCAAAATGTACAGACTCATGGATTGATCAGCATTGGCACCATTAAATCAATATACAAAGATTGACCAATAACATACCCTCGAGGGTATGTGTGCGAGGGTATCTCGAGATTCAACATGATCATTTTTAGGTTCATACAGATAGAGATACAGATAGAGATAGAGATGTTGGATAGACTTCAATTCACATTGTTACAACATATAGTGTCTTATCTTCCACGTGATGTTGATAGACTGGTTGTTACATTGTTGTGTAGACGTCTGTTTGAGAATAGACATCAATACATTAGTTTATGTAATAATAGACCAATCTATGATGAATGGAATGACATCAAAGATAAGATCAACTTACGATCATATTACAATATCATTCATAAACATTATAACATCAAAGAGATGCAAACATTAATCATCAATCCCAATACAAGTATCATTGCTCTCAAAGATGAAGGTATTTGATGTTCGGTCACTCTATCTTTCGATCATGATCGTACGTACTAATGAACATACATAGACCTCACGACAGACAAGTGGACCAACATCAAGGTTATACAGTTCCAAGACAAACATGATCATGGATCTGGGTTTGATGAATCAATCTGGGAAAGGAATAGAGACTTTTTGAGAGAGATGTATGATCGATCAGTGGAGTTGAAACTGTACATTGTACACTAGATATCATACTCGTTGAGGGATGTGCCGATCACCCGCATGGACATTGTATCACGACAAGACAACCCATCATCAATGATTAATGATTTCAGACTGCTTCCAAGGACACTGACATCATTGTTCTTGGAGGGACATACCGATACATCACTCATCGGCCTACCCGACAGTCTGACAAGTCTGCGTATCGATGATGACTCTACTAGTTGGAACAGACCCATTGCACCCGGCATCCTCCCTCCAAACTTAAAGAGAATGATCTTTGCCGATTCATTCAATCAACAAATTGCAGCCAACTCTCTCCCTTCCACTTTGAAGTTTGTTAGCTTTGGAACAGACTTTAATCAACCACTCCACAACCTACCTGCCAGTGTAATCAAACTACATCTATCCTCAAGAAATGATCATCCAATTGGAACCAAACAACTGGTTGCACTCTTCCATCGTGAGGACCTAGCGTTCACACCTGGCGAAGTATTCAGCGACCTCACCAAGCTACATATGTGGGCCGTACATGAGAACGAGCAGCTGCCATTGATCACATCGTCCCGATTCCCCAAACTCAAACAATTATACATTGGCAATCCATTGGAAGATGGACACGAACCCATAGACCTATCTATGTTGCCGTCCACTTTGACAGACTTGATTGTCACTACCAATCGTCCAATCACAGCATTCCCAACCGGACTCGTTAAACTCAATCTCCATCACAGTAACCCACTGGTCCAGATCACAACATTGCCACAATCACTTCAATCACTTGTATTGATTGAATACCAACATGAACTGGACCTTAGTGAACTGACATCTCTCACAAGCTTGTCAATGAATGCTATTGGACATCTGCCACACATCAACCAACTGCCACTTCACATACTTAGAGCGATGTGTATGGAGTTGAATCAACGACCCGACGACACAACAATTGATCATTTGAAACAGATACTGGAAACAACGACATTGATTGAGATTATGATTCAATTCTATCAAGAAGACGACGACGATGATGAGGAAATCAAACTTTGCCTGTACCGTATCACCGACACTCTACTCCTCAATCATCTAGATACATCGAGCTTCGATGATATTATTCATTATGGATTCATCAACATTGATACCATCATGTCCAAGGTGTCCAAGTTCAAGAAGCACGTTGTACAACTAGCTATCCCATAAATTCGAGGAATGCCAATTTCCGGACTCCTGTCAATTCGTTTGTGATTTGTGGGTAGAGATACATTCATTCATCTTCAATCATGGATACACTACAGTTAACATTATTACAACATATAGTATAATACAAACAGAGTGGCTGATTGAAGTCTGTTCCAAAGTGTATTTGTTCCAGCGTCGATGGGAGAGCATAAACTGTTAAAGAGATACCAATGTTTCCATCATCACTCACATCCCTCAAGCTAGAGGATGTGACACATCCATTCATTGTTGATGAGCAACTTCCACCTTCAATCAGATGATATGGGATCATTTATAATAATTCGATAAAGAAGAGTTCAACTGTAAACTTGGTGAGATTGTTGAACACCAAGACATTGACAGAGATAACATTGCATATCTGGGATGTGTCCTTTGAGTTGTACCGAATCAATGATACACTATTCCTAAACTATCAGTTGTCTATTCTACAAAAAGTACGTGCATGTAGTTTCATGGGAGTCCCAATAATAATGGAACTGATCCATAAGAATAGAACAAGAATAATCAGTGACAATCTATAATAAACAAAGGTTTCGTTGAACCTTGGAATTATTCCAATCGTCTAACAAATTATTCATTCATTCAACAATCCCATTTATTGATTGATTGAATGAGTGAGTGGAACCATTCCGACCCATAAATTTCAAAAACTTCCCAATAGGGCAAGTCAATCTTTCGATTTGATGTGGTCCTTTCTTCATTCATCCGATCACAGATATATAGATACAAGTAGATGAATGGAGTCATTACAATATACATTATTACAACATATAGTATCATTCTTACCACGTAATATTGATCGTATTGTTATAACATTGTTATGTCGCAGATTGTTTGACAATAGAGATAGATATCTACAGTTCAACAATGATAGAATACCTCGTTATCAAAAGTACACCGACCAAAAGGTACTACTAAGATCATACCGTGATATAATAACCAATCAAGTTTGTAACATTAAGCGACATAGTATATCAGTTCAAGGTGATCGCAATCCAAAGTCATCATTCTATGACAGAGCCTACATCATCGGTATGATTGATTGATTGATTGATCAATCACACACGTACTTACTGGATTGGTTGAATGAATGACAGATAGAACATCAGATGGAGGTTGGATGCAAGAGTTAAGGAATGTTAATAACATTGCCTCGATAACATTTGGTGAAGGAAGGGATTACCCTTTCGATGCGATGTTCTGGGAGAGTGCACTAGACTTTATAAGAGAAATGGATGATCGATCGGTATTCATGTCACTCGATATGGTACACGAACCTACATTCTCAATGCAACATCTGCCTCTGGTCAAACTGTCAATCAAACTTACAAAGGAAAGTCAACTACAGGTGCTGAGTGGCCTACTCCCAAGGACTCTGTCCAAACTGGATATCAATGGCGAATTCGACTCATCACTGGCCGGTCTGCCAGAGTCACTTGGTACACTCACCATTAATGCTAATTGGCACCATCGAATCACACCTGGGATGCTGCCTCCCAACTTGACAGAGCTCCACCTTGTATCTGGATACCCACAGTCCATCTTAAAGGACGCATTGCCCTCCAAGTTGGCCTGTATCGATATGGGCAGATCATTCAATCAACCAATAGACAACCTGCCGCCAAGTGTAACCGAGTTGTATCTTGGCCACAACTACGACCTACCGCTGCACTACCTCCCAGTTCAATCTCTCTATCATTATGGCAAAGCTTCATTCTTCCCAGGACAATCATTCCCTACAATAACGTCAATGTGCTTATGCCAAGATCTCAACACGATACTATCGATCACTGAATCAATGTTTCCAAACCTCGACTCTCTGATCCTCTTTGACTTGGAAGTTGATGATTGGGATTCTTTGGACCTCTCGACAATGCCCTCATCGCTGAGGCTACTTGACATTCAAGCACATGGACCAATCTCATCGCTGCCCAAAGGTCTCAAACATCTGAACACTCACTGCTACTCGGGCATGTTCGACAAAATCGATGTACTACTACCGCCATCACTTGAGTTCCTTCATCTTCACTCATATCAGCATCCAATCTCTATTGGTGATCTCCCTCAATCACTCACATCATTGTCTCTGATCGATATGTTTTACAGTCTACATCCGACCGTCATTCCTCCATCAGTCCGCACACTAAGCATCAACAGTTTCAAGAGAGGAGAGCTCTTTGAGCACCTCGACCTTTTGCTGGCAATGACATCACTGTTTGAAATCAAACTGCGACGACACCGCGACAATTATACAGCATCCTTTGAGTTGCTACGAATCAGCGATACACTATTCTTGAATCACACGGCAATGTTACCCAGCTATGGATTCATTGATGCTGCTACCATCCTTGCCAAGACCAAATAAATAACCCCAATGATCTCATGAACATATCCAGGAGTTATAATGTCATTCATTGTTCTGTTCAATTCGTTCAGTTCTCTTCTCCACTTCCAAACAGATCCTCGTATTCTTGATTGTTTGTCACTTCGTTGGCAGTGTCAATATCCATTGCGCCAGTGGTGCTCTCGGACTGATCCTCTTGCTGGTACATCTCGCCGTCAGACTCTTCTCGCTCCGATCGCTCTGACCTGTCCTTCTTGTCCTTCTTGGACTTCTTCTTCTTCCTGTCCTTCTTGCGCTCGCGCTTGGAGGACGATCGCTCGTCTTCATCGTCAGAGTGATCACGCTTCTTGTTTTTCTTCCTGCTGCTTCGGCTAGATTCCTCTTCGTTCTCTTCGCCCTCCTTCTCTCTCTCACGCTCTCTCATCAACTCCTCGAACTTGGCCTTGCCCTCGGCAGCCTGTCGCTCCTCCTCCTCCAGACGCGCCAGGGCCGTGGCCTTCCTCTCGGCCTCCACTCGTTCCTTCTCGCGTGCCTGGCGTCTCGACTCCTCGGCCGCTTCCTCGCGCTTCTTGGCGGTGGCGATCTCATTCTTCTCGAGAGTCTGGACCTCATCGCCCACTGTCTTTAGCAACTCCTTAACAGAGGAGAGATGGGCAATGCACTTCTTGGTGTCGATCATCGTCTTGGGGTTCTTGAGAGTGGCAAGCCTCTCGAACACCTGTCTGGCGTGATCCAGCTCCTTCTGGACCGTCGAGTATTCGTACAGCGTCTTCCTGGTCGATTGGATGACCGTTTGAGAGCACTTCTCAATGGCCAACGCGAAATTGTACTGCAACGCCATGTTGGCAGGTGAGATGTGCAGAGCCTTCTTCAATGTTTGTTTGCACTCTGGATATCTCTGTGCCTCAAAGTAAGCCTTGGCGAGATATAAGTACATCAACTCCATCTCTTTGGCATTATTACTCTTCTTTAAACATCCATCATACTAATTGTGATTGATTGATTGAGTTAATAAGTGAATGATCGGAATGATTCAAACAACAAACAACATACCAGTCTGATAGCAAAGTCAAAGAGTCGCTTCTGCATGTAGATGTGTGCAAGGTTGAGTGAGACTGATGGTACGTCAACAGCAGACTCGCGGAGTTGGACAAAGATGTCGGTGGCTAGTGTGATGTTGCCTCGCTCAAAGGCAACCATTCCAATTCCATTGGCTGCGTAGATGTTGGTCGGGTTGTTCTTGAGAGTCTTGGTGTAGTAGGTCTCGGCCAGAGACAGGTACTTCTCAAACTTGTCGGGATTGTGAATCTTGGCCTGGAAGTACAGGTTGCCCAGCGCCAAGCTGGCGTATGGGTCGTGCTTGTTGGTCTCGAGGATCTGCTCAAACTTGTTCTGGGCGAAGCTCCACTGCTCCTTGGACAGCTGCAGACAGCCAAACATCGACCATGCCTCCGCGTTGTTGGGATCGATGAGCAAAGCCTGCTTGCTCCACTCACTCGCCTCAAAGTCATTGCCCTCTGCACGACACAGAGCCGACATACGCAGGTAGCAGTCCAGATAAGTTGGGTGCTCAGTCAGGATGCCAATGTGCAACTCGCGTGCCCTCGTGAAGTTGTTCATCGATTCGTAGAGTCGCGCCAAGTTGTATGTCGTTGTGATGTTGATCGCTTTGTAGTCCTCGATCGTTGCGCCAGAGTCCTCAATCACCTGCATGTATATGCGCTCGGCCTCCTCGTACTGGCCAACCTTGTGCGACAGTACTCCAACATTATTATGAATCTCTGCACTTATGTCAATGCCTTCCTTCTTCAAAATCGCGATACCCTTATTGTAGGCTACAGATGTGATGTCAGTGTATGAACGAATGAATGAATGAATGATTGAGTGATTGAAGGTGTGCGCTCACTTACCATCCAAGGCGGCATGGGCATCGGTCCTCTCAAGCAACTGAGCGAGCTCGAACCAGTTGATGTAGTCGTTTGGGTTGATCTGGGTGGCTTTGGTGAGGACAGCCTTGATCTTGTCGATGTTCTTGGCCTGTGAGGAGTGTCTGTACAGACTGCCAAGAATCTGCAGTGTCTCGTAGCTGTCGGGCTGCTTCTCCAGCACTGACTCGAAGCAGGAGATGGCCTTCTCCACCATTCCATTCTTGATGTATGTTTGTCCCAAACCAAACTGGGCCAGGAAGAAGTCTGGTGTGTTGAGCACGGCCTGATGGTAGTACTGCAATGCCTCGGGCCACTTCTCGTTGGCGTGGTGCACACGGGCGATCAGATAGCACGACTCGGCCTTGATCTGGTTGGCATCGGTGTTGGTCAGCGCGGCGGCGGCCAGAGCGTGCACCTTTTGGTATTCGCCCTTGTGGAAGTAATGGTTGGCCAAGTGATTGAGCACCAGCGAGTTGGTCGGTGCCAGCTGGTAGGCCTTGGCTATGAGGCTCATGCCCTGTGCTACGTCGCCACCATTCATCAATACCAATGCCAGGCCGATCATGGCTTCGACATTGTCTGGGTCCATCGCCAACACACGTTCAAACGCCTGCTTTGCGCGCTCCATCCTGCCCAGACGGAAGTAACAGTTGCCCAGACCCAGTCTTACAGTTGGTGGGCAGTTAGGGTTCAACTGTATCACTCTCTGATAGTCCTCAAGTGCCTTATCATAGTTGCCCTTGTTGAATAATATACATGACTAATGTGATTGACTGAATGAGTATGCATTCGCGAATGATTGATTGAATGAATGAAAGACATACATTGCCAAGGAGAGCTGGTACGATGGGAGGGTTACCCGAGATGGATGGGTCAAGTACATTCTTAAAGTTGGTAAAGGCGTGATCTGTATCACCCTTGCAGAGTAGAAGGATGGCCTTGCCCACCCAGTTGAGATGGTCGAGATGATCGATCTTGTCGGCACGTGTCAGATGACTGACGGCCCTGCTGAACAAGTCCTCTCTCTTCTGCTTGACCTTCTCGACAGCACCCAACTGCGTATAATAACTAGACAGGGCATTCAATATCGCAATCCTATCATGCTTTGATTCTCTACTATCATGCTTTGAATCTCTACCATCATCAACATCCAATGAATCTGTCAATATCGATTTGAAATCATCTAATCTACCCTGTTTATAATATTCGGCCTATGATGTTCATTGATTGGTTCGACGATAGTCAGTGTATTGTTGATTGATTGAGGGTGAATGAATGCATACAGCGATCTTTAACCATAGACTTAGTGATGATCTTTCTTTCTTTAGAATGCTAACGACTTGATGTGCAGATGGTAGATTATTGATTGATATCTTTACAGACTTTTCAGACTGTTTGAGTGGTATATTAATATAATCTACAACAGTTGTTGTTGTTGCAACTGATGTTGATGAAGATGATGATGATGTACCTGTTGAAGACATCTATATAATATATAAATATAACTAGATATAACTAGATATAGAGATAATAAGTGAATGAATGAATGCCAACACGATCAAAGAATGAATGAACTTGAACAAAGGGGGCTCTTTGAAAATCAACAAAGTCCAAAACTTTGAAGTTCGCAACACTTTGCTTCAAATTCAATCATGTCCAAGAATAGAAAGAGATAAGAGATAAAGATAAAGATGGAATCATTACAATATATATTATTACAAAATATTGTATCATATATTGAATCTGATGTTGATAGGTTGATGTTATCAATGACTTGTAAGAGATTATTTGATCATCGATACAATTATTTAACATTCAACAACAATGATTTACCTTTATTTAATAACTTTAATAGATGTAAACAATGTTTACAATCTTATTGTAATATAATTAGTCAACAAATCAATAATACAAAGTTACAAAATGTATGTGTATACTCTGATGTAGACCTCTGTCAGAAGTCAGACTTTGACCGACAATACTACATCGTCATCAATCAATCAAATAGTATGTATATCTTCGCATTTGATCATTCATTCATTCAATCATACTTACACTCATATCAATCAATCAATCAATCCATCAATATAGGATGTTGGCAACAGGATTTGCTGGACATGAATAATCTAAGAAGTATTACATTCTTTGATTGTGAAGGATATCCGTTTGATTTGGAGTTCTGGCTTGGTATGGATAGCTTTCTGAAAGAGATGGTATCAAGATCAATTGATATTATTTATGAAGCAAACAATCAATTGATGCCATATTCTTTGGAGAACATACCATTCTCAACATTGAACACATTGAATTCATTCACGCCACTAGAGTACTGTTATCCAAAGTCACTCACATCATTGACCTTAATGGTATCAATCGATCTGGTTCACGTGTTTATCGGTCTGCCACCTGGACTCCGCGATCTGACAATCTACTCTGATGATTATATGTTGGAACAACCATTCGTCACTAGACGATTGCCTGCGGGCCTAAAGGTACTCAACCTTTATTGTGGCTTCAATCAAACGATTACCAAAGACTTGTTTCCGCCATCGATCGAGTTCATTCTCTTTGGTGGACGATTCAACAAACCGATAACTGAGCTGCCAGCCAGTGCCACACACCTATCCTTTGGCAATCAGTTTGCTCAAGAGTTTGATCATCAACCAGTGCGCAACCTATGGATAAACAACCCGCTAACATTCAAGCATGACATGGTCTTTGACAACCTCAACGTAATGACAGCAACACAGGCCAATCCCGAGTTTATCAGACAACTATCATCAACGACCTTTCCCAACCTTGAGCGTTTACAACTTTTGGAAGATAGCTTGACCGATCCAATCGCGCTGCCAATGGAGATGCCCTCGTTGCGATTACTACTATGCTCCATTCAAGGTCCGATCACACAGTTCCCTCAAGACATCGATGAGCTTGACTTGGGATGTGCGCCCAGCCAGTTGCTCACTCCATCGTTGTTGCCCAGTTCACTCCAATCACTGGTCCTACGTGATTACAAACACGTGATAAAGGTTGGTGATATCCCATCATCAGTGACATTACTTGGTCTATATAGTGTGGCGCACTTGCCAGAGCAAGGAACATTGCCATCAGCATTGCGATCACTCATATTGGAGGGAGAGGCCTCGACAGAGTATGTGGCTGCTACACTGGCCAATCAATCATTGGTCAACATCACTGTACACCAGCAAGTATACGGAACATTCGTATTTCATTATGAGCTCAATCTGTTTAGGATCAGCGACAACATGTTCTTCAACCATCCACAAAACAATCTTTCAAAGTATGGATTCATCCACCGCGACAATATCCTTGCACTACATGCCAAGAAGAATCGCCATCATCAATGAATATAGTTTGTTCAATAGTCGTGGTCGCCAAGGCGTCGCGTGGGTGACCAAGGCTATTGGTATATTTATTCTACTTGGTATGTCCTCATGCGGAGAACCAGTCGTACGAGACACACTCTGCTTGGAGGGGCTCATCGAATGCTCTGGCGTGGCTGTCAAGGTTGTAGCGAAGCTTGACCTCGGGAATCAGGTCACAGACGGCACCTAGGGCATCCCAAAGTTGCACGTCGAGGTCGGCCGTGCTCTCCCAATTGGCCTGCTCGTGGTTGATGTGGATGATGAACGACTCTGGTTGGACAAAGAACTTGAATCCCATAACGGCCATCGTGAATACATGAGAGTTCTTGTCAAAGCCATAACCCTTGAATACCTCGTCGAACAACTCAGTTTGGGTACGATCAAACAACAAGTATGGCTCATAATTCCATTTGTACTGCGCCTTGTACGCCATATCAGCACTGTACCATTGCTCATAATCAGTTGGACCATGGCACTTGGGGCAAACATTTAAGTCTAACATGATTGATTGTGTGATGGAGTGAGTAATTGAGTGATTGAGTGAGTGAACGAGTGATCAAAATAACTTACTTGAAGGATTGACGTGACCTTGTTTGATTAGGTCGAGGAGCTCAGCCTTAGTGTTGGGGAGGAGGCTTGGGTCGAGCGACGAGGAGAAGGATGGGAAGACAAAGGCCAGCTTGTCCTTCATTGTTTGGGCGACTTGGACGTAGGGGATGAGGTAGTCGTGGGTACCAGATGGGATGACAAAGTCAGCATCCATGATAAGGATGAAGTCGGTGCGAGCGTTGATGATGGCAAGGTTACGCAGGTTGTTGACGGGGTATCTCGTGTTATTGGCATGCATCAAATGGATGTCGGCAAACTGGAGCAACGAGGGGAAGGATGACAGCATGTCATGGAGCAATGGGATCTCACGCTCGGCATCCTTGACATAGATGGCGACGGAGACTGGTGCCTGCCAACGATCGACCATCAGGGCAACCTTGTTCAAACGATCAATTGTGGTTTGAGTGATAATTGTTATGTTGTACTCGATTGGAGTGGTGGTGGACAGGGCGGTGGCAACATGGTAGAATGGCTGGGTCGCGAATGTTGTGGTGTGGCCATCGATGAACTCTTGCTTTGGCTGCACCAATCTCTCCTTCCTGGCGATGTCCTTCTCATAGTCATAATCCATCTTGATACGGCTGGTAATGAGTTGACGTCCCTTGTTCAACATGGACTGGCCTGGCAAAGCATGGGTGTTGGACACCTTGGATAGAGTTGGTCTAACTGTTGGTCTGGGAGTTGGTTGGCGAGTTTGATTGTTCGATGTATTGTTTGGATTGATCGAAGGATTGATTGATGGATTGATCGATGGATTGATCGATGGATTAATCGATGGATTGATCGATGGATTGATTGATGGATTGATTGAAGGATTGATTGAAGGATTGATTGAAGGGTTGATCGATGGATTAATCGATGGATTGATCGATGGATTGATCGATGGGTTGATCGATGGATTGATCGATGGATTGATTGATGGATTGATTGATGGATTGATTGATGGATTGATCGATGGGTTGATGGAAGGACGAATTGATGGAGTGATCGATGGAGTGATTGATGGAGTGATCGATGGTCTGATCGATGGAGTGATCGACGGAGTTATGGACGGGGTGATCGATGGTCTGATTGATGGAGTGATTGATGGAGTGATTGATGGAGTAATCGAAGGTCGGATTGACGGGGTGATCGATGGAGTGATTGAAGGGGTTATCGATGGTCTGATTGATGGAGTGATTGATGGAGTTATTGACGGAGTGATGGACGGAGTGATCGATGGAGTGATTGATGGTGTGACTGAGGGTCTGACAGATGGTCTGGTTGATGGAGAGTGAGTTGGTCTTGGTCTCGAATCCACTGGCACACGATCATTTGGACCCTCATAAATATAAGATGTTGGATCCTTCTTTAACAATCTCTCAATGTGATCATAAACCAAATTGGTCTTTTGTTCGAGTGTTTGTTGTTCTGGTTTGGCCATCACAATTGCCAACATTGCCAAGCAGGCAATCAATGTTGCCAACGCAGTAATATTGATCTTAATATTCATAAATATTTTACAATGTAATAATAATAATAACGCTAACTAATAATAATGATATATATGTAGTGAATGAATAAATGATAAATGATTATAATATGACAGGCTTTTAGTCGAAAGATGATATTCGCGTGTGACCTGCCTGACTGCGGGTGGACGTTGCATTATCGATAATGCGGGAATCAGATAATAAATAGAGCAGCTTCCCGCCAGGCAGACGTTGGTGTCAGTCACTGACCTGACTTGAGTTAATATTGATGGTTTTTGGGAAGCGAAAACGAAAGAGGTTCTGCGCTTCCAGCCTTGGCAGCTTTTAGACCAAAATAGGAAAAATGAGTGGTGCACCCCTCACTTGGAACCCATCACTACGTCGACACTGAGCTCCTTAGAGCGGAGAATAGAAACCATCAAAGGGGGGAGCTTATAATCTGTATTCGTGTTCATGTAATTCTACAGGCACAACAGATGTCAAAGAGTTCGCTTCTCTAATCTAAAATATATATTATTATTGTATAGTATCTACCTATCACTAAAGTTATTATTAATTAATCGTTATTGTCAAGTGTTTCTGATCAAGAAAGGAGGTGAGTGGTCCATCAATCTTTCGTCGTCAAAGTGATTTTTGGGAACTTTGAAACTTGTTTTTTGAATTAATCGCCCAGGGTAAAAATGAGTGATGGTGTGATTGGTGAGTGAGAAGAGAGATATAAGATAGTTGTTCTGGAGAACTATGAATTTGTTTCATTGTTGTTGATGGCACCAAACCCAACTAGTTCATTGATTATCTTTCGTGAACGAATAACTCTTTGAATCGAGATGATGAATCGGCGGTATATTATTTAAGTGGTATCCACTAACAATCAATAGACTCCTACAAGTTTATTGTTGTTATTGTACTTTTGATCAATCAATCAATCAACTAATTATTAAATCTCTGTATCTGTTTGTCCAATCAATCAATCAAATCAAACTATTAGATCTTAAGATGTAAGTACTGATCGTTGTTGGACTAAATGTCCACCATATTTTGTTGTCGCCTATTGCAAGACCATGACCATGACTCGCGCTAAAGTCTTAATCACGCGATAGAGAGTGAGAGAGATGCTATGCTACCAACTTGACGATTCATTGAATGAATGAAGTGTGGAGCGATCAGTGATCAAAGTGATGGTCCCTCTTCTCCCTCGTTAATTTTTTTTTTGATCCACTTATTTTTTTTTATGATTTTTTCAACAACCACACCTTTTCAGCAGTGAGAGAGCCAACAACTCCCTCCCAAAGACCCAAAGCTCATCACTCATTCACTCACTTGACAACAATATCCAACACACACATCGGCACCACCAATCCCCTTTTATCTTTCATTCATTCATACATTCATTCATTTATCTCTTCTCTCTCACACACACATACACACATATACAAACGCATTTTATAATTGTAGTAATAGTCAACATCTATATATAAACACACTTTACATAATTACTCACTCTTACATACTTTATACAATCTTTACGACTTAACAGAAATACACATACATTAAAGAATGAACCCAGAATAGTATGTATTATATAATTGTTAACTCACATCATTGAGTCGTTACTAACATACTTCAACTTGTATAGCGACTACCTCTTCAAGCTCCTCCTTATTGGTGACAGTGGTGTTGGAAAGGTATGATTGAATGAATGAAGACATTGCGAAACAATTGCGACAGGACCAATATATATATATATATTCGACGAAAGACCATAATCATTCTAACATTCATTATCTCTAATATTACTTTAGTCTTGTCTCTTGTTGAGATTCGCTGATGACACTTACACAGAGAGCTATATCTCAACCATTGGTGTCGACTTTAAGATCAGAACCATCAACTTGGATGGCAAGATCATCAAGTTGCAAATCGTAAGTTATTCTTGGACTGTCCATCAAAGGTCAACAACGACATGCTCTAACACAATCATTCAAACATAACTTAGTGGGATACTGCTGGTCAAGAGAGATTCAGAACTATTACATCATCATACTACAGAGGTGCACACGGCATCATCGTGGTGTATGATGTCACTGACCACGTGTCATTCAACAACGTCAAGCAGTGGATGCAGGAGATTCAGAGATACGCCTGTGACAGCGTCACCCGTTTGTTGGTCGGCAACAAGTGCGATTTGATCGAGAAGAAGGTCGTCGAGACCGCCGTCGCCCGTGAATACGCCGACGCTGCCGGCATCCCCTTTTTGGAGACCAGTGCCAAGTCGAGCGCAAACGTCGAGGAGGCCTTTATGATTATGGCCAGCGAGATCAAGAAGCTGCAGGGTGGCATCTCGACAGGAGGAAACAACTACAACAACAACGTTGTCAAGCCTAGCTCTGGCACACCAGTTGTCAAGAAGAAGAAATGTCTCATTCTTTAAGAATGTAGTCTATCCATCTCCTCCTTCCTCTTATCAACCCCCCTGTACGACACGTTTCGAAACAACTTGGAGGCGCGCGCTCAACAACCCAGTCTAGACTCTCTCACTCTCTCTTTCTCTCTCTCTCTCCGTCGAAATGAATTGAATTGAATTGAAGGAAGCCGCCTGAAGAACGCAGCTTTCCCTATCCCATCCATCCCATCCCTCTTCAATCACCATCACCTCATACACACATACATCCAACTACTTCAACTTCCTCCACATTAGTCCACATACACAACTCCCCTTTTATTATTGTCCATTGAGTATAGGGTCCCTGGCTTCCAGGTCCATGCTTAACAGTCAGTCAGTTTCATTCAATCATCCATCACAATCAATCAATCAATCAATTAGTCAATCGGTATTTATTCGTTCAACTCATCCATCTCAATCAATCAACAAACAAGGTATTATAATAATAGTAGTATTAGTTAACTGTACATTTAAATGACAACAATCATACAGTAATGACAATAAAGGTATTAGTTAGTGTTAGTATATATTCTTTGTCCTTGTTCATAACCATATTTGGTCATACAGATTCATACCAAGAAATTGACATCTGTCCAACTTCTAATACTTGTTCACTACTCAAGCTCTTCATTTCAATATTAACTAAATATATGTAAGTAGTTATAATTAAGAATGGAAGATTACACTGATTTGTATTATGTAGATGAGACAATAGAAAAACAAAGGACAAAGAGGATACATTGGAAATTCGAAGACCAAGAGGTATCTATACACTCTGTCAACTCGAGAAATGAACTCATTGGTAGTGTACTCGAACAAACTCTAAAAGAACAGATAGAGACATGCTCCAAATCAGTTGGAAGGATATTCTGGAGATATGATAGCGGAGACATTGATTATGATCCAATCTGGTGTTATGGAACTGGATTCAATGTTAGTGAGAACATGGTTATAACTTCCAAACATGTCCATAAGAAAAGTACTTTAGGTTACTCTTTGAGCAACATTTATATATACTATGGAGTAGACGCTACTGATGGAGAAGTTGATACTGATCACATTCAAGAGAATCCAAATGCTTATGAACTTTGTCCTTCTCAGCCAATATGGGAATTGGATTTCCCATTGATAATACTCCAATTCGTTAACAAAGTTCCAAAGGAGATCCAATATATTATTCCTCATTTCCCTCCAGTTGAATCTCCTCATTATTTTCTGATTGGATACCCTCAATCAGTATCTTTCAAGAAGCTCAGTGATGACAACCTCCTGAATTACTCTGAGAACGACCTTGTAGTGCTTCACCAGGATTTGAGGAGCAATCCAAAAATCAACGAACATCTGGTAGTGATAAATGTTACAAAGGTCAGACAAGAGTCAATATGGGACTATCTAAAAGGAGTCTTTAAACTTCGAGGAGTTGCTGGTGGACCAATAGGATCTCCTTTGTCATATGGAGAGTTCGTTGGCGTACACTTCAATGGTGATCAATCAAAGGAGAACATAGCCATCTCTATTACGAATCCAGACTTTGCAACTATGTATTTCCTAAATATTGCCACTGACGACTTTATCCATAGACATCCAAGTCTTCAACTCTACAAGAAGTTCTATCAGGACCTCAAGTCTACACATTCCTGAGCACTCAATCAATCAATGTCAACAACAAGACGATGGAGGGGGACCATTGGTAATACATTGACAGCTTTATATTCGAGTTAAGCAGTAGAGCAGTTGGTGATATCTTGATTACTTTTAACCAAAGAGCTTTGACATTTTGGAGAAGAGACCAGTGGGCTTGGGCTCAATGAATCTGAATGGTTTGGGATCACCGAGGAATCTCTCGACAACATCGCGATAGGCCTCAGCGGGATCCGATGCCTTGTCCAGTGTGATGACGGGACGACCAAGGTTGGTGCACGTCAGGATATCTTGGGACTCTGGCACGACGCCAATCAGCTTGATGCCAAGGTTCTCCTGTATATCTTTGACGGACAGCATGCCGCCACTCTCAGCACGCTCTGGCGAGTATCTTGTGATGAGCAGGTTAAGCTTGATTGGGTCCTTGCCCTCGAGCGCACGCTTCGACTTGCTTGCCAGGATGCCCAACATCTTGTCAGAGTCGCGCACAGATGACAGCTCGGGGTTGGTGCAGATGATGGCCTGATCCGACCAGTACATGGCGTGGTGGGCGCCACTCTCAATGCCAGCAGGTGAGTCGCACACAATGTAGTCGAAGCTCTCGCGCAGCTCGTCCAACACCTTCTCGACCGCCTCCATCTTGAGTGCAGTCTTGTCCTTTGTCTGCGATGCGGCAAGCAAGTACAAGTTGGGGTTCTTCCTATCCTTGATCAAAGCCTGTCTCAGTGTGCAATCGCCATTCAACACATTGATAAAGTCAAAGACTACTCTACGCTCCATTCCAAAGTGAATGTCCAAGTTTCTAAGACCAATATCTGTTGTTGATCGTTGATGTTGAGTGTGATCGTGTTTGTTCGTGTGAGTGTCGGGTAGGGAGGGATAGTCCCTGGTGTCGATCAAGTCTAGTCCTTACCAAAGTCAATAACACATGTCTTGAAGCCTTTCTCTGCCAGACCATATGAGAATGAACTGCTGCTTGTTGTCTAGATATGTGATGTGTGAGTATGAGTATGATTGAGTGATCACATTTGATCATGATATAGGGAGACATACCTTGCCCGTGCCACCCTTGCCAGAGGTGACAACAATGATCTTCTGGTCATGTGGTACAGTGGGAGCCACTGAACAGTATAGTCTGATTGTAGTGGTGGTTGGTGCACCAAATGATTGATGTGGACGAATCAAACCCATCATCAATGGTGTCGATGATTGACCTGTCCTGTTCACAGTACCAACAACACTTCTGAGTATCCTTTGATTCATCATCTTAATGTTGTTTGTTGTTATATATTGATGTGTAAGAATGATTGGAAGAATGAATGTTTGATTGGTCCTGTGGTGGGCCTTGTGAGGCCATCAAAATCGCTTTTGAAAAGATAATGATGATGAAGTTGTGTGTGTTTGATCACATTTTTATTCCGTGTTGACTCTATAATGCATGGATGACACAACTAGTCCATTGGCAATTAGTAGACGTTGGTAGGACTTGTAGTTGTGCTTGGCTAATGGCTGGACAATTGGACTGTACTTCGTCTGATAGACCTGGCTATGCCTGTTGAATGGCTGTATGTTGGCATCAACGGTGATGACTGTGTCTTTGTTCAGGATTTGATATCCAGCTATCCATGATAGTTTGGGCGGTGGGATGAATGATTTGGACCAAGCTGTCGGCAGCTCACTGACCAAGTCTAACAACGTCATGTACAAAGGCAGGTTGATATTGACTGCCGACATCATTCGTTTGATTGATTCAGTGTCGAGCTTGTTGTCTGGATCAATGCGTTCCCAGACAAAGGGGAAGAAGTCGCAATAACGTTCGGCATGTGTATGATATCGTCTGCAGGACTCAAGATAGGAGACTACATCATCAAAGAGGAAGTATCCAGCTTTGGCCACAGGGTGGCGTTGAAGGTGATCGTCTGTGCTCAGCAGGAAATCAATGGCCTCCTTGTTCATGCCACTCATCGCCTTGTTGATTGTCATTGACACATGATATTTATAGCCATGATCGATGAGGTACCGCAGCACCCTGACGTCTCCAGACCGCTGACACACCTCCTCAAAGAGGCTGAGGTGAGCCGTGTGAGGGGTATCGTAAAGCCCGGTCATGATGTCATACCCGCCAGGTAATACGGCCGCCGTCTTGAACATGGCCAGCTTGCTCTGTGACACCCATGTCCCTACTGCTTCAAAATGTCCATACTCATTCATCATTTGCAATGTGTCCAAAGTTGACTTGTATGTGCCACCCTTGGGATACATCACTCTGATCTGGCCAGGTTTGAGAGTTGAGAATACCAGGCGTTGAGTATCCAAGTCGCACTTTGATATATCTTCCATATCCAATAATAATGATCTTGGTTGGTTGTCTTCTCCATTCTTCATTGTTGCAGTTGTTGTTGTTGAGAAATGATTGATCAAAAGGAATTGAATGGCTTCAGAGTATTGTTGATTGATGGCATCATTCAATGTATTATGAATCGATACCATTGAACAATAATCATTCTGTAAATGTGGCATTGATACCGCCAAGCGTGGATCAGAGACCGCCTGTTCCAACCGCACGAGTACATCCATTCTTCTGGCCATTATCGCCTGCTTAAACAACTTGTTGATTTTAAATGTTACAACATCTTCTGATTGATCTTTGAGATTGATTGATTGAATGGAGCGGAGTGATTCCAACGGGTTAGTGTTTGAATGTTTGATTGACGCGGAGGCATCATGATACATACCATTGGTTTCCAGGAGCCAGCTGATCATATCCACTGTTGAATCATTCATCTGTAGTCCATGGATGGACCATCGAGTGTATTCTTGGTATGTTCCCATGGCATTGATTCGTAATGGACCATAATATTCGATGAGATAACGAGCACATTCAAAGTGTCCATTGTCCAATGCCTTTTTTAAAAGGTCTACGCGACCAATGGAGAATGGACATTCATCGGGATGCTGGGACAAGTCCATCTCACTGATGGTCTCAACAAGTTGAGGATGGATATGTTGAAGGTAGTCCATATTGCCATTTTGTGCAGCCATTGCCAATAGCTCATCCAATACGAACTTCTGGTCAACTGAAATTTCTGGCAGTTGATAGTCGAGTGCGTCGAGCACACTGGCATCTGCATACTCTGCCAATAACTTGTGATAGATGACCAACTCTGTTTGTTTATCGGCAAGCTCCACGAGTCGCAAGGCCACACTACATCGCCTGTTGAGCAAAGCCAGACCCAGCAGCTTGAGATAGAACTTGCCCTCAAGCTCACGTGTTTCCGTCAGTGTGTGATAGAAGTCAACCAGCTGGAGGATGTCCTCGTCTCTTGCCTGTCCATGTCCAATCTCCATTTGAACAAAGAGTCGATTGTGATCGTCCTTCTCCAGCTCTCCAACCGAGGCGGGCATGCCCATGTGATAGAGTATAACGGCACGATGTCGCCAGTTTCGTGTCACTATCTCTTTGAACAGGTTGACGTCTGCATGTCGACCCAGCGCAGAGATGGCCATTAGCTTGACGAGTGAGGTTGGTGCAGGCCAGGGCGCATCGATGATCAAGTTAATGAATGCACGGCTCAAGTAGATCTTGTCGTGTTCAATGCCCAGATGCAGGTCTTTGATGAATTCATTAAAGTGCAAGTCTGACAGAGGACTGGTGTTGGTGTTGGGGTCGCCAGTATTTAGCAATGGCAGTCGCAAGTGATCAATGATATATCCAAACATTAGATGATTGTTGGTCTTGAGGCATTGTGCAAGAGTGCGTTTGATCGTCTTGATCAAGTATCTTGTAACGTCATTGTGTATGACGCCTTCTGGTTCCTCGTCATTGTCATTGTCATTGTTGGCAATTTGTTTGAGTGCCGTACATAACATATCATAGCCAACTCCACCACCGCCACTTATTGTACTGCCTCTAGCATATAGTTGTTCAAAGTATAGTTTGAACCTTTTGTCTTCTTTACATGCTAGACATGTCTCTATACTGACCATATCACGTCCACGACAGGCCACCAGTCCCAGCCTACCATGTATCCAACTCATACATCCAAACACATAATCTCTTGTAATAACATTGATCAACAATACATGTCTTAACAGTTGATCTATATCTCTCTCCATCTCTATCTTTATCTGTTTGATCAAATGAGTGACTGGATGGGTTGGCTCATCAAACAATCCAACTCCAATTCCAAGTTTTATCTGTTTCTTCAAGTAGCGCGACACACTAACTCAGAGAGTAGTCGTCGCCGTCTCATTTATTAAGCCGCTCGTGCGAGCTTTCATTCATTGTACATGTATATATATATTAATCTAGATATTGTTGTTGTTGTTAGAAGTCTGAGAGCCTTCCTTTCCTCTCCCAGTCTCCGTATCTTGTTGGTTCTGGTCCGGTTGGACCACCACGTTCGCCAGTCTTTGGATTGATGTACTCCTTGTTGAACTCTGCCTCCAATGCTTCAATCTCTGCGATCAATCTCTTCTTCTCTTCACTTAGCTCTGGTAGTGGTTGTTCATCTGTATCTGATGTTGATGTATTGTTGTTGTTGATGTTGTTACTGCCGAAGTATCGTTGATGTCTTGACGTCTTGAACATATTGCTGTAGCAACAAGTCATCGTTGAACGTTGAGAGTATGAATATGTAAGATGTGATAGTCTATTCATCATAATGCAATCAGTTAACTGAACTATATGTATATAAGTATATAAGTTGATTGAATGAGTGAGTGATGTCATCAAACAATACCCATTCTCCACTTTCAATCTCACTCATGACCACCAACATCTTCTTCTTTTTAGTGGGTCGATGTGGAACATGCGGACAAGATGTGTGTTATGTTTCGTTTCCCGCCAACCGTTGGATTGATGTACTGATGGGTGGATGTCATTGTGATGTGGTTGTGGGTGATGTATGAGTGATTGTTTGATTGATTGGAACAAACACACTGACCAACACAACCACACACAACCCTAACACACTCACATTAATCAATCAAATCGGACGATTTAGATGTTAGGTTGATTGATTATATCTTCAAATCTAGATATGTGTTAACAACACTTGTAGATCCGACCATGAGGATTGAGTATTGTGTTGTGTTAACTTGTTGTTGTCCACATATTCATTCATTCCAATGACCTGCCTGATTGTATGTTTGATTGATTGATTGATGTGTTCATTATAATCAGACGACTTCAACATCTTAACACACAAACTCAATCTATTAGATAGATAGATAGATAAATAGATATATAACTTCAAAGTTATAGAGAAAGAAGAAGTATTGTGTGTGTGCGTGTGATTGTGTGATTGACTCGATATTATTTGATCGATTCCTAAAGGTCGCAATTCTTTTCGCCCCCTCCAGCTACAGCACCACACTCAGTGCTGGATTCGAGACCCATCAAACTAATCAAAAGCAACAACACTCTACAAAAACACAACCCAATCTGGGTTAAGATTGTGCCACGCAAGCCATTTAAGGGCCTTCTCAGTCAATCATACATCAATCAGTCAATCAGTCAAACTACCCACAACCTAGATTCATTCAATCATTCATTCTTTAACTTAGTATTAGTAACATAAAAATATAAAATAATCAACAATAATCATTTGACCAACGATGTCATCATCGTCCACCTTAACATTGTCAATGGATGGAGCGTCACTACATAGAAGCACTGGTATGTTGTTGAGTCGATCGAATGGAATGGAGTCGAATGATTGATCACTTGCTGACAGACCCTCTCCCTCCTATCAATCATCTTGGAATAATTCCACCACTCATTCAATCATTCAATCAATCAATCAATCAATCAATCAATCAATCCAGACAGCCAGTTGGAAACGACAATCAAAGAGTTGAATCAGAGGCTTGAACAAGAAAAGATGAAACAGGCATCAATAGAGCGAGAGAATTTGGAGTTGAAGAGACGTCTACAAGAGATACAGAAGGTACAAGAGCCACAAACAACAAGTTCAGCTCTATCACAGGCACAACAAGGTCAGCAACATACTGGAAATGTCACTCCACCTGCTTCACCACCCGTCCATGGCACAGTCGATCACAAGGACATCCAGCAGACAATATCAAAGTTTGAGGAACAGGTACTACAACTTAAAGAGGCACTTACAAAGAGAGGTCCTTCGAGCGATTCGTCGTCGTCTCGACCAACATCCAGTTTGCCACGCGCGTCAACTTCAACCTCCACTTCCACTTCACAACACACTGCTTATACAACTGCACCTGGCAGTGTCCAACATCTACTACTTCAAAGTAAGGTGGACACTTTCGAACAGAAGTTGTCATCAATAAGGAACATTCTGGTTGACCTGTCTGGTCAGGCCAGATCATCCACGGCGGCAACGGTCGACTCAAATGAAAAGGTCGAGGACGCACCACCACTGGCGTTGGCAAGCACGAATGGCGACGAGAAGTTGGCCGAGCAAACACAAGAACAAGATGTGGAAGAGCATGAGGTGAAGGATGGAGCAGCGACAATTGTATATAAGAATAACGAGGTGGAGAGCGACATGGAGAATGAGGTGGAGAATGAGGAGGAAGATGTTGTTGAACAGAAGAAACAACATGATAGTGTACATACAGAATCAACTACAACTGTGGCCATTGGTGTGGCCGAGCCAGAGCCAGCGTCAGAGACAGAGACAGACCAAGCAACAAACGCAAACACAAACACAAGATCAAACAACGAAGAGATGATAGCTAAACTGTTATCGGCACAGGTGGAGGTTGTCAAGCAAAGTGGATCGGTGCTGAGGTCATCGATCATTGATATGTTTGATGTGTCATCGCTACCAGATGTACCCATGACTACTCCAGTGATGGGACATGCACGTGGCAGCACAGGATCCAATCACTCACAGTCGTCCAAGGACCGAGACTCCATCTCATCATCCTCATCCAAGCACAGTCCAATACTTCCACGCGATAGACATAACAGTAACAACAGTACCAGCAATAACAGTAATAGCAATAGTAATAGCAACTACTCTCCAAATACATCTGCTGGCTCAATTCATGGTCATGGTCATGGTCATGGTAGTCAAGGCAGCCATGGAATGCTCAGCAGTATTAGCAGTAGCAACGAAGAGGCCAATGAGGCGGTCACTACATTCAGCATGAAGGTTGTCTCGTTGAATGAGAATGTGGTCAAGGAGGGCATACTCAAGAAGAAGGGTGGTGGCGAAGGCGGCCGCCGCAATTGGACGACCAGATGGTTCCGGCTCAAGGTGGACACGCTGGCCTACTACAAGAAGCGCACGGGTACCTCGCCCAAGGGTGTGATCAAGCTGAAAGGCGCACGAGTAGAGACTCACAGTGGCAAGCCATTTGGAATCGTACTGCTATCCGGCATGAATGAGAAGAACATCGTGCGTGACTACTTATTAATGGCATCATCAAAGAAGGAACAAGAGGAATGGATTGTCGCCATCAACGATGTCATTACAAAACTAGCACTTGGCACTCCATCAACCAGTAGTGCCACCACTCTAATATCGACTACAATAACTAATAACAATCACAATAAACAACAATGAAGTTATTATTATATACATGTACATGTATACATTACATTATTACTTTGAGCCATTGGACATTGGACAATGACATTGTCTCAACAAACCCATAATTCAAACAAGTTGACATGGTCAAACTTCGAAATGAGTAATGATCACCTAATTAGTTGTCCATTCCTAAAGTAGTAATGTATCCTTTTATATATATTCAGATCCCACTTCTACTACACATTCAACCACATCGACCAATCAACTCATCAACTCACCCATCAACCCATCAACCAACCAACCAAACAACCTCAATCGGGTGTACGTCGTCGACAGTAAACAGGATGACAAGCCCTCTCCCACTCACATCCACACCTCAACACACTCACTCTCTTCACTACAACTGAACTAACTCACCACATCACGTCGTTGGCAAGTTAAGGCAGCAAAGCGACTTTAGATAACTCAGATGGCCAATGACCATGCTGCGGCCTACACATTCGCGCCATCTAATCAATCATTAGGGGGTTAGTGCCACCACCTTTAACACTATGAATGCAAGGAGGAGGAAGGATGCATTTCATGGTAAACCCGGGTTGTTGGTTGTGTCTGACTAAAGACGACCCTACCCTACCTGTAAGCTCACATTGGCCCATAGCATCTTGTAAACAATCAAACAAACACTAACTATCTCTCTGTCGTTGCCTCTCCATCTCCCCACCTTTATACATGTCAACAAGTAACACACACACCAATCTTGGTAATAGTTACTAGTAGTAGAAGTAGTAGTAGTATAAGTATAAGGATAATCATAGCCTGATCAAGGCATCCTGGCCAATCTCTACGGTGTGTGTTAGTGTGAGCTGGTAGCTATCTATCACCTATCTTGGCAATTGTCCATCCATCCCGCACATCTGTTGCATGTTGTTCATGGGTAGTTGCCACCACCCCCTTCAATCCATCCATCCAATCCATCCATTCAATCCATCCATTCCAGTCATTATCCTTTACTAGTAGTTGTACATACATAGAGATAATAGTTAAAGAGATAGAGAGACATATACACATACCATTCACACAACTCACTTACTGACTTTGGCTGGATGAAGTAGTAGTTGTTGTAGTAGTAGTGAGTCCAAGTTGTTGTGTCCAATGTTAAATTGACATCATCATAGTAATGTTGATTTATAACAATAGTAGTAGCAACGGCAGTTGTAACAACAATAATAGTCACAACAACAATAATAATATTAATAATAATAATAATAATATTAATAATAGTCCCGGAGGCACTGGAATAGTGTCTGGACATAACAACAACAACATGCGTACATCATCATCGTCCGTACCAACGGTAAAGAGCTCCACCCCTGTTAGTTCTTCAAGCTCGAATGATAATCACCAAAGGTATATGAAGCTCTATAAGACTGTTGAGTGCCAAACCGTACAAAAGAAGATGATCTGTATCAAAGATAGAGATTGGTAAGTATTACTTGTAACTTACTCTGGTAGGTTGTTTAATTAATTTGAATTGATTAACTAATATCTTGCCTTTCCAGTTTCTACTATCACAAACATGAGGAGATGAGAAGAAGTCCATATGGTCCTGATGGAGTAACAATCGTATACTCTCACACCACGTGTCAAGAGAAGTGTGGCAAGCCAAATGTAAGTTCTATACTTCCTGGATCAACTCCATAATCACTAACTTACTAACAATGACCAATTACCAAGTGTAAATATGCACATAACGATGTCGAGGTTATGTACCATCCATACATATATAAGACCAAGCCGTGTAATGACCATGATGGACACAACAAGACCTGCAAGAAGGGACGATGGTGTGCCTTTGCCCATGGAGAGGATGACCTCAGAGTGGTAGCAAGGTTCAACAACAGCAACGGGGTTGGCAATGGCAGTGTCAATGGCACCAACGGTTGCAGCAACGGAGCCTCCAATGGTCTGAATGGAAGTGGCAATATAAAGAATGGCTATCGCTCTGTTCCACTCACAACTGTCAATGGTATCCTCAACACCTCGGTTCTCAGCACCAACCTCCAGTCCAGTGTCAATGAGTTGTCCCCAAACTCCTTGCTCTATCCGGACTACTATGACAGTCACACCCTTCAAATGAAGGTAAGTTCTACTCTTTCATGAGTACTGTACAACAATACCAATTCAAACACATTACACTATAGAGTCTCACGATAAGATATGGAGTTCTCAAGGTTGACAAGGAGAACAATCTCAACGCATATCTTGACCTGTCCGCCAGCGTCTCACCATCCAGTGACGCGCAGAACAATCCCAACGAGAGGGTTGTCATCACTGGACTGCTCAACCGCAACCGTGCATTCGATGGAGATATAGTCGCTGTTGACCTCTCCTCAGTGGATGATCCTGGACTCATCCAAGGCCTCCGTGTCGCTCAAGAGCATCTGGACCGGGCTGTCGAGCACATCCATACTCATGGACTACCCTCGGACTCACACCTCAAACAACACGCGAACCTGGACGCCGCCAGGGAGGGACGAGTCGTATCCATCATCAGTGCCAACCATAGACAGACCTACACATGTGTCCTGAGGAAGAGCATTGGTGATATTGCATACCTGGCACCAGTTGACCACCGGTTGATTGGAGCTATTGCCACCATATCCATGAGATCGATGTCCAACTCCAAGGGCACGCGCGACTACTATGAAGTCACTGTACAGGGTTGGCCAGCCAACCAACCATTCCCATTGTGCCAGGTAACCAATGCCGTGGCCTGCATCGATGAGCTATCGCAGAGTGTATCAGTATGTATCAATCAGTCATCTTCCTCTGCTGCCCACGGCAACACCTAACTGACATCCAACAATCACCCCATAGATATTGAAGTCTGAGAATAAGCTAAACGTTCCATTCTCCGATCAAACCGAGTCAGAGGTCAAGTTAATCAGCTTGAAGGCGATGAACATCAACAATGTCCAACAGAGAAAGGACCTACGTAATATGTTGACCTTCTCTGTGTCACACAAGCCCGAGATACAAACACTCTTCTCCTGTTGCCAGTTGTCAAACGGTAACATCAAAGTAAGTTCTTGATTGAATCTCAAATCCACTACCATTGTTTACTAACACCCTCATACATTCACACATAGTACTACGTCCATGTGACTGATGCATCATTCTACATCAAGGCCAAGTCTGTCATCGATAATGAAGCCTCTGCTAGAGGTAGCCAAATCGATATGGGCAGCTACACATCACACATCCTTCCAGCTGATGTCATCAAGACATTGAGCCTGCAGCCTGGAAAGGACTGTTGTGCCATCACTATTGAGTGGGAGATGCACAACAATCAACCGACGAGCGAGAACTATGTATATCAATCAGTGGTCAGCTCGTCGGGCAACCTCACCTATGACGATGTTAGAGGTATCATCGAGAATGATACGCTTGAGCACACCAAGATGATCAAGCAGCAAGCACATCGTGTCAGGGACCTCATTGGAGACATCAAGAGACTCTACAACAACATGAAGTTGTTCCACAACAAATACCGAGACTCCTCACTCACGCCACTCACTGGCGAGACGTCCATCTACCACGACCTGACCGACCAGATCAAGCAGATTGCCAACTACATTGCATGCAACGTCAAGAATCTCCATCATGTGATCTATGTCAAGTCGATCCAAGATCTGCCACCAAAGGTCGCCGAGCATCTCAAGAGCAGCCACGAGAAGCATTCAATCAAGATGAACACCAACCAATGCACCATGGCTCAGTTGTTGGGTGACCTTGATGGCCATGTAATGGCTCAGCAATACATCCTCCAGCTGGACAAGCAGACCAGGGTCAGTAGCTACTCGACCAAGGAAGGCAAATACCTCCAATATCCATTCTCCATGGATATCACCAGTCCGCTCACGAACTACGCCGATCTACACAACCAGAGGATGCTCGTCGCCGCCATCAACTCTACAATCAACCCCGACAGTCTGTTGTCAGACCATAAGACCGTGAGCCTCCCTGACAAGTTCCAATCTCTTGTCGAATTGACCAATCACCTGGAGATGTGCCAGTCATTGAAGACCAGGGTGGAGAGACTGTATGCCAACATCTGTACATCTAATCAGATTKGTCAAGAAGCCTATCACAATGGATGGAGTGATGGTCAGCTTTGAGGGTTCAATCATTGGCATTTGGATCGAGAATATTGGCAAGACACTCTACATTGATCTGCGCTACATCAATGGATGCACATCCACCTGGATCCGCACCAATCGCCATCTACTCGTCATGTGGGATCCAAGTAGCACAGTGATCGACTGTGTGGACTGCCCAGTGAAGAAGAGTCTGTATCATTCACAAGATGGAATGTTGTCGTCCTCTGCCGTCTCATTGTATCCGATGCAACACATGGACAATCCCAAGCAGTTGGTCACCCTCAAGCTCAGTGTATACGATCCCATCCAAGTACAAGTATCATCACTTGCCAATCATCTTCGTCCCAAGTTCTTCATCCACCAACTCTGCAGCCTGAAGAACACAGTCCCATTGTGTCATGAGCACTTGACGGTATGACCAACATCATCTTCCAACCATCAATCACAAAACACTAACACCAATCCACTCAACCAAAGAACAAGGAGATATACATGCTCAGCAAGTATCCATTTGAGCCATCCAAGACCATAGACACTGACTCTACCTACATGAATCATTGGAGTACCTTAGTTGACATCAACTCTACTCATGTAAGTCCTTCACCTCACGATCCATAATGCTTACCCAACTCACTAACTCACACAATGACAACATTAACAGAAGAGCATTGTAAGGTCAAACTCAGTGTATGCCTTCAATGTGACAATATCTTGGAGCAAGAAGAAGAAGAAGTATGTTGGATCGTTCAACGTACCATTGAACCAATCGCCTCTGGCCAAGAGGATCAGTCGTGGTGACTTCCTCTGTCTACGCTATACCAATGAAGACAAGACCATCCAAGCCCTTCACACATTCATCACCAAGGCCAACTATGAAGAGAAGTGTGGCCGAACTCTCTGCAAGTTCTCCATTAGGTCCGCCAAGCTCACTCAGAAGGTCTTTGTATTGGTACGTCGCTCACTTATTCATTCGCTCACTATCAACCCTCATTCACTAACACGAATACATATAGGAGATAATATTCAGAGATGAGTTCAATCGCAACCTCATCAATGGTGTTCAAAGCTTCACTGAGCTGAACACAGAGTTGAAGGAGATCATATTGGATCAGAAGCCATTCCAATACCACAACAACTTGGGCATCGACAACCTAAAAATCAACCTCACGCCAGAGCAACAGAAGATCATACAACAATGCATCAACTATCCCCTGACGATCGTTGAGGGTCCACCTGGAGCAGGGTAACTATACATCACTTCTCTTCCCCTCAGGCACACTCACTTATAATTACCTCCATTCTCCAGTAAGTCCACCATAGCATCACTCATTTGTCGCGTGGCAGTTGGTGACCCACAGAGCAACAATGGTATTGTACCAAAGGTGTTGCTGTCTGGTCCAAATGATCATAGTGTGGACTGGTCATTCAAGAAGTTGATGAGAATGTTCCCCAACATCAAGGCACTGCGTGTCTACAAGTCACCACTGGATGAATCTGCCGAGTACATTGTACCTGAAGATATCAAACCATACTCGCTGCACTACCAAGTCAAGGTGGATCCTGTGTCCTCCAACTCCAGGGACAGAGAAGGAATATGTAAGTCACAAAACAACATCCATTGCGGCCAAGTCCACTAAAACTCACCTCAACTACCAGTGCTGAACGATGCAAAGGTCATATGTTGCACGTCAGATGTATCAATGGAGAAGCGTATCACAGACCTGAACATACCTTGGGTGATCGTGGACAATGCCAACCAAGAGCTTGAGCCTACCACCATTTGCAAGTTGAACAAGGCCAGACATCTAGTCCTACTTGGGGACTCAATAACAGACATCCATGGTAAGTATTCTCTTACAACTCAATCACTCATTCAATTAATCTAACAACAACCAATGTTTAGACTCTGAGGTATCAATCAAGAAGCATGATCTCACGACCATATTCACAACACCGTTGGCCAGAAGACTAAAGAATGTACCCACCATCAAGATCTACCCAACGCATGCAACTCCAATGGTGTTCAATGACCTTGGCGACCTACCTTATGATCCGAAGTCTATTGTGGCTGTAAGTATTGTATGATACATACCACTTCATTGGACACCAAACTAACTCGTCCAATCAAGAACACCAAACCACTACTATCCTTCTTTGATATCAGTGACTCTGAGGAGAAGTTAGATATCAAGGACTTTGATTCAAAGGATGAGCACCGCTGCTCCAAATACATCAACGAAAGAGAGGCAGCATTTGTAAGTGACACCAGGTCCATAGATGAATGATTAGACACTAACACTTTGTCACTGCAATCAGATCTCCTACCTTGTCAACAATCTGGTACGAAACAATAACGCCAATGCATCGACCATCACGGTCATATCACCCTATTGTGCACAGAGATGGCTCATTCGCCGATACCTCAGCAACTACAACTTTACTGATATCAAGGTTATGTCGCACATTGAAGCAGCCTATACTAGGACTGATGTAAGTTGCCCATGCACCTCCACGATGTTGAACATCCACTAACCAATCACAATATCTCCATCTCTAGTGTGCCATTGTTTCCTTGGTAAGGACAAGCCCAGATGATCCCATCTCATTCGATAATGAGCAATACTTCGTATGTATTCACAATCTCCCAATATCCCAAATGGTTCTCTCACTGACTATCCATCAATCCATGTTAGCTACGAAACCTCCTGCTAACAACCAAGGGACTCATCTTTATTGGCAACATCAATTGTTTGGAGAACAACTACAGATGGAAGTCCTTTGCCAGCAAGATCAGACAGCTAAAGGTGTACAGTCAGACCAACATGAGCTCCATGACCAATCCAATCTTCACGATGGTAGAGACAGAGAACCTGTTCAAACTCAACGTCTACCAAACTATCACCTCCAACTTCCAAGGCTTAAGTATCCACAACTGACATTCATTCAATTGTCCGTCGTTGGCAACTTCCAGCAGCCTCCAAWTCACCCATCCATCAATCACTCCAACCCTACGATCAAGGGTCTGTTGCTGAAGACAGTCTACCTGTCCAGTCAACATCACATCACATCATATCACAAGAACGAGTCTCTTACCATAACATTCCTACACTGTGTAGTAGTATAGTAGTATTGAGGTAAAGACACACTATTTATAACTTGTATACTTGAATTGATCTGATTGATCGCTTTATTATAGTCTTGGTACAACAACAACATGATTATATATTTGTATTATTAATTAATTATATTTACCACTTGAATGATTCATTCCTGATTGAGCAAGGCATGGATGTTAGTATCATCTCCATGATGACGTTGTCAAATGCAATAGTCTCGAGACAACTTACAAATAGATGAACTTAGAAGTACTCCCTGCCTTCCTTCATGATCTTGTTCTGGATGCGCTTGCCATATGGAGTGTTCTTCAACATGGCTAGGTGAGGACGAATGGCCTCGACCAACTTGGTGTGCTGATGTGGCTCTGCGATGCTCAACGAAGTCTGAATGACGTAGTTGGCAAATGGATCCTGCAGCAGGTTGGCAAGGATATCGCAGTCGATGAGCTCTTGAATTAGGTGGCCTCGCGTGCTGGGGTCGGCAACGTTCAGACACTTCTCCACGACGTTGGAGGAGAACTTCTGGGTGGCGAGGATGGGCACGTGACCCAGGAAACGCTTGGACATTTCGGTAGCCAAGCCTGGAATCTGGAGGTCCAGCACATACTGGACAACGTAGTTGCCGAATGGATCCTGCACCAGCACCAGTGCGTTCGATATGATCTCGTTGATCAACTGCTTCTTCTGCGATGGCGAGGCGTTGTCGATGCAGCGCTGCAACACACAACATCCATGACGATGCGTGGCCACCGAGATACAGTTTGGTGTCGTCGAGACAGAGTCGTAAATGAACTGGTTGTCTTCGGGCGGCAACTTATTCAAGCACTTCTGGATGACGTGGTTTCCGTTCAGGTCTTGAATCAACTGAACGACGTGGTTGGCCAAAGCCTTCTTGATCAGGGCAATCTGCTCTGGGTATGTAAGGAACTCGATCATCTTCTGGACGGCACGCGTGCCATGCATGTTCATAGAGATGCGCACAATGTCTGGTCCGACCTTCTCGATGATGGAGAGACTCTGACGATTGTTGCAGTGCTCCAAGAGCTTCTGGCACAGGTAGTTACCGAATGGGTCGGTCATCAACTCGAGCATGTACTCGCAGACCTCCTTGAAGATCATCTCGGTCATCTGCTCGTCGCCCTCCTCCAGCTTCTTCTGCAGGAAGCGGCAACCATTCTGATCGCGACACAACGGGTAGATCAAGCCGGCGAGCTGCTCCACTGAGTTGTACTGCTTCGAGGCGATGAACTCGATCTTGGCGTTGATGTCAACGGAGGCCTGTGCTCCGGTGTTTGATGCCTGGTTGTTGACGATGGACTGCTGCTGCTTGTTCATGCCCATGTTTGCCTGCTTGGCGTTGGAAGACTGCTGCTGCTGTGGTTGCTGCTGCTGTTGTTGCTGCTGCTGTGGCTGCTTCTTCTCGGTCTGGGCGCCAGTGTCTGCATTTGGAAGACTCTTTCTCTGGTTCTTGTTCCTTGTGTTGCCACCTCCAGCATTGTTGTTTGCGCTTGCATTGCCGTTGTTGTTGGCAACATTGCCGTTGCCGCTGCCATTGTTCGATTGCTTGCTGGTTTGGACTGGGGCCGCGGGGGTGGGCGACTGGTGGTTGGACATTGGAGCAGACGAACCTGGTGACTTCTCAGACATCTGTTGCTGGCGCTGGTACTCGGACTTCTCGGCGCTGTCGTGGACAAAGTTGCACTTGAATCCTCTGCTGCAGTAGCCCTGGGTGTAGTATCGGCACACCTGCGATGGCGACGAACTGTCGCCACTGGTGCTACTGTTGGGTGGGGTGGGCGTACGGGATGGAACGACCGTGTTCATCTTCTTGCCAGAGGCTGTGTCGGCAGACGATGGGTCGGCGTAGAACCTGTCAAACGATGACTCGATGTCACTGCCAATAAGCTTGTTGCCCGACGACACTGGTGTTGGGGCGTGAATGTGGCTACCCTGCTGTGGTGCCACCGCCTTGTTGAGGTTGGAGCCAACCACGCCTGGTCCGCCGCGCATTGGCTGTGGCTCAAAGGCCTTATCCTTCCATGCCTTGTTGAGCGCTGAGTTCGAGGTGCTCTTGGTCATGCCAACGTTGCCGTTGGTGTGCTGGCTGCTGCCCGTGTCGTTGTACAGCTGATTGATTGTGGAGTAAGCCACATCAAACGAGACTGGCGTGATCTCATCCTGCTGCTGCTGCTGCTTGCCGACGCTCTGATCGTTCAGAGTCATCTGGCCCATCTTGAGCTGGAGGCCTGGAGGGGGACCGCCAGCAGCGGGGCGAGGGGGCATACCAGGGGGCGAGAGCTCAAAGAACTTGTTGTTGGCGCTGCCAGCTCCGACACCGCCACCAAACGCAGCGTAGTTGACCGTTCCAATGGGGGCTTGGCCGCCCAACGCATTGTTGAATGAGCCCATGCTGTTCTGCTTCTGATTCATGAACTTTGGGTGCATTGGCTGCTGTTGCTGCTGATGATGCTGCTGCTGTGGGTGGTGCTGCTGGTGATGCTGCTGTTGGTGATGCTGCTGGTGTTGCCTCTGCTGTGGGTGATGCTGCTGGTGGTGTTGCTGCTGATGAAGATGCTGCTGTTGATGATGTTGCTGCTGCTGTAGGTGATGATGTTGTTGTTGGTACTGTTGATGTGGAACATGAGGTTGTTGCTGATGGAAGTACTGTTGTTGCTGTTGTTGTTGTCTCTGTTGTTGTTGTTGTTGTTGAATGTTACCCATCACATTCTGTCTAAAGAATACCTGTTTGATTGATTGGATCGATGCGATTGAATGAGTGAGTAAGTGAGTGATCATGTGATTGATTGATCATGTGATCACATACCTCATTGAAACCATTGTTCCACAATTGATCATCATCGTTGGCAGGGAAGTTGTAAAAGGATGGAGCAGACTCTAGGGGTGGAGGCAGAGTGTCCTTGTTCTGATGACTGTGATAGAACTCAAAGTAGTTCTCATCGCATCTAATATCGTTGAACAACTCGCTTGGACGAAATGCAAACAACTGATTGCTGTTGAGCGATAGAATAGGTGGAGCTGATGTCGAACGATCAGGTGGCTTAAAGCTCACCACCTCATCGTCTTCCTCATGTATCATTCTTCTTCCTTATTCTTCCTTCTTCCTTGTGTGTTTGTTTTTGGTGTTGTAACTTGTTGTTGTTGTTTAGGTCTGTATGTTTGATTGATTGATTGATTGATGCTCTTGTTTGATTGATTGATTGAAGTGATATGGGTTGTGTAGTTTCTACCACTACTGGTTGACTATATTATAATCAACTTGCTAGGCTAATCGACGCAGAGTCTGTTGATGTTATAAGTATGAGTATTAGTATATGTTGCTGTGTAGGTTACAATGACAATGAGACAATGAAGAATAAAAAGAAACGAACGTGTGAATTGATTACATGCAAAGTCTAGACAAACAAGTTGTTGATCTGATCAATCAATCTAGTTTGTTGTTGTTGTTGCTATTGCTAAGATGTTGCAAATGTTGTTGTTGTTGTGTGATAATGATGTTTGAATGATCAGGTGTCCCTTAACTCAACTTCTTAATCTTCTTCTTGTTGTTGTTGTTGTTGTTCTGTTCTTCTCTCTCTCTCACTCTCCCTTTGAAATTGATTTAAAATGTAGCACTCACATGATGTGGTGGTGCGATTTGATTGATTGGAGAATATGTGTGTTATGTGTGTGTGTCTTATTGGTTGTGGATGGTTGCGAACTTTAGAGAGAGGCATATGTGGTGTGTATGCTGTGTGAAGAGAGATGAGATGTTGGGTGTGTTTGACTATGACCCACCCACAACATCTTGAAAAGGATGCATGGACGATGCTCCAGAGTTGAAGATGTAGAGCAAACATCGGAGTTGTTGTTGTTCAAATCGGTCATGACAGAGAGATGTGTGAGGAGGAGATGAAGATGGAGAAGATGATGACAATGAATCAAGGAGAAAGGAAATGAATGAATGAATGACTGACCTGTTGCAGCTTTGCTCGAGACCTTTGTTGTATATAAATATAAATATAAAGAATGAAATGAATAAGTGAATGAATAAGTGAATGAAGAATGATTGACACTTGGGACTACGACGATCTCCAACAAGAAACAAACAAACTCGTCTCAATGACTAATCAAGTGCTATTTAAGGTCAATACAACACAACAACAAATTAATAAATAATAATAAATGTTTGTGTAGATGTTGTTGTTGATGTCTTTGGAACCAAAAAAAGACGATGTTTTGCAAAGTCTGATGATAATGGGCGTGATTTTTGATCAGCGATCAGTGTGGACTTGGGCTAACAATTCGTTGTTTGTAGAACCAATCACACATCATGTGATCTGAGTCTTGATTGAGATGAGATGCTACGAATAATAGTCTAGACTATGATTGTTGGGTTGATTCTTACCTTGAAGCTAAACAAGTTGTTATTGTTGTTGTTGAATAAGATATTGAATGAATGAATATATATATATTAATAATATTATTCCGAAGAATAGTATATATATATATAAATGTAAAGAATATATATGTGTTCTGACGTGTTTGTCTACAATGAACGAACAATCAAACACAGTCGACACCCAATCCATTCGTCTTACTCGTTTCGTCTTTGTGTCCACATCACTCATTCACACACTCACACACTCTTGGTTCATCAATCACAACACAACAAACAACAATAAATAATAATTATTTATTTTATTCTTGAATCAATCAACAACAAACAACAACCTTGCTACTAATTGATCAATCGATTGAATTTGATGGGCATTGGACTGGAGCTGGAGTATCACCTTGTGTTGTTGTTGTGCAGTATGTTTGCAATCAATAATGCAAACGATCGATTTAGGAATCATTCGTTATTCGAGCTCGCCACTCACACATCTCAATCATGATTTGGTAATGATCGTGGCCCACGCATGACATTGGGTATTTCCTCGTCCTTACTCTTTTGATCCTATTGAGAGGGTCTGGCCCAAGTCCAAGCCCATGGGCTCATGTCCACTTTATGAGCGAACTTCGGAGGAAGGGAATAGTTCCTTCACCATCAATTAGTATCTATGTTGATTTCGTTTGGATATTGAATCATCTATCTTCCTCTCTTCAATCTGTCGTTTCTTGGTGTGGAAATCCGCCAACACTGAAGTCCATTGATGCTTCTGGCGATGTGTGCCGCTGGCCTTTTGTGGACCCGACCCCATCTTACCCTGCTTCTCTCGCAGATTATGTATCCTCTGTTGATCCTGTGCCAACAAATTACTCTGATTGATCTCGATCAGTCCAGTCGTGTTCTGTATATCATACTAAAAGGTGGTACAAGTTGTCCAGAGTTAGGCTCACAATCAATCATTCGATCGTTCGATCATGTGATCAACCAACTTACATTCTGAATATATCTATTATCGCCTTGTATATATGCTTGTTGTTGAGCTTGTTGTTGTTGCCATTGTTGCCAATAGGCAACACGTTGCTCCTCGGTCCACTCCTGTCCTTGCTCCTCCGCATACTCATCATTCTCGTACTCATCATATTCTTGTCCTTCCTCTGGGCCTTGTGGACCTTGTTCTTGTTGATCCTGTATCAGTTGATTCTGAGCTTCAATCTCTCGTTGTAATGCTTCGTCCTCGTCGTCCTCATCATTGCCATTGCCATTCTCTACAACATTAGTCGTCGAAGGTTCATTGAATGTGAATAGAGGTACATCATCATCCTCGTCGTCTTCGTCGGATTGTTTCTTGCTAGCGGGAGTGGTAGATGTAGCGGATGCATTGTGTGATTGTCCAGGTCTAGGGGACTCTTCACCTCGAGCCTTCTTTGCCTCTTCCTTCTTCTGTATCAAACTCCTCCTCAACGAAGCCGGTATCATTGAGTTATTCAAAAGTTTCTCTTCCGATGGGTTCAATGTCTTGGTCATTGTCTTCTCTTGTTTGGGTTGTTGTTTCGGTTGTGCATGTTGTATCTTTGATGATGTCGATGTAGTTGTCGATGTTGTTGAAGTTGATGATAACGAAGTCAACACAGCAGAGGATGAGGTTGAGGATGATGACGATGATGAGCTTGACTTTGGAGCAGGTAGAATTGAGAACAATGCAGAACTACCTGATGATGTTGAGTTATCTGGAGTATGTCTCTTCTTATCTCTTCCACCATATATATCTTGATCATCTTTGAACAATGAATGACTCTTTGATGTCTGTGTCTGTGTCTTTGGGTTGACAGGAGGTGTCTTTCGCTTCAATGTTGTATTGATAGTTGATGTTGATGTTGTTGGCACATTGACTGGACCATTATCATTGTCATCGTCGTCTTCATCATCAGACTTGTAGTCAAACATCATGTTGTTTGGTCAGTTAACTCAAATGAATGAATGTTGAATGAAACTAGTGTGTGTTGGTGAAGTTGAGATTGGACTTGGAATTGAAGAATGTGCCTCAAAAGGGTCTAGATTTCATCCCTCAATCAATCATTTGTTCATTAATTTATTATTATTATTATAGAGATATATACAAAGACAAAGATGTCACAACACTTTGATCATAGAAGATTCCAGGCTGCTGATTATGATGATCAGTTGTTTGATGACTTGGATGATGACACAATGCAAATGGACCCAATGAATGATGCCACCAAACAAGTTGTACATCAAGACTTCTTCAACTGTACGTACATCAATGTAGTAGCACAGTGAGCAATGACTCAAAGATACAACAAACTAATACCAATCGATAAATCAATCAATCAATCAATCAATCAATCAATCAATCTATCAAACAATCAGCATTCCAAGACGATATTGATGAGGATGACTTGTTCTCACCAGATCAATAGATAGACACACGCGCAGCGATAACAACAATGAACAACAACGAATGCGCTTACCTTGTAGAATAAACTGAAGAAGAATGAGAGTATCTTCATTACCATCAAGCAAATATGACTGGCAACGACATAACAAAGATCTTGATTACACTTAATGAACATGTTTATGTGCCTACTACCCTACAGTTGATAAGATAGGATATCTAGTTGTGAGTCTCTCTTGCGTATGTTATAACAACAGAGCACTCCATTAATATACAGGACGTAGAGTGAGACACTAAATAGTGATGGCGATGTTGGACTTTGGTTACGGCACAGTGTCATACCTACGACGATCGATGGTTCACCGGCGGGCAGCAGCACGATCATGTCTTGCTCAATGCTGAACCCAAGCTTCAGCTCCTTTGAGTCCTGGATCAGCCTGGCCTGCTCAGAGTGTGGTCGATCGGACGCGTCGCCCACGCCGTACAAGCTGTCTTCGCAGTCAGCTTCATCCTTGCGTCTGTAAAAGTTGTCAAAGTTCTTCCAGAGCTTGCCCTTGTCGATGCTCTTCACCTTGAAGATGGCCACCTGTCTGGTTGGGCCTTGGCTTGCGCATACGCAGAGTGACAGCTCGGGGATGACCTCGAGCATGGCCACACGCTCCAGCTGCGTCTGGGCGATGGGAAAGGTCGTCGGCGATGGATTGTTGATGTTGATGGCTTCGGTCAACTTTGCATCACTAAAGTATAGGTTCTGGAATGTTGTGAATACCAAATGGCTTGGCGGCTTGTCCTTTGGCGCGACTGCGGCGTTGACCAACTTGAACCTGACCTGGCCCTCACTCTGCATCGCCTTGACCTCTTCAATCAATATCCTTTGTTGTTCCAATATATATGCCATCTCTTCATCCTCGTCTTCAAACTCCTCTTCTTCCACGGCATCATCTTCATCAACATTGTCATCATCAAGATCAGCATTCGGATCCTCGTCCACCTCTTGCTCTTCCTCCATGTCATTATCATTATGTACCACCAGTTGTTGTTGTTGCTGTGGTTGTTGTTGTTCTTCTGCAGCAGCTTGTTGTACTTCTTGTTGTTCTTGCTCATGTGTCATTCCAATCCATGTTGTCGTGTCTGTTCGAGTGGTGGTATGGGTATGATCATCCTGGAATAGTTCCATCCAGCGACATCCCCAACCCCATTGCGAGAGGTGCATCATTGTGATGGTCTGCTGTGAGTTGACATCCCATATACGTATACAATTGTCAACGGATATCGATACGAGGAAGTTGCCACAGGAACTAAAGTCAATGCAAGGTATGTTGTGTCGATGTCCTTGCAATGTCCGTCTATAATAATGACATTGATCGCCTCGTGACATGTCCCAAATGGTTATATTATGACTATTGGCACTGACTGCAAACAATGGCTTGGTCGGACACATGGCAATGCCCCATGTCGATGATGAGTTACTGGAGGTGATCGGTCGATCGATTGATAGTGTGAGTGGTCTGGCTGGTTGGCGAATAAATGAATTGATTGATTGCTTACAAGTATCGCAATGGTTGTCGGTCCAAGTCATTTACAAAGAACAGACGAATGAATCCATCATCGTCCACTGTGATCAAACATTCTTCGCCATCAATCAATCCAAGTCTAATTTGATTGATTGTCGACTTGATTCATTGAGTGATTGAATGAGTGAGATGTACGACAATACGCATGTATATAAACATACATCATTATTGTCCAATCCTATGAATGCTATTTGATGTGAAGGGTTATCGAGAGAGTATACAGCCAATACATGTGACTCTGCAATGAAGATTAATCTCGCAGTCTGGCTCACAGCCAGCAAGTTCAATTTCTAAACGCGAAAGTTATGTCAGTATATTCATTCATTCATTCATTCATTCATCCAATCAATCATGTATGTGTTTGTGTCATTCCCATCTCACTCCAATCCAAGTTTACATGTTATCGCTCATTCTTCATTCATTCAATCATTCATAAGATAGATACCCAAGGCAAGATGATAGCTTCATTGAATTGGAATCTAGGATAAGACTGTTCTACAACAGTATTATTCTTTAAACTATCTCTTTCTTTGATTTTGGATGTCTGTCTTATATTATTACTACTATTATTACTATTATCCGCCATCATATATTACTTATGTACAAGTAGTAGAGATAGAGTGTCAGATGAATGAATGAACGAAGCGAACTTCACAGTTTTTCATTCTTACTCTTCAATTTTTGAAGTGTGGACTCGCCAGAGACCTGACCAACATCACCTGCTCGCGAGTACCCACATCAAGATGGATGTTGAACTCAACTCAAAGTATTAAATTGAACACATACATACAACAACACAACACAACACAATATATAAGATGTCTGAGAATGATGAGTTGAATAGCTTCTTTGCCAAGAAGGATAAAAAGGCAAAGTCAAAGACAGTTATCAAGCCTGCTGTGGTTCAGCCAACTCCAGTTGCTGCCGCTGCTGCACCAGTGGTCACTGCCACTGCCAGTCCAAAGACTACATCAGTTCATACATCAACCGATTCAACACCAACAGTTGATTCACCATCTTCAGAACCATCAATCACATCACCAGTCACCAGCACCAAGGTCAAGGCTGTCGTTGATCTGTCACAATCAAAGCAAAAGTATGATCAACAATTGATCAATCGATCATTCAATGGACAATCAGATTTGAGTTGGTTGATCAATTGGCTAACTTTACTCGACTCAATCCAATCAATCAAACATTAGGGATGTTACTCCAATCACCAATATAACCGAGTTGAAAGAGTCAAAGCTGGACACAGTTCGTACGTAGTGGCATGTCCAAAGACCTACCATCACTCATACTAACCATTCCACATTGAATGAATATAGATATTCCATCAAATATGAGATGGGCAGAGAAGACTGATTCGCATGTGACACCAGTCCAAGTATTGGCACCAAACAAGTCCATAAAGAGTTTCCCAACTCTTGCCTCTGCAATGTAAGGATCGATCAATCAATCAATCAATCCATGGATGGACGGTCCATACTAACATTACAAACATAATAATAGGGAGGAGAAGAAGAAACCAGAGATTGATCACGTGTTATACGTTAACCAAGATAAGGAGCAGGATCCACAAGAGCCAGCATCAGCATCGTCCGACTCCTCTTCCAAGAAGTCAAAGAAGCCACAATCCAAGCCAAAGAAGAAGTCAAAGCAAGAGTTGGAGGCTGAGGCATTGATGAAGGAGCTTGGCCTTGAGGAAGAGAAGGCTCCATCAAAGCCAAAGAAGAAATAAATCAATCATATCTTGATATATATTCTATTTTTGGTTCAAAAATTAATCTGGATTGATTAATATTTGTTCAGTTTTTTTTTTTGATTCAGCAAAATCCCGCACAAAAGCGTGATATTGATTTAAAACAACAACAGGGCTTGTAGCTCAGATGGTAGAGCGCTCGCTTAGCATGCGAGAGGTAAAGGGATCGATACCCTTCTAGTCCAAAACCTTTTCCTGTTTAAAACTTTGTTTTTTTTTTGTCAACTTTACAAAGTCCGCTTTTACCCTTTAAAAGCATTCCCAGGCTTCCATTGCTTGTTCTCCAACACCTATGGCTTGTCTTCATTCCACAGGTAATCAAAAGTCTTTGTAAGATTGTAAGATTGATAAGATACAAAGACATAAAACTATCAAAAACTATCTTAAATGTATTAGTAAAATAATAAAGTAGAATGAATGATAGTGATCTAGGAGGAGAAGAACTTGGTTAAGTGTAAATATATAATTGATTGATTTCTTTCAGTGTATTTAAATAGTATGTGTGATAGGGTTAACACACACCGAATGATTGGTGGTGAGGAGTGCTCAATCAATCAATCAAATAATCCATACCCTAGACCTAATGAATTATAGCTGGGGGGGAGTGTAGGTGTTGTTTAATGAAGGTGGGTGAGTGTAATTCTAAGTTGATCATTGTGTCCATTCCATACCAACCACCACTTCATGTAATTATACACCCATATCATTAATACAATCATTCATACCCATCATTTATTCTTTCATTCACTCAATATATATATATATCAATCAATCAATTTATAAATAATAATTATTCCAATATTTAGTTTGATGAAGAACCCTTTCAAAAAATTATTATCCAGGTTAAATAATCACCTCCACAGGAGGCGTATGAATAAGATAAGAAGAAAGCAACAGAAAGACTTTGATCGTCAACGTCCAACTTCTCCTACAAGTTTCCAACAACAACAGCAACAACAACAAGTACCAATCGAACATAATCCCTCAATTGCAAAGAGTCCTCCATTACAACAACAAGACTTTGTATCTCCTCCCTCAAGTAGCTCTACTTCTCCACCTATCCCAGCACATCCCAACACTCTACCACCTTCACATTCAATCGCCAACGGTGCCAGTCCCAACATCAACATCATCAACTTGGGTAAACCTGTCAACCTTTCAAAACCCGTTCAAAAGGTACCCGAGTCCCCGCCATTCGAGGATCAACTATCAGATTACAAGAGATTACAAAGAGAGAGATACCTCAAGCAGAAGCAAGAGGCTGTTGTAAAGACCTTTGTCCAAACCAGTTCGGTTGGAAATATACATCTTTCAAAGTTAAGCGGTGGAAATAGCCACTCTGGTGTATTAACTCCACCATTAATCAAGGTCAAGATGAACAATCATCACTATAGAGAAGTTAACTTCACTTCCAAAGATGGTTGCTTATGGATCAATGACGTTAACTTCAAACTTAAAGGTATCAATTGGTTTGGCTGTGAAACCGAGACATCAGTCGTCCATGGACTATGGTCTCGAGATTACAAACAATACCTGGATTTCCTTCAAGCCAATCATTTTAATGCCATAAGAGTACGATTATACCCGTTTCAATCAATTTGATACTCAATACTAATCAATCAATGACCATTACAATATTTAGATACCATTCTGTTTGGAGATGATATTGAAGGATCCAATTCCTACATCTATATCAATTACAACTCATATGAATAGTGACCTTCATGGTCTTAGAGCACTCTCAGTGTTGGATATCATCATTGAGGCAGCTGGTGAGAGAGGTATCTTCATCCTTCTAGACCTCCACTCATTCGGTCCAAACGATCGTCTTCACGATGGTCTCTGGTACAACAGTGCCCACACTGAACAAGAGACCTTAAAGGCTTGGGTAAGATCATACCCAATCATTCATTAGTAAATAGTTACTAACTACCTTTGATAAACAGAACATTCTTATACTTAGGTATGGAAGAACATGGAATGTAATGGGAGTGGACCTTAAGAATGAACCATACTCTGCCACTTGGGACTCTGGCAATCCATTGACAGATTGGGACAAGGCCATCAACAGGATTGGATCTTTCATTCAAACGAATGGTGGCAATAGATGGTTGATATTTGGTCAGGGAGTCCCATCACAACAATCATCATCTCTGCCATGTTGTTGGGGAGAGAGCTTCGAGTCGGAGGGTCGACAATCAGACACCAAACCATTGACTACAATCCATTTGCCAATCGAGGATAAGTTTGTCTACTCTCCTCATTGCTATGGCCCGAGTGTAGTCAATCATAATCACTTTAGACATAGTTCATTCCCAGACAACATGATGCCACATTGGGACGCAAACTTTGGCATGCTTCCACAGACTACGCGCCGTGCTGTAGTCATTGGCGAGTGGGGTGGCAAGTACGCCGAGAACCTGGACCGTCTCTGGATGACTTCCTTTGTCAAGTACCTACAGAACAGAGGCTGTACCGACTCGTTCTACTGGTGCCTCAACCCCAACTCTGGCGACACTGGTGGTCTGCTCAAAGACGATTGGGTGTCGATCAATCAAGACAAGCTTGACCTACTCCACAAGCTGTGTCCACACCCAACCAAGGTACGCTACGACAAGGATCTCAGTCAGTTCATCATCACATCAGCCACTCAATCACACAGTGAGGCCTAGGGCACAGCCTAGGATGGGATGATTCCAAGAGGGGTGTTTATCTAAAATAAAGCGCCAAACCAATGGCCTTAGAGAATATATTGGATGGCGGATGGGAGTTGTCTTGGGCTCATCATTGTCCTCAGACATTGGGTCTGGTACAGGTGATACTGCCTCCACCACGGTACAGGAGATCTTGGATCTGGATAGTGGTGGCAACAGTGATAGTACTGGTCAAGTTGATGATAGTGGCACCATTGCGGGTAACCTTGAACACTGGGGTGGAGCCTGGGATCAGGTTGGCAGTGACGGACTGGACACCGGCGGGCACATATTTGTTGACCTTGTTTCCACCCTGGGTGATGGTGATGTTGGCGGGGGCTGTGAGGAAGGCAAGGACCTCGACACGATCAACAGCTGGGTCACAGGGGACAAGGGAGAAGTTCTGGGTCTGGTGGGCGGGGATGTCCGGCTTCTGGGTGGTGAGCGAGTTGCGGTGGAAGTAGTAGATGGCATCACGGTAGATGGCGGGGGGTGTTCCGAGCTTGTACCAGCGCAGGTAGTAGGCGGCAACGTCGTAGTAGGAATACTGGGTGCCTGACGATGGCGAGATCTCAGTGCCCTCAGAGTAGTCATTCCAGGTGATGATCTGGATCCACTCTGCATTGCCGTTGATGGCGGCCATGAAGTGAGCGCGCATGGCCTCAGAGTTGCGAGCCTCCCAATAGTGGAACTCCTTTGGACGATGGTTCTGGGACATCACTGGCGACATGTACTTCTCGCCGGCGGTGTGCAAGTTGTTGGCGGCGTTGACGAAGCTGGCGGCATTCTTGACACAGTTGCCGTCCCAGTTGGACATACCAACACTGCTGGCGCCATAGCTGGAGATGAGTGATGATGTGATCGATGGGAACACCGGCCACAGGACTACGCTGATGTTGTAGCCAGTTTTGAGTGTGGACACAAGGTTGGCCCACCAGGCTGGAGATTGGTTGTTGGCTCTGTAGGCAGAGATCACAAGGTTGCCACTGGCATCGCGATAGAGAGCAGCGTTGTCTGGAGAGTTTACCAGGGTGACGATGGCTGGAATGAGGTTGGAGGCGTTGGAGCTGGCCCATCCAGCGTTCATATCTGGCATCAGGACAATCTTGAAGGCTGGGTCAACATAGATGGCGGCCTTCATAATGGCTAGCAAACGGGTCCAGTAGACACTGGTCGATGTCAAGCTCAGCATGTCATAAGTGAAACCATCCAAACCCAATGCGATGGCGCGAGTGACCTCTAGGCGCATATCCAAGTCAGCCCAGTTTGACTCTGGTCTAACTGGACGAGGCAAAGGTCTCTGTCTAAAGAAGCCACCACAGTTGAAGTGAGCCTTGTTTTCTCCCAATGGGTTCAAGAAGTTCCTGGTGTAGTAGTCATTCTAGATTGATTGATGAGTGTTAGTAAGAGTGTGGGGGTGGGTGAGGCTGGAACTATTCCAGCCTCGGGGTGATCGATAATTGAATGATTGTGTTGGTGTGAACATACGGAGGAATCGACATTGTCAATGGCGATGGGGAATTGAGAGAAGTAGTGAGCAAACACCTTCTTTGTTTGACCTCTCAATGCTGTGGTGCCAGCATCACTGAATGGCCAACATGAAGTTTGGTTCATTTGGACTGCGGCAGCAGTTGGCAAGTAGGTAAATGCGATGGTCAGCAAGACCAACGATAAAATTGCTTTGATCATAAACATCTTATTGAATAAATAAATAAATATTATATAATACAATGTATTCAATCAATCATTAATAGTTTGTAGAGATATAAATAAGTTAACTGATTGAGTATATATAGTGAACTAATGATTGATTGATTGAACAGTCTTGTAACTTTACATCCGTATTAAGTATAGAGTGTTCAATGTACATGTACGTCTTTATAATATGGGCAGGGTAGGGTAGGGTTAGGTTAGGGTAGGGTCGGGTCTGGTGGGTTCCATGTGCAAGAATGCCGTTCGGTAGGATGATTGATCGATGTTGATCTAAGCGTGTCAAACATATTACTTATGTAGATATTAAAGTGTTCATGAACATGAATGAAGGTGACCCAATAACCACTGAATGAAGAGGCAGCCATGCCCACGGTGAGATGGCGGTGAATTACAAAAATGTTTAGTTTTGTTCAGTGAATGGTCCAATTTTACAATAGGGTACAAAGGTGGCTTTTGTCTCCTTGCCAAGCCCATACCCTTCAAACCCGATGGTTTTGAGCAATAATATCATCACAGTCATTCATTATTTATGATCGTGTGTGGGTTTCACAAACAAATATCTATAATTTGATCACAACATCAAACTCATAACTTTGGATTGAGCAATCTTGTCGGGCAATATACATAATAGTTTGATTGATCAATCTAAGGGTCACATCTTAAAGTTGTAAATTAACTATTATGGGCAAGTGTACTCATGAATTACTCATAAGTTAATGGAGTGATATTTATAAAAGATGGACAGAGTAGTCTACCAACTTGTCTTTGAAGTTTCCAAACTAGGGTACCCAATATTAATGGACTTGGTGGCCCATCGGATGCCATCATCAAATATGACCTTGTTGTTAACCAGATAATCATCCATCCTCAAATAACAAGGATTATTGATCAATATTTTCTTTTAAATTACACTTAATCGACAATGCAATTGCCATTCGTCTTGACATGGAATTCGTGTTTTTTGGATGCCCATCCAGACCTGGTGTCTAGTTATAAAAAATACTATTATTATTATTATTATTATTATTATTATTATTATTATTATTATTATTATTATTATTATTATTATTATTATTTTCCACTTTATGAGTGATTGCCACGCCACATATACAGATCTAATGTGTATATCTGGTCTTATCCGAATGATTACATTGTTGGATGTCAATTAGACAACCCACTCATCAGTATGAACTTGACCTTTACCATCACTCACCACCACTCCCATCACTTTGTCAATTCATGTTCACTACACACCATGATTGTCATTCAACCCACCACGACACCACTTCATTCATTCACACTCATTCCTTCATTCATTCAGTTTGTCTGTCTATCTACAATACTACTACCTCTGATCATCAAATCAACGGCAGTAGATGACGGGATTACAACAACAAACACGGGTTGATTGATTGATTGATTGAGAGAGTGAGAGATGTCAACAACACATACATACATATACATACTACCACCAACACTGATGTTGTCTGTTGTAGATAGTACCAATGTTGATTGTTTGTGTTATCGATGCATTCTCTCAGTTTGTTGTTGTTGTTGTTGTTGTTATTTGTCTTGTGTCATCCTATTGACTAGACTTGACTAGAACAAAGAAGAGGAAGAAGAAGTAGCAAGCAATGGTTAGACTATTCTCTAGAAAGTCAAAAGGAAGTGATGTCGTAGCCATCAACAATGCCTTCCAAGTTGTCTTGGTATGTATATACATATACTACTAGTTGGGTACGATACATTGTCTAAATGTCTAACTAACAATGTCAAACTATAGGATGAGATGGGCTTCCAAGAGGAGGACAGGAAGAAGATGATGGAATATGATATTGAAAGGAAACAAAAGTATATTGCATCGTACAAGAGCAAGTTGATATCAAAGAGTGACTTTACAGGCAAGAAGCCAAACTCAAAGGCAAAGCCTGTACTTCACTCTCCACAATACTTTGTCGATGGACTCAAAGCCACACCAACAATGGAGCTCCTCACATCCCTCCGTGTACGTCTTGGCAACCAGCCAATCAAATGGTTCCGAGAGTTCTGTTCACTCAACGGTGTGGAGACCCTTATCAAGGTGCTCAATGATATTGACATGAAGCCAACGTAAGTCTAGATATCATCATTGATTGATTGAATTGGTGGCATGGCGTACTAACACGTTGACTCGCTCAATCAATTAAACAGAAAGACACCAGAGGACATGGGTAAGATGGCACAATGCCTGCATTCTTTAAAGTTCACAATGAACAATAGAGTTGGATTGGAAGCCGTGATAAAGAATCCAACTAGTATTGCAAGTATTGCACTTATCCTGGACACGACACATCTAAAGTCCAGGATAATGGTATTGGAGATGCTGGCCGCTCTATGTGTCCTGCATCCAAAGGGTCGTACACTTGTCCTGGCTGCCATGGACAATTATCGAGAGGTGAAACGTGAGACCAAGCCATATCTCCATCTCGTCCAGAGTCTTACCAATGCCAGCTCGCCACAGGCGCAGTTCGAGACGTTTGCCCTCATCAATACATTGATCAGCACAGCCGACAATGTTGAAGACCGTGTCAACATCCGTTCACAGTTCAAGCGCATTGGTATTGTGAAGGCCATCCAGGACCTGGCCGACCAGATCAAGATCAACCCGGACCTGGCCAACCAGGTGGACATCTTTGAGCATGAGGACCGCTGGGACGAGCAAGAGCACATGGAGAATGCCCGTGGTGACATCAGTGATGACAACCCCGACTCTTTGTTCCGTAACCTCAAGGACCGCACCACAGGTGGTCCGCTCTTCCCTCCCTTTGTCTCCATCCTCAAGATGTTGTTAAAGACTGTATCTGATGAGGACTCTACCGAGGAACAAAGGTATTTTATTTGGTAGTTGTTGGTGAGATTGAGGTGTGGATAAGTACTAACTCAATCAATCTATTCCAGTCTCTCCAACTGTTTATTTGTCGAGAAGATATTGTCCAAGATCAATGGTGGCTCATCAGTGTTGAACGATGATTTGTCCAGCTTCTTTGGAGAGTCGATGGACATCTCACATGTATCTGGTGAGAAGGCTGTGCTCATCCAAAAGGAGATAGAGGATCTTAAGAAGGACAAGAAGAGGGCCGCCGAGCAACTGCACGAGAAGGACATACTCTTGACCAAGTTGGCCAAGAAGTTGATGAGACTAGAGGATGCTATCCGCTCGGGACGAGGAATGGAGGTGTTGGCAGAGGAGGAAGAGAAGGACGACGAGTTGATCAAGATCGCTGCCGTTTCAGAGGGCTCCTCCAAGGCGTCGATCAAGACTCTCAAGGATGGCATCGAAGAGAAACCAAAGATTGGAGGAGACGGCAACTTCTTGTCGGCCCTCGACGCTCCACCAGTCGATCCAGCTACAGATGATAGCTCGGGCCCTCCACCACCACCATTGCCACCTGGTGTACCTCCACCTCCTCCACCACCCGGAATGATGAAGGCGCCTGCAACACCAGAGCGCTGCTCACGTGCTCCATCGGTCAAGATGAAGAGCTACCAGTGGACCAGGTACCGCACCAGGAACATCCCCAACACATTCTGGACCAAGGTCAACTACAGCAAGTACAACGACGATTTGCCCTACGAGCAGATCGAGCAACTGTTTGCCGCCGCAGTCTTTGAGAAGAAGGAGAAGGAGGTCAACAAGAAGGCGTGTGTGACACTGATCGACTCGAAGCGTGCCCAGAACATTGGTATCTTGCTCAGTCGTTTCAAGGGATTCACACACGATCACATCTACAATGCCATATTCAACATGGATGAGAAGGTGCTGGACCTCGAGACCATCAATCAATTCGTCAAGTACGTGCCCACCAAGGAGGAGATTGATCTCATCAATGCGTTCAAGGTGACACAGGCAGCCCGCCCCGAGGAGGAACGCCAAAAGTATGGCAAGGCCGAGGAGTTTATCGACAAGATTGCCTCCATTCCCAAGTTGGCACAGAGAATCAATGCCATCCACTTCAAGCTCAACTTCCCCGAGAAGCTCTACCAGGCCAAGCCTGACGTCCGCACATTCAATCAGGCCATGAACGACCTGCAGAATGAGAACCTATTCGAGGTGTTGGAGCTTATCCTCTCGGTTGGTAACTTTATCAATCATGGCACCAACAGAGGCAATGCCAGTGGTTTCAAGATTGACAGTATCAACAAGATGGCCGACACCAAGTCCAACACCAGGGAGAAGTACAATCTGGTACATTACCTGATTGAATTGCTCGAATCAATCAAACCCAGTCTCCTCTCTTTCTATGAAGAGATCCCCAATGTGTACACCGCTGCCACTCTATCATTCTCCACGTCCACTGGAGAGATTAGACTGCTCAAGAGTGGTTTGGCCAAGCTGGAGCTCGAGGTCAATGGCACTGACAACACCTCACCTCTGGACGATAAGGATCCATTCAGGTTGAAACTTTCCGAGTTCTTGTTGTCTGCCAAGACAGAGCTGCTTGATGCTGAGAAGCTGGTCGGAGAGACAGAGATGATGTACGGCAAGATTGCCAAGTTCTTTGGAGAGGATACGACCAGACCACTCGAGGAGTTCTGTGCCATCTTTAAGAAGTTCAGTGATACGTACCAATTGGCCAAGAAGGACCTGGAGAGGGAGAAGGCCATGAGTGAGCGTGCGGCCAAGAGAAAGAATGATAGAAAGGCCAACCAGGAGGTCCAGAAGAAGAAGATTGTTGACGATGATGATGGTGACGATGTGAGCAGTACTCTGAAATCAACGGATGGCAAGACAACTAAACAACAGATGTCCAAGGAGAATGCCGAGGACAAGAAGATCCAGCAATATCTGGAGAGTGTCCAGCTGAGCCCTGGCAGCAGTTGTGGCTCAGAGGGTGAAGGAATGATGGAGGACATTTTGAACATGATCAGAGATGGAGACTTTGGCACACTAAGGAGGAACCGTATGAATGCCAACAAGGTGAAGCCACCAAAGGCGATACCAGTCATACCAGAGGATACACCATCAACATTCTCATCATTGTCGTCAAAGTTTGACGCCAAGCCTTTGGATATCAGTAGTGATGAGGATGAGGAAGATGAAGATGCCACAGATGAGACTGGAGAGGAGTATGAAGACGATGATGATGTTGATGTTGATGATGAAGAGGAGGATGGGTCTACATCCGAAGAATAAACAATTTGGAATTTATAAATCAATTTTAAAATAGTTTTAGAGGCTCTTTTGAAATTCAATTAAAAAGAAAATCGGCAATATGGACCCATAAAACCGTTGAAAATAAATTTCTGATCACAGTTGCCCGGATAGCTCAGTCGGTAGAGCGCACGGCTCTTAACCGTGTGGTCGGGGGTTCGAGCCCCCCTTTGGGCGTAACTTTTATTTTGGTAGTTTTTTTTTATGTACTTTTGCTCAACTTGTAGATACTGTTTACCAATGATAATTTTATTTTTAATGAATAATACTAGTATTTTCATAAAGTATGTAAACATGTCTATCTTTTAATTATTATTATATATCTGTAACTATTAATTAGTTAATATAAACTATCTTAACAAATTGATGGTTTTTTCAAAATTATTACTTTTGGATTGAGGTGGTTGGCGATGAGGTGTCAGAGGTAGTTGACAATGATAGCCATGAGGTGGATGAATGGAAGGTTGGGGCGACGAGACTTCGTTGAGATGTCTGTAACTTTGATGTTACATTCTCTGACATTGATGAAGGAGCGTTGCTTCACCAAGTCTAAGGCTGGGCGCATGGCTTCTTGGGTCGCCACTTTGCCGCAGTCAAAGAAGAATTTATTGTAGAGTTGGTACGAGTAGGAGTTGTCACAGAGGGCTGCCAGTGTCTTCTCTCATTTGATTGATCGGGAGAGTATGGGAGAAGAACCTCAAGAGGGAGAAACACGATGGCACTGGACAGCGCCAGATTCCATTGGGATCAAGGTGGCCTCAACCTCTGGGACATTGGGCTCATATCGATTGCCTACAAGGTATGTGTTCAATGGTTTCCTCAACACCCCAGCCCACCTCACCCATGGCTACCTGGACTAGTGGAGAACTCAACACCGCCAAGCCAGGAAGTGTAGGCGGTGGTCTTGGAGCTGCAATGAACCATTTGGTGAACTACTTTATCTACAACTTGGTCGGTGAGTCCAGATAGAAGTGGTACATCCGATCAGAGGAGGGCCTAAGACTTGATAGATGCAACCTTGGACCGCAGTGTGGTTCCTTAGTCAAAAATATGGTCTGAAGAATATAAAAGTTTAATATAAAGAGATGTACTCTTAATATTATTGAACGTTCACTTGAGAGTATGACAGTTAGTAATTGAAGACCCACTGTCTATGAATGAACGAATGATATAAACTTATTTATTTATAAAAATGATGATTGATTGGTGTAACAAGAGGACATACCTTGAGAGTATGACAGTTAGTAATTGAAGACCCACTGTCTATGAATGAACGAATGAAGTGATTGAGTGCGCGAAGCGACATCAAAACACTTTGGAAAACGAATCATTCGACTCTGGAAGTTCCTCATGTTACATATCCCCCCTCGACTATTGACCACTAGATGAGGAGATACGTTTGAAAGCGGCGACCAATGCAGGGAGCTGCGCCCGCATCACCTTGGCATCGATCCAACGGTTGGCATCGTCGCCCAAGGATAAATCGAATCGCACCAAGTACTCGAGGCGTGATCCAAGGCCGTAGACTCTGTTGCGTGAGTCGAYGATGGCTGTCGCGGTAGTGATGTCCGTGCCAGCGAATGATGCCTGGAGAGGCTTGACTGACTCCACATGGACTGTCCTGAGCTGCTTCTTTTTGTTTGACAACTCAATCTTGAGGTCAATATTCGACAAAATACTTGCAACCTTGAATGGGCCACAGTATGCTGACTGAAGCTTGGCGATGTCTGCAGCGTCGCCAACAGGCTTGGAACTGTCGAAGGCGCTGCGCTTAACAAGCACAATGTCGCCTACCTTGTATGGCATCACGTCACGTCTACCTTTGTCGTGCTGGATGGCTTGTCTGATCTGCGCGTCCAACATGTTGAAGCGGCCATCTTGCGATACATGTCTTGGCAGACCTGTAGTCTTTAAAGTGACTGACCGGC